CAAGGGTTTTTTCCTGGGCGTTGTCGAGTAATCGCTGATTTTCAAACCGGGTTGCCATTGAGCCAGTAATCCCTCGTGCGCGCCGCGACAGAGTTGAGCGATTAACGCCAAATTTTTTGGCAATTTGCGCATAATTAACATCTTCTGGAGAGTCTAGGGATTTGATAGCTGCAAGAGCTGCTTCAATAGCTGCCATATTGGTAGAGATATCGTGTGTTGAAGATTTTGTGATTTTGGTGGAGAGCGTGCATTTGGTGGGAACGTGCACTTGCTGACCTAATACGTTATTCGCGCTAGTCCGCATTGGCGTCGCGCGTCCGGTTGGTCCCTCGGCGCGTCAAACCTCCAACAACAACACATCATGGGCAATTGTCCAACAAGAACCTCCGACGCGTGGCCCTGAGAGAGCGCAATTCCCCACCCCCGCAACCCTTCTCTCTTTTTTTCTCACCTCCACCACCAGCGGGGGCATGTCCAGCATGGCCGGCATGCGCAAGCGCGAGGCGCGCGAGAATCAATTCTACAATGTCGGCGAGCAGGGCCGGTACGTTTGTAGCTTCTCTTCAAATCCCCAGTTGTCTGCTTGATTCCCATCATTGAAGGGCGTGCTAAGACGAATACATAGGAAAACGGGCATCCGGCTCGAAGACCGAGGCGTGCGCGACGAGTACGGCATGGAGCCTGTTTCGGGCATCTTTTCGAGCCCGCAGAAGGAGGATGGGCCGGAAGCGGAGGGCGAAGGAGAAGAAGGAGGCGGGACGGGAACCCTACAGAGCACGAGCATGGACATCCAGGATAGCAGCAGCTCCATTCCGAACCTCACGCCGGGCCATGCTCTGCGGAGTAGCGGTCGCGCCAACTTACCTCTGCCGTTGCCAAGGTCAAGGTCGCCGATTAAGACGCGGATTGGGGCGACGCCGAGGCGGTCTGTGGGAGGGGGGCGCTCGGTGCGGAGGTCAGGGACGCCTGAGAGGGTTGTCGAGGAAGAGGCGAGGGATGGCGCTGTTAGGAGGCTGGATTTTCGGCAGGAGGTTGGTGGGGTGGGGCTGGAGACGCCGGCTTTGAGTGGGGAGGGGGCGAGACGGGATGTTTATGCTTTGGAGGAGTCGCCGGAGTGGGGGAATGGGGAGGGGGATGGGGATGGGATGGGCGATGGCGATGGGGATGGCACTGGTGAGGAGAGCTTTGTTGGGCTTGCTGAGGGGGATGATGTTGTCGGTGGAGCGGATATTGAAGAGTCGTTGCAAGAGGAGCTGTCGAGAGTGGAAGGGGAAGATGAGCCGGTCTTGAAGCAGCCTGCGCGCAGAGGACGGAAGCGGAAGAGCGATGGGTTGGAGTCGAATGCGGAGAATGAGTCGTCGCCTGCTGTGCGATCGAAAAGGACGCGCACGGCGAATGCTCAGGCTTCGGCTGCGGGGGAGTCAAGGAAGACTGCGCCGAAGCCGCGAGGAAGACCGCCGCGTCAGCAGAGGAGAGAGGAGGATGTTGTGGATGAGGAGGATCATGGTGCTGCGGATGCATCGTTAGAAGACGCTGCTCAACCGGAGGAGACGCCTGTTCCTGTTCCGAAGAAACGTGGACGACGGCCGAAAGCTCAAGCATCACCCGTTCCTGACAATGTCCCTGAGGAAGAAAGCAGTTTACCCGCCAAGCGCCGCGGACGACCGCCCAAGGAGAAACCCGCAAAGCCCGCAGCAGCAGCAGCAGAGTCAACAGAAGACACTGCCTTCAAGAAACCTACCCAACCCGCGCGGAAGCCCAAGGCCAAGGCTACCGAGAGATCTGCTACTGCTGCCACTGCCTCCATCCCCCCCGACCTAGCAGCAGGAAAACTCGTAGATAGTCTAGGAAACCCGATCCCCCGCGAAGAGCTCGACAAGCGCTCCGTCACCTCGGCCGGCTCCTCCTTCCGGCGCGCCCGCCAACTCTCCGTCTTCCGCGAAGTCGGGCCCGACGAGATCGGCCGTGTTGGGCGCTCCGGCAGGCACCACGTCAAGCCCATTGATTTCTGGATGAACGAGCGTGCCGAGTATGGACGGGATGGCACGTTGAAGGCGATCACGCATCATTTGGAGATTGAGGAGGAGGCGCCGAGACGGAGGAAGAGGAAGGCCGGGTCGAAGAAGAAGGGGAGGAAGAGGGGGGTTGGTGAAGAGGGGAGTGAGGATGGGGAGGAAGAGGAGGAGATGGAGAGGGAGGAGTGGGAGGTTAATGAGGGGGTGTTTGTCGGGGCGTACAGGGAGTTTGATGTCGCGACGGAGACTACGGGGGAGGAGATGTTGCAGAGTAGTGAGTTTGCCCTTTCTTTCTCTTTTTTGTTTTGCTGGTCTCTCTCTCTTTCTTCTCCTCTTACCTTTCTCGATTCTGTTTTGGTGGCCCGTGCTTTTCGCGGCTATTTGGTCGGCCGGCACATCCATGGATGTTACGGGCACAAAACTCCCACTAGACCAATTGCCCGATGCACACTGCGCCTAAATCAGTTGCCCGTTTTCTACCAACATGGCACTGCTAACCACACACTCCACCCCACAGCGCTCGCCTGGGCCGAAAAAGGCATCGTACCCCAACAAGTACCCAACGCGCAATTCAAATTCACCAAGCTGGGCTCCGCGGGCGAGCGGTCCTTCTTCAGCTGGGGATGCATCGAGCTCGATGAGGGCGACATCAAGCGCAGCAAGAATTCGAGGCGCATGCATATGGTGTTTCACGTCACGAGGGGGAGGGTCGAGGTTAGTGTCAATGAGGAGAATGTGTTTGGTGTGGGGAAGGGGGGTGTTTGGCAGGTTCCTAGGGGTGAGTGCTGATTTTTGGTTTTCTTTCGCAGGTGTGCATGTATGCTTGTTTAGTTGGCGAAGCTGAGCTAACAATTAAATTGTGTAGGAAACAACTACAGTATTCGTAACTTGGCTAAAGGGAAGACGAGGGTGTTCTTCGCCCAGGCTTATGAGAGTACGGTTGCGGTGGAGTGAGTAGCAAGCGCAGTTGTGGCTGGGTGGCATAGCACATAGGGCATGGCGCTTGGTGTTTTGGAGACGGACATGCAAAGTCAATGAGAATGGCGAGGGCAAGTCAAGTGCATGTTCGATCGGGCTGTGTAGCAGAGATGTATATGCGGGTAGGATAAAGGATCCGAAAGACCGTACGTTACGAGTTATATGATGTGCAGGTGCGACAGACGGTCTGAAGCTTGCTAAATTAAGGACTGCTATTACAAAGGAACTAACTGTTAGAAATGTTGCGTTTAGACTCGTTTATTTATCACTATTATGATCGTTGAGAGCATACACGCTATATTGGGTTATAAGCTACTTAGAATTAGGAAAACACGTCCGTCTCTTAATCGCCCATACTTGAAACCCGCTAGAATAATGCTCTCAAGTTCTTCACGCGTTAATCCGTTCAAAGCTGAGTTGCGCCAATCGAGGAAGGCGAGATATCGGACCTCAAGTCTGATGTCATCGTGATCTCCTAGAGATTGAACGATCAACTCCACTATTTGAATATGTCTGTGCGCAGCAGCATATATCAGCGGGGTGCACCGGTCCCCGTCGCGATGCTGCATATGGATTCTCTCATCCTGCAATAACGTCCGGACAACGTCTACGTGGCCATTGATGGATGCATAGTGCAAAGCACTTCTTCTACGACTGTCTCTTGCATTGATATCGGCGCCGGCCTCGAGTAGTGCAGCTACTACCTCTTCTCGTCCCTTTTCTGCGGCGTAGGATAATGGTGTCCTCCCGGATGTCTCGTCTGTATGATTAGGATCCGCCCCGAGCTCGATGAGCGTGTCGACTATGGCCCGGGACAGTTGTTCTCCACGTTTACGAGCAATATTTGCACTGGAGCTAGAAGAGTCCGCCGCGTAGGATGACGGTGCCCTCCCAGATGTTTCGTCTCTATGATTAGGATCCGCCGTGGGCTCGATGAGCGTGTCGACTATGGCTTGGGACACTGGTTCCCCACGTTCGTGGACACTACTTGTACTGGAGCTAGAAGAGTCCGCCACTGGTTTAGTAGGACTTTCTCCGACGAAGTTCCACTCCATGGTTGCTGCCAAAGCCAGATTCCGCGTGAGCTGATCTGTCGATAGCTGAGCTTCCGGGTGCCCAAGCCAAACCAAATCCTCTTGAAGACTTCCTGTCAGGAGGAGAGGGGAGTTCTGGCCCCGCATGAAAGTCTTGTCTGCGGCTTTTTCCTAGCAACTTAAAATCAGCAGGAACCAATAGTCTCAGTTTTCCAAAAGCACGCTTGAGTTCCGCAATTATGCTTCTAAACTCCCATTTCGCTGTCTTTCCGAATAGATTGGCGAACATCCGATGATGTTCCAACAATGTCATGCCCATCGTGGCCAGAAGATCAGTCGTCGCTGGATCGATGAGATCATCCACGCGGAAAATCGTCATGCCCCAGGTATTGACTAGTAAGGACCTTGCCTTATCCCATTCTTGGCCTCGTCGGAGATCCTTTGCGCGTCTTCTGGCAACTTCGACCGCTAGATGCGGGGAGCGCAGATTCAAGACCCGATAGCCGGCAACGTTGTGAAAAGCGCGTCTCGTGGGGAACCGAGGTTACAGTCTGTGAATACTTCAAGGACCCTTGAGATCTCAGTATTTTCGAGCTTAAGTTTGTCCAACCCGATCCAGGGGTTTACTTTCAACTCGCTAGTACCGCCAATTTTATCGACCACGGTGAAGAGCGCTCGAATAAAAGATGCAAAGATTTCTTGCGCGTACATCTGTGCCAGTGAAAGCTCAGTCGTCACAAATCTGACTTCAGTCGCATCGTCATGCCTGAGCCTCTCTGCAGCGTTCCAACCAAAGATCCTCGCGAGTGCCGATCCATGCACAGCCGCGCTTGGTTGATGAGGACTCAAAGGAACAAAATCTGAGCTACGTTCGGAATCCTCTATCAGGAAAAGGTCCCAAGGACTCAGCGTCATGACCGGATATCCTTGGACAGCGCAGCTGTCCTGCATGCTATGTTGTGGCTTCAGCACCCCACCCTTGATTGCCATTCTCCTTGGAGTCTCTATCCAGAGCGCCACATCCATAGGAGATAGGCCGCCATCCCTTCCATCATTGAATGATATTAGGCAATGTTTTGAAGCCAGGGCGGCGCTTGACTTTCTTGTGTTCGTGGCACCTTCCTTCCGCTCCATTCGGCGATCCGCATGGACTGACCAGAGGCAAAGAGATAGAATTGCTTCCACCGTCTCTTTATCGCATTTCCACGGTGCTGTGGTTGATTTTCGCCAGATCTTAAGACATAGGGGTGCTGAATGATAGCATTGCGCCATAACCGAGCCGCCAACAACCCATTGGAAGGAGAGAGTCTTCTTCCATCCTGCAGAGAACTTGGAATTGCCTGACCATAATATATCCGCTGTCTGCTGGATGGCTAAAGCTAGTGAAGAAGCTTGAATACGGACTGATACCTCCTCGCCTGACCAGTTGCGCATGGGTTCCGGGATCGACAGCAGAGGTTGGAATCTCTCGCCAGTGGACTGGGCTTGCGATGGGGTTCCGCTTGTCAAGTGAGCGAGACGCTTCCTCAGCATGAATATTTTCTTTGAGAGCGATGGACGACTGCCGTGCAACTCTTTCTCGAATGGTGGATGGCACGACTCTCTGGACCCATATACAATTACTCTCGCTCGCCGGGCAGTTTCAAAGTCCGCTCTGCATTTATCCCAGTCGATATCATGGCCACGAAGCAACATCGTGAAGCAGTTCTGCGCCGGCGGTTCAGAACTATTAAATGGGGTGGATATCCACAGAGGCCTGGACGCCACAGGGGGGTTCCGTATTCGTGGATTTGGCGCAGTTCTTATCTTCCCGATCGATGTCTCGTCTCGCAAGGTCCAGCGCTAGCCAGTCCAGCTCATGGCCTTGCACGTAATCACTGACCCCCTCTAGACGATTGCTTGAGGCATCCATCCTCCGAGCGCGCAACCATGAGCGAATGAAACTCATCACCAGTAGAGCACCCAACTGCATGACGGATATAGAGGAATGAAGGGAACGGAGTCCAACGAACTGTGCAACGAAGCCAGAAACACTAAGTGTGATAGCTACAAGGAGCATTGATGTGCCAGGCGAGCCTTCTCGATTCAGTCCTTTTGTCGTTTTGGCTGATATGAAAGCGACCGTGGAGGTTTTGAATTTAGAGCCGCGCGATGTATATCTCTCTGCCTCGACGTTGCGAGAGTTATCAGGTGCCCCGTTTGTTGAGGCAGGAGAGGGATCCCACCGGTCGAATGCGTCGGTCGTATGGTTCAGTGCCTTCCATGAGGTGGTATACTCTTCAAGTGGCGCATCAGCATCGAAATATGCAAACGCGTCGAAGGACTGATCACCAATTCGCTGACCACCAGGCTGCAACCATACAAAATTTGGCAGTGACTCCTTCGCGCTGGATGTGGGAGCCACTTGTTTCCTGCGGAATTTTCTCTCCTCCGTACTCTCCCCCACGACGAAGGCGCAAAGATATATTCCCACACACAACGTGACCGTGCCAGCGGCCATGAGGGGGAATCCGTATGCTGGAACATCGGAGCCGTCTTTTTTATACTTGAGATAGTACGTTACGATAGCGGCGAAAATGATCGTGCTAAGCTGGAGAGCAACACCAAAAGCTGCAGTTGTGTGCATGTAGCCATGACAAGGGTCAGCCACGGTGGGGGCTTTTTCATCCAGATATTCAAGGTGAGATTCGGACTCGGTGCGAAGATATCTGGAGAGCTGTTCTCGTTCTCAGGCTGGTTCTCGCGATCTGAAGACTGCTCCTTTCGCTTGTAGCCCAACAGTCCTCCCCATTTCGGAACAATTTCTTCCCAATGGTCTGTTGTGGAGTACTTGCCCGTTCGCACAAGATAATCCTGGGAAGAGTAGAGGCCAGCAGAGCCTTTCCTCACGTTCGTCTCAGTGTCTTTCTTGTGGTAGTAGTCCTCTTCAGCGTCGAAAAACTCGTCGTCTTCCGCCGATGGGTTGTGGACAATCTCCAGAAGTTTTGGCCGTCCCATGACTCTCGCAATCCCGCCCCCACTCTTATACAACTTGCACACATCGTGACTCGTGGAAGAACACAGCTCAGCTTCAATAGCACCCATTCCCTCCTGCGATCGGCCAATGAAGGCTCTCAGTGACGAACCGCCGCGCACGCGAATCGCAGAGACGACGGCGGCCACAACCCCGAGAGGCACCGTGGCGAAAATGATGTAGTCGAGCACCGTGAGGCTCTCGCTCATGAACTGCTTGGTCGGCGCGTCGCCAAACAAGCTGATGAAGGGCGCGAGATCGGTGGCTAGATTGCCTGCGAAGTCCTCCCACCAGTCGTCGGCGGCGACAGCCCGCCGGCCGAGGCAGCAGAAGAGTATTAATAAAATATACATGATTGTTGTGAAGAAGTTTTCGTAGGCTATGATTTCTTTCTGCGGCTGGCGGTTCAGCTCGTATCCGAGCAATCCCAGCTGCACGGTTGAGCCCTGTAAGCATCGCCGCACATGATACGCATGCGGGCAACTGAAGGACGTTCGACGTGCAGAACGAATTGACTGGAGCTGCTTGGAGGCTCAATAGCACGAAAATCTGTCTTCTCTCAGCCTCGTCCGCAGCAATCGGCTGAACCTTCAACACATCGCAGCAATAGGGCCTCAGGCCCATTCCTTTACCACTCCTCTCATCGCCGCAATACCATTTCATATTCGAGTTAAACAGAAATGGTTTTTGCCGAGTTCTTAATTACCCTAGGCAGATTCATCGTATCCCGGGGGAGTAAAGATGCCCGCTTCAGGCAGGATAGCGAGTTCCGTCTTGATGTCTACCGAGTGCAGTACCATGAGATGAAAAAGCATGGTTTCTTGACACCGTATCTATGTTTCATCTGCCCCGGCTTCCCAAAACGTCTTTTCTCCTTGCAGTGGTTTATCTTGCCGTCCGAGAACCCCGAACTCTGCAAATACAAGGATGCGCAGCTGTCGGAATTTGCAATGACTGCTGTTGCGGTGAGTATCTCTTTCCAATACCATCAGCGTTCAGTCCATAGACGCTGACCTCTTTGGATATCTAGGGAGCCATTATTGCGCAAGTTGCAATCACGGCACTGTCACTTCCTCTATTGGAAAACGCCCACTGGATGACGACGACACTCTTCATTACAAGCCTAGTTTCTGGGTGCCTTTCCGTATATGCGGCTTGTATTCTCCATCGGGAAATGGGCCTGTTCACAGATGGGAAACATATACGTATCTGGCTAACCACATTTGATAAAGAGCACTGGCATCCGCCATGCAGGTCCGATTACCAAGATGCCAGCATGGGAGAGAAGACGGAGACGAAGCCACAGCCCCAACAACGTCATAGACAAAATTATGAAATGCCGAGAAGGTTTGAAATGGGCAGCCGGGCAAATTCCTTTGTATCCGTGGGAGGCGTGTCAGTGGGAGGGAGGTCAGCGCAGACTGTTGCGCAAATCAACAGTGATGCTAGTGTAACAGCGGCATTGCTATTGGAGGCTCCTCGAACACTACTTGACCTCTCTGTCAGCTCCTTCCTCTGCGGATTCGGTCTATATTTGGCGCTTTTATGGAACAAGAACCTCCGAGCTGCCAGCGAAGCTACACAGCCCACGGAGTCCGGCCCTCCGACGCTGTCGCACGACCGGAATATCTTCATCTCGTTCCTTATTGTCACAAGCCTTTGCTATTTCGGCATCTATGCCATCCCCGATCTTCTTAGGAACCTTGACGTAGGGTCATTTTGGTTGAATGGAGTCAAACGATTTGTTGCAGTTTTTTATCAAATTCGGCAGCCTGCCACGAAGTCCTCCTCCACGGTGCCCTCTCCCCCGAGCACTCCAGAGCGGCCTCCCTGGCATCAGTCCAAAGAGAATTTACATGTTAAGTTTGGATCGGCCTCAGTGGTCTCTTCAGGAAACTCCCTTTCGCTGTCGGATCACTACAAACTGTCCAACCCCGGGCAACCAAAGGTCACAGGAGCACAGTCCTTCCACGATCTAAACCGCAAAGACCACGACAACTGTATGAGCTCACAATCGGTAAAGAGTTTTCCAGGCCATCAGCCTGAAAGCTTGAAGGAGGAAGCAAAGGTGCAAGCAAACAAGCCTTGGGAAAGAATTCCTAGCGCCAAAGTCAGGGAAGAGTGGGATACCTTTGTGCGCAATGCACCGGTCTTGAATGAAGCTAAGCGGGCTTCTGAATCACCATTTTCCCTTCGTAGTCCCCCGCCCGGTCCTTATTACTACCAAGACACCTACTCTTCGTTCGAACTCGACCGGACTGGACCTTTTACTCGCTCGCAGAACATGATAGATGCTCTCAAAGCATCGACGAAAGCTCAGGAGGAAAGCTCGGAGATGATCAGGGCCCTGGTCGCCCAGCTGGAGCGACTTCATAAACTTGGAGGTTCAGGGACCGTGAATCAAGAGGCGCCGGCCGCGGACGAGTGATGTTGCTGGAACGCGCCGACGCTGACAAGGAAAAGTGGGAAGTACAACAGTGATTCCAGCAGTACGGGAAGTCGACCTGCAGTCTCTATCCAGTCAACCTCAAAGTTACAGAATCGAGCAGCTGTGCTAGGTTCATAAATTGATGTAAATTGATAAAGGTGATGCAACCAGAACACGAGGCTATAGGAAGACGCCCAACACAACCATAGCCATGTCCACCCCTCAAGCGTCAGGCGTCTCGAAGCTTCTAAGTTCCTTAAGCGAATTGTATGGTCTACAAGAAACTGCCACGGAGAATCTGAGGACATTCTCTACAATCGCAATTGGTTGGAGTTGTTTTAGTACGTAATGGAGAAGTGGAGTAATGAAGAACAAAGAAGAACATCTATTAGGGTGAAGCTTAACGCCATGCCACCATTGCAAACGTGTTTACGGCAGTATGTCTGGCCGATCCGTGCTCTTCTTTCCGCAATTCATAGGCAAGGTGAAGTTGAAGATGTTGGGAGGAAGGTTCCCCTTTATTCAAACAGATTAACCATTTTACTTTAAAGTCTGGTAAATCAATCCATTTTGTGTCCTAAGACGTCTGTCGAGGGATGTGTTTTGGGCGCAAAGTGTTTATATCAACCTCTCCGGTCGTCCAATACGTGTCCTTGCCTCCAATTTGCAGGTAAATAGCTTGCGCTAGGAAAGTAATACAATCAGCAATGTGTATATTTGGTTTGCGAGTCTTCCGTCGTTTGTTACACTTCATCCAACCATATGTTTTATCGTTTGATGGTCCATCATTGATCTTGAAGTCTCGTTTGTTCTTCCGGTTTGGATCTGGGTCAGTTACTACCAAGGAAGGTCAGCTTGCCGAACGGCAGTGATTTACGATACGCGAATAAATCTAACAGATAATAGGGAGTCTTACATCCACCAGCCACGTGGATTAACTCATGCAGCATAGTTTGTGCCAAGGGTTTGATGTTTTCGAGAGCTGTGAATCTCGGATCAAGGCCGTCCCTCACGATGTCTGGATACCGCCTCACGTCCCTGAACGTGTTCGTTGGTGGACGCCGTCTGTTCTCTGCTATATAAATATGCCCGTGGCCTTCGGTATCGTATTCATCGTTGAATTTGTAACCTTAGCATATCAGTGGGCCTGCGTACAAACGTAAGGTACAAGAGCGTGTCACCGACTCAACCTTTAGGCTCTTTCTTACTTACCTAGGGTTGCATATGACCCGAAAGCCCCCGGCTTAAGCCCTTTCGCTGGGTCACCAACCCCGATCGGAATGGGCATAGGTTTCGCATTTGGCTTGCTTGCGTAGTCCTTATCCACCCAATACCTGTTGCTCCTGTGCAACACGACATGATCTTCTTTGCAATAAACCATGACGAAGAAAGGACTGGTCTGGATAGTAGATAGGAAGGTGAAAACGCCTAGCCATGCCATGTGCTGTTAGCGAGGCACTTATCTGAAGTCTATCAAGGTGATAATGTCGCTTACTGATTAAACCTAGTCTGTCTTCTGGAGCGAACAGTGGATTGTAGGCGCCCTTAAACACGTTTTCATTACCGTTTACCTTGCCGGACGTGAGGGCCGCAAGCGCCGCTGTTGGATGGGGTTAGTAGAATGGTCGGCGGTTATTATTGAACTCAAGTAAATACCTCTGGCAAGCTCCACGGCATCTTGTATAGCATTGTCAATATCCTGGGGTTCGTTGCCTTGGTTGCACCCAGACGGAAGGACTACGGAATAGACAGTGGTGAACAGTATGCAAAAGAGGTATGCAGTTTTCGAAATTGACAACATGATGAGTTCGCTTCAATGATCGGCGTATGTAGGGAATTAAAGATCGATTTAATGTTCGGGCTCTCAGCATCTACTATCTTATAGAACATGCAAGCAAGTGAACTGCACCAACCGTCTCAGCTGTGCCGCAGTGTCTGCCTCGACTCGGCCCCAGTTGAGGCAGTGGCACATACTGTATCGCGACAACGCCTCCATGAGGCCAGATTTGAAGAAGACATGTAGATGATATGAAACCCAACTTACGTGCCACTGGGTAATCCAACAACTGCGGTCTGTAGGAAGGAGACTTCGCCGCTCAGAGCGCTAAATTACTGGGTGGAAAGTGAAGGGACCGCGACAGAGTAATTTGCAACTCTATTAAAAGAACACGCAGGATCATGGAAAAAGTATTGCCGCTAGGAATTGAGGCACTGTTCGAGATGATGGCATGACAGGGAATTTGGCCGGACAGCTTACAGGACTGGTTTGTACAATTGGCTTTATAAAGCTAGTGTGCTGGTCTTCCAACAACTGCTACGATAGGCAACATGAAGACAAACAATATGCTTGTTATATTCTTTCTTGCACCTATACTCACGCGAGGGTTTGCTATGCTGATACCTCGTCCAGCAGCCCGATCAATTGTTGCAAGATCACAACCTACATCATGGTCACTACCACATCGAGTTGAGATCGGAGCACCTACAATCCCCTCTCGCCGAAACTCGCGCCTCGAGGAGAAAGGACAAAACAAACAAATTCCCTTTGCGTTCTGTCCGGAGTTCTTTGAGGAGGACCCAAAATTATGCTCCCAGTGTGGCGGCGACACCAAGGTTAAAGGCACTTGTAACGACCTACTTGTGTCTGGTGATCAGACCGGTTGTCCGGGTGGAAGACCATGTCGGGGCTACTTCTGTAAATGCTCGGATATTGGAGGCCCAGATAATAATCCCAAAGTCACCATGACTTCGGTCAAAGATGGGCAAACTGGAGTCGTTGTCTGGGAGCCAATGACACTCGAAGAATATAATGGCCTACGCGCATCCACTACCATATCCATGACAGAAACTGCAACTGCCACTGGTGCAGAGTCGGAGCTAGAAACAGTAGCTGCAGTCGTCTTTGCCGGTGGAATTGCATGGTATTTAGCATGTCCGTGGTTCCGCGGTCGACCTCCTCGGTTCTGATGTTGCTAACTTAGTTTTAGCTCAGGACGCAGCTGCGGCAGCCATAGCGTTCGCGCCTGCTCCTCCAGCGCAGAGACCGGAAGGCTCAAGGGAAGATGATCAGTCTTGTAAGAGTGAGGGTCAAAAGCCAGATTGCGAGGATTGTGGTGGGAACACCCCATTGGGATTGTGTGCTAGTGGTAATCAACAGAATTGTGAGTTTACCGCTGGGGGAAGTAATCTGAAAAGATCACTGACTGACGATATCCCAGGCCCATGCGAGGAACAAGAGTGTCCAAAGGACGACCCACCCAGTTGTCCGGCGCCAGAATGCAGCGGAGATGTAGGACTACTTTCCGGACACTTTTAGATGAATCGTGGCCTTCTAACTCCAAATCTAGGACACGAGCCTCCAATGCAGCACCCGCGGTAAGCTTAAAGGGTGCCAATGTTGCCCAGAGAAACTTCCAACCTGTGAAAAGGACGATTGCAAAGGTAACAACGATGACAAGTGCCAAGCGGATATGTACAAAGGCTGTTCATGCGAACACATCGAATTTCCGGAAGTGGAGGCTCCCATAGACGAACCGTTCCCCAGTACACCAGATACACCAGCCTTCGAAGAAGCAGCCAGGGAAGCTCTGGAGACAATCTGGGGAGGAAAAAGGGAAAACATGCCAGGTTACGAGAAAAAGAACGACATGCCAGATCCATTCTGCCTGTACGGGTAAGTCTACAATCTCTACGTTGCCGTTGACTAAAGGAAATATCCGGAGCTTTGCTGATGCTTCTGCAGGGCACAGCCAAAGGAACCAAGAGAACCCAAGTCGTATTGCATGTGCGGAGCCAAGTATGAAATAATGTGGTCAGTGAAGAACGAACCGTCGGGTACACCGTGTCCTTGGAACCAGGAGTCGCCAGGTCAAACCATCACCTTCAGCACCCCTGGTCCAACTGCTCAGCCGTCTCCTGAACCAACACCTGCGCCGCCTCCGCCGCCTCCACCCGCCGCGACCCAGAAACCGTGTAGTCGCGGTTGGTGTGGAGCGCCTTTTTGTTCCCCGGAGTGTCAGCCTTAAGCAGATGGCCATTGTATCCACCGACAACGCTCATTACTTGTCTTGTCTGTATTGATATACAGTTGCACCATGTCCGTAGTATATGAAGGAGAATGGAGTAAAGGGTCTTGTCCCAAGAATAAGTTTTTGTGCTAGATAATACGACCACACTTCCTCTGTAGAGAAGTTATTCTGTCCAATACGGGTCAAGTTCCGGAGGTATGAATTGCCCAATCTCTATGAAGCTAGTTCCACAACCCACGTCATCAGGCATGCTATCGGGCCAGCTCCCTCGCCTGCTCTCTTGTGAGCTCTCTGTTAAGTCCTGTACTGAATGAATAGATTCCCGGGCAGACTGCTTGGGCAGACTCCCTAGTGGCGTGCTCGGCTCTTTGTTTTTCTCCTCCCCTTTCTCATTTCCCAGGGTTCCGTTAACCCTACGAGGCGGAGACTGCGTTTCTTCTGTATTCGAGCCCCGCCTAGACACTTCGTCTATACCGTCCACTCGTTTCTCGCCGTTGTTGTAGGACCCCCTGCGCCTGGTGCGTGTATACATCCGGTACTGACTTCTGTCAGGTGAGAAGGAACATACTCGACAGCCCAGATATACTGCGCTGGAGCATGCTACACAGTGGTAGCAATGGCGGCAGTGCTTTTCCACTTCTTTTACTTCGTTACAGTCGCAATGCGCACAGGTGTCGTACGTGCACATAGAGCGTAAGTGTCTATGGTCCGGATCCTGATTGTTTGAGGATTGATTACATCTCAGATTCAGATACTGACTTACTTCGTGGGTGAGATAGTCGTTGTCTAGTTGGTGTTGGAATGGCGGCATCTTGAACGGGAGAAGGCCAATCAACCTGTCAATATCCCCGCTGGCTGATGTGCAGCTGGGAGCAAATGCACCGGCGAGAAGTGTTTCGTCTCGTTCTGTTCCGCAAACCAGTCTGTGGTACGCCTTCCTTAGATTGTTACCCTGCGAACAATGCGAATCCTTAAACCCGAGGTAGTGAATGAGGCTTCGAAGGTTGAAGGTGCGATCCGTTTCTTAAAACATAAGCCGCTCATAGTAGGGTAAGTTAGTACGCTGTGCCGCAATCTTCATCAAACTCCGCTCGAAACCCCGCACGGACATGGTTGGGCGGCTAGGGACAGTCAGGTTTTGGGGTCCAATCCCTTAAGTAATCAGTGCCGCTTTATGGCTAAACGTGGTGACATTCCCACCATACCGTATTCTGTGGAATTTGATATTGCCGTACCCTATATGATACCTTTCACACTCGAGCTGAGCAGACGGAAAATTAGGGCTCTGTTCGACCTTACCATACTGTCACGGTTTTCAGCATCTTGGCTCCTTACTTCGGTTTCCCTGAGTTGACTTTCCGTTGAATGATGGCACCTCAGCTTTGTTGATCAGCTCCGCCGCCAATATGGCACAGTAGCGCAAGGAACAGCCCAAGCGCAGCAGGCCTCGAGGCCAGCTAAACGCACCCACCCCGTGCCGCCTCCCCAAGCCGGTGAAATTCTAAGAACTCGAACGAGGACCAGTAAAAGTATATGTAATCAGGGTACATACACAGAGAGGAAACAAGGTTTATCATTCCACTGCATAATCTCTCCATCGAATTTTTTCAAGCCTCACAAATCGCCAGTTCTTGATTATATTCATCTGCGTTTCAATAGGCGCCAAAACTTCGCACCCACTAACCGCCTCCAGATACCGGGTACAAAAGCAGACGTCTTAACCCCCCAGCCAAAGTTCGGAGTTTCATGATTCCACAATGACGGTCTCTAACACGGTTCCGCGCTTTGCCACCTGCACCATCGGACAGTGTACAAGACCTGCAGTCCGAGGGCTCAGTTGCGGGAGATGTAAGAATCACCTATGCGTCAAACATCAGTCTTCTCAATTTCATGGATGCCCGTCGGGCTCACAGGCATGTGCTTCACTCTTGCATTTATCTTTTCTGAGGGGGCTAATTGCTCTCGATTAGTTGGACGATGAAGCGTGGGAGAAGGCAATCGATGACGAAGTCGCGGAGCTGCTGTCCGCTCTGGATGCAAACGAGCTGGCAAGAGTAGCAAGCTCCCTCAACGGTGGAAATCCTTGCGTCTTTCGGCCTGGCCAACACCTCGGCACTGGCGCGATCATGGGCTGTGCCAACTATCACGGATGGCTAGATTTTGAAGACGGGCAGAAATGGCTCGTTCGAATCCCCCGAACGGGTTTCGGTACTGTTCCAGCGGATCTCATTGAATACTTTGTCGCCCGCGAATACGCTACTCTGAAGTTTCTCGAGACGACAAAAGTACCCGCTGCTAAGGCGTTTGGGTCCGGGTTGGCCTCCGATCCTGCGAATCATGTCGGAGTCAACTACATCCTCATGGAAGCGCTACCGGGAAAGCCGTATTATTCGCATGAGGCCACAGAAGATCAAAAGAAACATGTCCTTGCACAGATTGCTGATGTCATGGTCGAGATTAGCAACCACCCTTTCCGTTTGGCCGGGTCATGCGTCGTGGAGGACGGGCAAGTGAAAGTTGCAGAAGTTGCCAGTGACCGCTTCATAAACCTCGGCAGATATGGCCCATTCGAATCAGACGCGGCATACTTTGCAAGTATCATCGAGCAGCACCTCGATCTTATCGCTGATGGACAATTGTATCACACATGTCCGAAAGAAGCATTTCTCTTCTATCGACTCTTCGCTCAAAACATTGACGAACTTTGCGGAGACGAGCCTAGAGACACTTTCTTCCTGAAACACGTGGACGACAAAGGTGACCATATATTGATCGACGACAAGTACAATATAGTTGGCATTATCGATTGGCAGTTCGCTCGCACAGTACCAGCACGCGAAGCGTTCGGCCCTTCTTTATTGACAGCCGACCTTGATTGTCTGTATTCTGGGAAAGCGGGAATTACAAAGGATGATATGGAGATTGACGGAGCATTGAGATTGCGCGGGCGCGAAGACCTAGCGACATTCGCCAGTGGAGACGAGTTAATCAGGAGATTCCAACTCGGACTCCCAAGTGGGTTCACTCGAGCCGAAATCCGTCAGTTGACCAAGGCCGTCCTTGTCACGCTCAGACCGGGAGAAGATGATATCAACATGGAGGGATGGGAGAGCGATGAATGGGTCCGCTGTCGTGATGACTATCGGACCACACAAATAGAGAGCTTGATATCAGAACAGATCTCACTTCAGATGATGTAGCAAGCATGTTATGCGCTTGTCCTTGGCCTGCAAAGCTATGGCAACCATTCTGTCATTGTCTCCAAGCCCCTCAATGCTCCAGAAAATGCGATGCGTGTTGGCGGTCACGGACGAAAAACCAAACGCCCCATATGCGGGAAGGATTCTTGGTAAAGCTTCAGTCAATAAATCTAGTGGCGATGAACTCTTTATCAGCAAGTATGTAACCTTCCTTGTCATCCATGTGTTTTCAGAGAGACGTTCCGCTGTCAGACTGTACCCTACGGTACTTCCACGGGTCGAAATCGTTCCATCGGCCGTTAGACCACTGTTCGAAGTTTTTCAGGATCAGTTACTAGTCTTATACCTCTCATTCCTGGGTTATACACAAACCTGCAACGTACGGTGAGCAATACCTATAGGCATCACCGCTTGCCACGCCGACAATCACGCACCCAACAGCGGCTCGGTCTCCCCGTCCAAATTTCCGCTACCCGAAGCTCCACGACGCTTAACCATCCACAGCAAAACCGCTTGACCAAGTGCAAAGATACCACGGTCAACAGCAGCCCAGCCAACCAATTCGTACCAAGTTGACAGTTGTGCCCAAGGAAAACCCCCCATTTCTTCATAAGGGAACCTGACTCTTCCAATCCATGAAACAGCCATGAATGCGAAAACAAACGCTTGGATGGCGAGCCTTACTTGAGCGAGAGCTTGGTCCTGAGGAGGACGTGAAAGAATTTGTTTTGCTTGGTAGTAGAATGCAGCGATGTTGAATGCCGTGATGATCCAACTCAAGTATAGAGAGTGGATGCCTAGAAACAGGGCCATTGGCCATTTACGGTCTTCCCAGGTCTTCGGGTCCATGGCATCAATAAAGAGTGGAACAACAGAGATGAGTAGGAAGGCGATGTATGTGGTGATTGCGAATTTTGCTGAACCGTCGAGGTGGTCTGAAGGCAAATATAAGCATATCACGAATCTACACAGAACACAGCATTAGCATTACTAAGTATCAAAGATGTCGGAAAGCGTTGGGTCTTACAAGGTCAACCAGAGGATGACTACCACAGCCTCCTGTGCTAAGTTGAGCCAGTCCCCAGCGTTGATTGGACTGTGCACGAAGAATTCGGGATCGCCGAAGTTGTTCTCAATGTAGAAGAACGCCAAGGTAAATTGTTCGATTGTAGAGATAAGGTTGAAAAGGAGGTAGTATGTTGATATGCCGGAGCTGTTCGCTCTAGTGATAGTGCGATAGGTTTGGGGTACGAAGGATACAACACTAAAAACCAGCAAAAGTCTGGAAATTGTTAGCACATCGAGGCGATGAAGACGACTTAAGGGTAGATCCAGACATGCGAATCCAGTTTGGCACATCAGTGGTTCCCATGATGTATGAAGTATAAGTGGCCGAAATGTGTGGCGGTCCGTTCGTGTTTGGAGCTGCTCCCATAATCATCACTACACTGTATCGTTTTATAGCAGAGGAATTTGGAAAACAAAGCGCTGACTGAAACGATATATCTCATGCGGTCATGTGGCGTGGTTCAGGCAGCAACCACCCACTCTCGCAAACCAGAACCACAAAAGAACAACAGTCCATTTATCCTCCCCACCTCTCTGCTAATTTCGCCATCAGAGCTCGAATTGAGTTGGCTGGATCGCCGTACTAGAGTTAAATCTGGAGAATAATCCTCAGGCCACCTGCAATGAGGGTGTGAAAAATGGAGAAAAGGTTGGCAAACTTTATTGCTCTATCAGAAGAGGCGGTACAGTAAGAGACCCCCGACAATACTTGGACAGCATCTCATTATGACTTAGCCCAGACACGCCGCAGCTACGCCTCGAGCTGAGCGGATGCAAGAATCTCTATCTGACCCTTCCCTACGTAATCACGTTCACGATCAACCGCCAGGATGCCTTCAAGGAGTCCGTCATCCTTGAATGGGAACCCCGTGCAAGTTTCGCAAAATCCGGCTTCGTGCTTCTACATCACAACGCAGCCAAACTTGAAGCCATCAGTATTGATCGTTCCGATCTTGACATGAGCCGAGACAGGCCTCTGGTGCTGGATGGGCATAACCCAAATCTCTGGGAACTTGCCCCACACGGATCCGTGACATTCGAAACAACTTTACCAGAAGCATTCCAGAAGGTACTGGAGCCTGGTCAGACATACAGCTTACTGTGGCCGGGTGTCGATATATCGACATGGGACTATGGCACTGTGCCTGAGCACACCGACCAAAAGCTTACGGAAAAATCTCCTTCCCTTGTATTGCCAGGCGGGGCTTTCGTCTCATTTTCCGCCAGCTTTAAGTCCCAGCCCTGGCCAATGCGAAGAGTACGAGAAGCTCTAGTTGGATTCGAAAGGGCGAACCTGGAGGAGCAACAATGGCGAGCTTTCCCTCCTAAAGACCACATAGAATGTGACCCAGACGCTCCAAGCCTTAGCGTTTCCATCCAATGCCAATCTACATTTTGCCCGGATAGCGGTTTCGAGGTGATCGTCAAGGTTACCTACCAAGCAGAGAGTACCGCACGGTCCATTACTTTTCACACACATATCTTTGAACAGGGCGACTACTATCAACTTGGCCGATGTTGTGACGGAATCTGGGAGAACTGCTACCAAGAGGAAGACTACGGCTTTCTGATAGTCAACGACCCAGACCTCCCATTGAATGTCGGTCAGAACGACCAGTTCGCCAGTCTCCAGCCGGGGGAGTCGTGGACGACCTCGCAACGACCAGGAAACTCTTGGGGGGAGTTACCGGATGACACCGAGGATGGTGAGGTCATCAGGTATGTCTTCACCGGGGGGACTTTGGACTGGTGGGATTGGGGTTCAAAGGCAGATCATGGAGGGACTGTGGTCAAGTTGCCCTGCTTCCATTTTGGGCCCGTGGTGGATCCCAGGGATAATGATGGGAGGCCAAAGTTGGATGTGCCATCATCAGGTGCGGTCGAATTTTCTTTCTCTAAACCTGAGAACCGTGGCGGCTAGAGTGGGGAGAGAAAGGGGAAATTATAGCCATTGAGGGAGACCAGGATGGTGGAGTGGCGGAGCAGAGGAGACTAGTCCGATCGCTTAATATCTTCCACTCCTATTAGGTAGAGAGAAGGGAACATCTATAGTTCGGATGCATCTGAAAATTAGTTTTGGAAATCATTGGGCTAACATACTGAGATGTTTACCGTATCGATGTGTAGATAGGGTTCACGAGGTTCAACACAGAAGAGAATACAGAAGGAGCGACTAGGCGGCGCGCTGTGGGGTTCTCTCCAGTGAACATTCACTAACAAGCTCGTACTCAGTGAAACCGTGCAAGATAGTCTTTAGATTGTTTTTACCACATCTAGCTGTTCAGCAATGAACTCGCAGATTCCGCGGTTGCGTTACAAGGGCGCAACGTATTCCTTTAGATAGTAGGATGTAATAACAAGGACCCATGCAGTGCAATTGAATATGTAGAATGGGATATAGAAGATTGAGAAACTGGAAATAGACGAAACAGAAACTTAAGCATAAGAAAAATGCGGAATAGAAACAAAGAAGTAGCGGACTACAGAATGTAATAAGATAGGAAATTGTGAAAGCCTAACGTGTACGTATACGGAGTAGAAAGGGCGCTTATTTACTACGTCTTCCCGCACTGTGAACGTATATCAATCTAATAGGATTTTAGGTTTAAATAGGAAACGGATACCAGCTGCAATAGAAGAAGGAGAGTCGTATCGTGCATTCAGATTAACAATTGCGTCGTTATCAGTAATATCCGTGATTGCGAATATCTGGCTCCGCTTGGTGGGTTAGTTAATCGAATGGGACAGGCGGGCGAGCGCGATGGATTTGGCGACCATGCAACTGCATGCAAGAGGATTAAATAGTCTTTCGTGCTTTCACATTTTGCTTTCACGCTCGTACGCAGATGCATTATCCATTATTTTAGTGATGTTCTTCTCCAGTATATGGTAACAGTCGAGGTAATCGTTAGTAGCACTGGGGTACAATGAGTGAATAGGGGTGCTGACGGCAGAATTGGTAAGCTTAGTCGCAAGGTAAGCGGAAAGAGATAAAAGGCACCGGCTTTACATGGTTTCGGAAACTAAGCGATAGGGGAGCAACGTGTGTAACGATTCATGAGTAGCGTCAACGAAATGCAGCAGGCTTATTATTAAGGGAGTGCGCCGGCGACAGAGGTATATCGGTTTTCGGTCAGGGACTGCTGTACTGTGTAGACCTGCACCAGTGTCGGAATCAGTTTGACACTGGAGCGCCTATATTTCGCAGCCTTAGGATCAAGTCCCGAATTCGTAGCCTAGAACCCGCAATAATTGTGTTGCCTCGACTGATGACGAGGAGGACACAATAGTGTTGAGGCTAGTACCGGTAGTGCAACAAAAGGGAGACATTGCCTCAAGCTGGGAATGGTGGTGCATGACGGTCCCACCCATTCGAGACCCGGAGGAGGCGAATCAGCGGATGCTGAATCGAGTTGCCTATTCTGTCCCCCAACTGTCTCGCCTGGGTCTTTCCATCATCGCACACAAAAAAATTGCAGCAATATTGCCAAATGCACCCAAGTCATCTACGACACGAGGAGTGTTCCTATCTTTGCAACTCTTTGCTGCAAACCCCGTACCTATCAGTGTATAGGCTGTACACAGCTATACACCCATGGACGCATGTGACTGCGATGCGGCGACACGGATAACGGGGCTAATATAATCAAACGGTTCTCTCGAGCGTCTGCTTCTCTGCTGCTTCCGAACTGCTTCTGTGCAGGGGACCTACCCCAGGATTTGCAAATCTCCCGGCAGTGCGCCCGTTTTCTTCATTTACGCGGCCGGTTCAAATGAAAGCGAATATGCGGGGTTAATCAACTGCCCCGGATCGAATCTTCCCTAGCCAGGCACAATAGATGAAAAATATGGGGTGCAGAGGCTTCGAGAAGCATGCGGCCCGCGTGAAGAGGAGATTCGAAGGACCGCGGTGCCTGATGCCATATTAACAGGTGTAAAAATTGAGGTGGGCGTGACTGGGCGCGAAGAGGCGTGCATTATGAGAGATAATGTGTTACTAAATTGGCGTTTCGATGCAGAGCTCACGGCTCGATCTCCCGCCAGCCCTTGCACATTATTGTTGTTTGTGCGGAGTAGTAGTCTCGTTACTCGTAGCATCTAGTGGTATGACTATGCGGACAGCGTCGCCCTGGCGGTCGCACGTGTCTAATCGGCAAGTGATTTGTACAACGCTGTATGGATACCTGCTCCATAGCTCCCCACCCCTTTGACATACGGCCGATGATAGGAGAGACTCCGCCTTGCGATAATCACCAAGGCAGCATCAGCGCCCGAGAACTGCGACAGGCGAAGGGTCGTCCAACATCAGACCAGCAAGGGAAGGGCAAGAAGGGTCCAGGCTTTCGGCCAGGAAGGGACTCAAGAGTCAAGGAGGAGCGGCCTCTGCAGGGAGGCCCTCGTGAAACGCAGGTGACGGGCCGCGTCTCGAGTTGTCCGTGATGTTGGCCGCAGGGGGAAGAAAACCAGGGGGTGAATGTGGTTGTATTCAGGCCTAAATTAAGAGAAATAAGCACGCCCGCGCTACGCCCGTTTGGGCAAGGGCCGCACTGCCTCCCTTGTTGCCGCTGCCTGCACATAAAGGCCACCTGTCCTCACCTTACTCCTGGATATCATCCCTCGTTCCTCCACCCACAACCCGATGCAGTCCTAGAAGCATCGATATCACAACCTCCTTACCCAATTCCACCATGGCTTCTGAGCAGCTCGTCTACCAAAACTTCACCCAGGCTATGACCACTCCCGCCATGATCTCGGTCAACCAACTCACCCCTCCTCCCTCCTTCGACCCCACAGCCACAACTATCAAGATGGAGGACCTCACAATACCGCTCAACCTGTCTACCCCGCCTCCACCCTCACTTCCCCCGACATCACATCCCACCCCGTCATCGACAGAGGCTAAGCCAGTCAAGAAGCGGAAATCGTGGGGTCAGGTCCTCCCAGAGCCCAAGACCAACCTCCCCCCGAGGAAGAGGGCCAAGACCGAAGACGAGAAGGAACAGAGACGGATCGAGCGTGTGAAGCGTAACCGCCTTGCCGCCCACAACTCGAGGGAAAGGAAGCGGCAGGAGGTAGAGCAACTCCAGGCCGAAAAGGATAAGCTAGAAGTGGAGCTCAAACAGGCGAAAGCCACAATGGCCCTGATGGCCGCACAAATCCAGGCCTTCCAAGCCAGACACCCCGACGAAGCCTTGGAATACGTCTTCGACGCGTCATCCTCCTACACATCATCGTCATCACCCGAGTTCATCCGGGGATCGTCGGAAACTGTGTGTCCCCGCCAGACCTCGTTGCCCTCGCCGCCATCTACCGACTCAGCGACCTCACCCCGCGACGATTCCTGCCAGCCTGAGACGCCGGCGTACACGGAGAGCGTGGCCACCGACCTCGACCAGACACGATATCCTGCAGCGATATTGTGCGACCTGCAGTGTCAGTCGAGCTCGGCGACCGCCTCCCCAGCCCCGTCTCTCCAAACGACCCTGGCTTCCCCTTTTCCCTCCAGCTCAACTACAACAACATTGGCGTCGAGGAAAAGCCAATCGACGACCTCTTCAACTTCGACCAGTTCCCCGACCAGTCTGACGACTCGACCACCACTAGCACCTCTCACAGCAGCCTGGACGCGTCCGACTTCTTCACCACGTCCTTCTTCGACGCGGGCGCCACGAACCCCTACGGCCTCTCGGATTCCTATGACGCAAAGACCTTCGACTTGCAGACAACCTCTGGCGCAGCTAACGCTAGCGACGGGGTTCTCGCAGCGGGGATCTAGCTTCAAGTGGATCGCGGGGTTGAAAGGGTTCAAGGCGTGCGCGGCGAAGGAGGCTGCTCGGTCGCGGAGTCGGATGGAAAGGTCCAGTGGGTTTGGGAGCAGCAAAGGTTTCTTGTCGTTGAGTAGGGAATGGGAATGGAAAATGGGAGGGGAATTGGGTGTCATTCTCGGCGGAGTTCACTTGGCGTTTGTCACGGTCTGTAGATTAGGTGATGAGTACTACGATGAAATGAAAGCATTTGGTGGCTCTATACTACAAACTTGGTTCTCTCTTGCTGTGGTGCCTGTGTGGGATTTGCTCTGACATACTCTCGCAATATTCGCTAAGACTACACGCCATTGTGATACGATTTCAGCTTGCATGGCCTCACCCACTCAAGCGTGTAATCTATAGACACACAATCATAAACTCCCAAATCTTGCAGGACTTCAGTTGGTCTCACGTCAAAGGAAAGAAATCTCAACACATAGGTTCGTCATGGCATTTTCAGAGACTGTTGTTACAGAGTATACCATGACATTCCGCATCCCAAGCATAGGTAGATCCTTTCATCCCTCGTAATCTTCCCAAATCTCAGATTCCATTCCATCCCTCAAGTGCGTCCCTTGTTCATCTTCTCGGGCGGAGCTCCCTTGCCGCTCCCCGTACCCACGCTCCCGCCGCCGCCGCTGGCATTCATGCCCTCGAGAGCTGTATATACATCGTGTAGAGTCAGCGAAGCACGATACACTGATTTTGTGAAAGTGGGAACAGTGGGGATGTGTAGGTTAACTAAGGAACTTACCACCGCCTTTCTCGTGTTCGGGCATTGGCGCCGTCTTTTGGGCGCGCTGGATGGTGGGCTGGTTAGGTGGGGGAGTTAGCTTGGTGTTATGTTACCAGGGAGGGAAGGCAAGAATGTAGAATAGTGCGGAAGCGCGGGAGGCGTCTCTGGATGGTGTGTGGCATGCATATTTTCCCCTGCGGCGGCCAGAAACATCCGAACTCTTCTCAAGTCCCTGCGTAGTCCGCATGGTCCTCTCGGAGTGGCGTCTGATGAGGCGTGCTCCCGGCTTCAGCCCTCCATGTCATCGCCCCGCTGGGACTTCGAGGCGGGCTATCCAAGTATGGCCAGGCGAGGAGCAGCACGAAATGTGCGATGCGAAACCGAACTCGGATCAAACATGCTGATCTGATAATCCTCCATATAGGTGGAACAAACGCGTGCCGCGGGCGAGAATCCTGTGCCCCAGACTCTTACTCAAATCCTGCGTCCCAGATAGACCTGATGAGCAGGCACGCCTTGCTGCGACCGGCGAAGTACCCACTCCTCAGGCTTAGGGCACTCCTCGCTCGCCTCGCGCGAAGGACGCGGCGAACACTAGGTCTGAGAGGCGAGGCCCTTGGCTCCCAGACAAGGCGAGCTGAGAGGTCCTGCTGCAGAGGATGAGGAGAGATGCAGGCGAGGGATCATCTCAGATAGATGTATCCTCAATCCGGAGGAACAAATCAGGTACCCTGGATGCATCTCTCAATGCCCGACGTGCCCCACAAGCCCCAAACAGCTCCGAATAGAAGAATACCATCGTGCGAGCTCCATCCAGGTCGAGGTTCCCCGTCATCAGGCTTGTAGAGGGTGCAGATAGATGCGGACTCGCTAAGCCTACGCCTCAATAGATACTCTCGCGGGAATACCGACAAGGCGAGCAGAGCAGGCACGATGATTCCGAAGTCCGACGCCTGCGGTTCGTTCTCGCGCGACGTTCCGTAAGTAGTTCTCGAGCGCCCTCATGGGAGTGGTCCATTCGTATACATCTCTCGCGTCAGAGAGAGCCGGGGTGGTGCTATTTCGGGACTCGCTTCGGAGAACCAGGTGCAAGTGGTACTGGGGAATAGCATGCAAGCCACAATCCGCAAGCCACAAACACCATCCAGAGACGACCATTCCAAATGATAACGACGAAAGAAAAAACGGAATTAGACGTACATCTCCACTGCTACCATGCGTAAGATGCTCCCCCGTCTCAAAGGGTCCGTTGTCCGAAGCACCACCTGCACGAGGCATCGTTTCGTTTGGGTATATCGTGTCGTAAGTATGGGTGGCACTTGGTGTGTTTCAAAGACGAGAATGTATGAATATGGCCGTGAGAAACGTCGTTGGTGTTGAGATGCCGAAGGAAAGAAGATGAGAGGAGAGTTGCAGTTAATAACGACGTTGCTACATCGTCTCCATCTAGTGACGTCATCTGCTCCCGGCCAGATGCGGCTCGTGGAGAGTTCTGAAAGTGAATGCCTGCCAAGATGGAGAGGGGTTTGGTGGACATTCCGATTAAGTGATGGTAAAATGATGTAAGGGTAGAAAGAGAAGGGAAAGTCAGGATCTCGATGCTACCAGTACGTTTCGGGAATGGGTGAGGATGTAAGTGTGTTTAAAGGATACAGGTTCATCGTACCATGCAGTTGAACAGTCCGTGGAGTTGCCAACCGCATGCTGGAAGAAAGAAAGTTTGGCCAGAGGATGACCCTCCTGGCACCATGAGCATCCAGTGCCATGTGCAGCATACGCCCACAGTACCCGCAACCCAGCCCAACGTCCAGTCTATCCGCAACGCCAAACTAATGCACCACCGCCTCAAGGCAGACCCAGAGCAGAAATGTCCGCAGACGTCTTCCTCCCCTCAATCAATTCCGCCATACACAAGCCCGTGCCGCAAGACTGCGCAATCCCCCAAGCACCGTGCCCTGCCGCCATGAAAACCCCTCCATAAGGTTTCGTCTTAAGTCGACCACCAAGTCTCGCGTCGGGAATCCTAGCTACGATAGGCCGTCCGCTCGAAGTCACCGGACGGAAACACTGAGCCCTTGTTAGTTCTCAAGCTGAAAAAGAGAATGATGGCTGTAACGTACAAGCGACTCCCTCGTCGTCTCCACCTCCTTCCCCTCCACAGTTCCCATCATCGCCAGCGCACAGTCCGTCAGCTTTTTGATTGCCTCAGGGTTCGGCTTCGCATCCGTGGGTACCTCAGGGAGGGGTATTTGCATCGAATTCAGCCCGGCAAGATATACCTCCCCACCACTTCTGGAGAAAAATTCCGGTGAAAAGCCGAGCGTGTCTGTTGCAAATACGGCATGGCACATCTCTTCCGTTGCCGTGTCTTTGAAATGCGGGTTCTTGAGGAGGAGAGAATGCCCTGCTAGCGCGGAAATGGGTATGCAAGTATTTGAGTCGGGAAAGAGGGTTGAGAAGAGGCGTGGAGTCCAGGCGCCGGTTGTGAGCACTAATCGTGAACATGGTACTGTGGGTGTCAGTGGGTGGTCGAGGAGGGAAGCTGTAGAGTGCTCATACGCTCAGTCTCTGATCCGTCCTGGCTGATCTTAATCCCAATCAACTGATTCTGCTCATCCCTCGTCACCCCCACAGCTTTCGCAGGGTGATGCAGCTTAACCCCTCTCTTCAGACACTCATCCAGCAGGAACTGACAGAATTTCAACGGATCTCTGTGTCCCATCACGAGCCAGTCAGTCTCTCTCACACACAACCTCCCAGCAAAGGAAAACCGCACTCACAACTGCGCCGTGCTATCATCTCGGCTAATCACCTCCAGCGTGGCCCCCTCGCTCCTCTTCAACCACACCGGTCCCTCTTGGTCGGCCTTTGGCTGCGACTCCGCCGCGGCCGCTGCGGCCGCCTGCGCTCTACTCCTCCCATTGAAGAGCCAATCCTCCCCACTCCCACCAACTGCATCTTCGTCTGAGTACTGGCTGTAGGATATACCCGTGCTTGCACTATATCCCCACAACTTCCTCCCATCGTGTTTGTCTGCGAGTTCTTTGTGGAGCTTGAAGGAGAGGGCGCCGAGGGAAGCGACGGATGGGGCGAACCCTATTACATGGGCTGGGTTAGAATGGATGCGCAAATTGTGTATATCGATGTGACTTTATGGGGTGCCTACAATCAGCAGCTAGAAAACCACCCGCAAAGCCTGATGCACAGTGAAATAGGTCGGCGATGGGATCGACCAGGTGGATCCTCTCAGGAGGTGTGTTCCCCGATTGCGAAAGATAGTAGGCGGTCGACAGGCCAATGATTCCGCTTCCCAGGATGACTGTGTCGGCCATGTTGTGCGCTCTATGAAATGAGACAGTGCGAAGAGAAGAATGAAAGAGAAACGTCTGGAGCTGGGAGACGAGCTCAGGGCAAAGCTAAAGCTAAGCAACAGCTCAGGATGCCGATGCGGGGCCGCCCGTGGTCGTTAGGTGCATCGCAGGAAAATGGATGGCAACCTTGGAAGAGCAAGAGGTCGTACGATCTTTCGCCGGGACTGTAACCCGGGGAGCTGCGAATTCGAGACAAACGACTGCTCCTTCCGAGTGTTTGCGTGGTTTCCGACATCTGACGATGGCCTGATCTCTTGCGTTTGTTAGGGAATGCCGGTTTTTGCCGTTTGTAGCATTGTTGCCATGTAGGTACACTAGATTAATTGAGAGATGTCTAGTCTGGTGAGGATGACGTGCCTCTCCGGCAAAAGCCCATAGATGGCACTTGGTGGGAAGAAAAAAGCCCCAAAAGCTTGGGGGTGTAGAGTCGCTGTATCAACTTCCCTAGATGCAGGATGATTTTTGTTTCGCTACATACCCGGTACACCGTTGAGGTTGTCCAAGCACAGTTTTACGGGAATCCTCGGCTATAGATAAAGAGGTAAATTGGCCCCTGTAGCAACTCCCTCATACCGTAGCGGCAATCACTTGTTACAATACAACACCATAGAGTTGCACCAAGCCCTAACGCTGCGACTGAAGCGCATAGAAAGAATAACTATTTGTTGAATGCTCAGTAATACAATGACTTATACTACCACCCCGTTTCCACCATACTAAGCATGCATTGCAACCAATGCTCGCAGAGGCCAACCTTCAATTCCATCATCGAGAATACCTGCCTAAATTCCACCATGTCAAACCATGTCTAGCTAGCCGATAGCCGTCAAGCTTGTTGTGGTGTCAGTCTCAGTATACAGCCATTCCCATGTCGGTTTGCGTTGCGACGCTTTTCTTGTGCTCGCCCGATGCTTTTCGAGAGACGCGCGGCTCCTCTATGTGGTCATCCCTTCGTTCCTCTACTTCATCGAAGACAGAATACGCGCGAATGATCTCCTGCAGATATTCCCTATCATCCAGCGAGCTGCGTGCCCCGATAGAGGAAATGCTGTAACGACTGTCACGGATGGCACCATTTGATGGGTTGGCCGTTGCGTCAGTAATGTCGGCACTAATGGCACCGTCGGTCTGGATAGGCGTCGGTGCAGCATATCCAGAACCATCGTACATCCCAGCGTGTTGGCCCCACCGGATTTCGCAACGAACAGACTTGGGCTCACCTTCAGAGGGCTCCGTGTCTTGACCTTGCCGGTTGACTGCGGGTTCTGCTTCTTGAGGCTCAACGTGGATTCGACAGAGCTCCTCAAAATTCTGTAAAGCAACGACAATCCTCGAGTCAACTCTTTCCCATTCGTCTACGCACTCCGAACGACGGGTCATGTCGTCCTTGCCACTCCTCTTTGAATGAGATGCGCGCCCGGTGGGAGCATCAAAGGTCAACTCGGTACTAACCCCTGAACCCTCATTGGCAACCATATCAAGCGAAAAGTAGCCATTGGTACCCATGGAGCGGACAGCGGGAGAAACCATGGGAACATCGGGAGGTTTGATGTCTTCAAAGGTAAGGTTAGTCCCTGGCATCGGCGTAGGAATTGGCTCCCTCATGGCTAACATTGCCGACAGCTCTGGGCGCTCTGGAGAGCTACCAGGCGAATCCGAGAATCCTGGTGATGCCTGCATAGCTCTTGTCAGGTGGCCTGGCGTGTCGGGAATGGTTCCACCAGGCAGCGATGCTTTTGGAGGCGGCGTCGACTGCCTACTACCCGGGACGGCGATGGGCGATGATCGGTGTATACCCACTTCGGAAGTATCTGGACTAGTTCGTTTGCGGACGAACAGGATCTGACTAGCAGGAGGGGTCTCTAAAGCAAGTGCAACAGACGGCATAGCTTTCAATGAAGGCGTCTGGGAAGTGAGGTTAGCATTCATCAGCAAGGCAAAGGAAAACCGTAAATCAACCTCGTTGAGACAACTGCGAGAGTCGTCGTCATGACTGGATTTGGCTTTCATGACATCAAAACTTGATCTTAGCTTTCGCAGGGACCGCGCCAACTTGCTGCTCCGCTTGGAAGGACTGTCCGTCCTAGACGAATCATTGGAGGAAGGACTCTGACCAAGGTCTTCAAGACTGCATGATGTACGATCTTTGATTGATGGAGGCGAGTCTCTCGTTGGCGTCTCGGGCCTAGACATGTGTCAGTAATTCTACACTAAGGTGACCGTGAGAGCGCAGGGCCATCAACTTACACTGCGGGTTGCTCAACATGGTCCACTTTGTAGAGTCCCAGGAAACTCTTCCTCGTACGCACAGCAAGCGTTATCAGCGTCATACCTGATTATCGATGCAGGCTCTGATGTGCGACTGGTGAATTATGCTGGCATGCGGGTCATGGGCGAGAGGGAAGAAACGAAGCATTGTGACGATAGCTGGACATTTCTTTGGCAGCGAAGTAGATAGCTCTTGCCTTAATCCAAGGGGATTGGACTGCTTCTCGGAGGGAGTAGCAAGCCATGAGAGTCGAGCCAAAGCAGGCGCCATCTTCCTCCCTAGTACTGCCTTTTCCGAGTGCCAATGGCTCCGATGGCTCCCAGAAATACCTGCGCCCCATGATGAACTCCTATCCTACACTATGCGCATTATAACCCGTTCTAATAACGGGCTCACACGCTCGACCGAGGCGGCTGGCATACAATTCTTGCAATGTGCAGTGACAACGTGCATCAGATGAGCTGGGTGCTATTGTGAAAACCAGTTCTAAGTGCTAGTTGTGTAGGCTGAGGTTGCCGGTGACAATCGTGCAGTATCTCCAGGAGAAGGACATGCGGTAACGCACAAGTACACACAAAAGAATCCTCTATTCTGGATAATCCAAGAGCATGCCGTTGGGGATGTTGGACGACAAGCAGTTGTTGAGAACTACGATCAATCAAGCACTGCGCCAAGACAAGTTTTGGCGATCACACGTGATCGTCAATGGCCCGTGCAGCCCTTACAATGTTCGCGTTCACGTCCGTCTGGTCCGCGACAGCCATCCTGAACCTTGGAACGCAAACCTGACAACACGCGAGTTACTTCTCAATTGGACCTCTGTTACATACATACCTTCACGATACGGCCGACAAGACCTTTTCCTGCTTTCGAACCGATTGAGAAGGTTGCGCCTGATCCGACCGCGCAATCATGGCGCGTGGCAGACCGTCAAGAGCTGCGGCTCGTCGCAGCACACCGGTGCGAACAGCCACTCCCCAACAGGACTCCGATGAAGAGATGGTGGACGCACAGGATTCACGCGCAGAGACTCCCGCACAAGACGATGATGCCGGGACCCCGGCGCAGGAGTCGGAGGAAGAGAAGGCACCCTCAGAGCCATCCTCTCCCCCCGTTATTCAATCATTTCCGCGCAAAAAGCGTCTTGGCCGACCGCCGAAAAATCGACCGCCGGACTGGAATGTCATTGAACCCGACAACGCTTCGGAGGGTGGTACGCCTATCAAACGAAAGCGAGGACGACCCGCAGGGGGAGGGCAACGGGGCCGACCGAGGGGTGGACCGGCACAGCCTACACGTGTGGCAATCGACAAGGAGGGAACCATGGCAGATGTTGTCAACGACGAGGTTGACCTCCCGGAAGACCCGGAAGGTGAAGAGAAGGTTGATAAGCTGGGAAATCTAAAAGGAGGCCGGGACTATCGCGTGCGAGTGTTCACAATCACTGGACGAGGAGATCGGCTGTACATGTTGTCGACGGAGCCAGCTCGCTGTTGCGGCTTCAGGGACAGCTATCTCTTCTTTACCAAGCACATGCAGCTCCACAAGATCATTATCGATGACTCCGAGAAAAGAGACCTCATCGAACGAGACATCATACCACATTCCTACAAGGGTCGTGCGATTGGTGTAGTCACTGCGCGTTCTGTCTTCAGAGAGTTCGGTGCCCGCATAATCATCGGCGGAAAGAAGATCATCGACGACTACTATGTCACCGCAGCACGGGAGAGGGGTGATGTGGAGGGCGAACTAGCAGATCCGAATGACAAACTGCCGCCACCAGGGGAGCCTTACAATAAAAACCAATACGTTGCATGGCACGGTGCCAGCAGCGTCTATCATACAGGTGTGCCCAGCGTTCCTGTGTTACCGGGAAAGCCGGCGCCCGGAAAGCGGAAAGTGAATATCACCTCTGCCAATTGGCAGTTCGAACATGCACGGTCATCAAGGTCAGTCGTACGTCAAGCCACCCAGTCGACCTGCTAACATTCCCAGTCGCTTCAACTCATCACTTTCTGCTTTACGGAAGGCGAACATTCAGGGCATATATGATCCGCATACAAACTTGATGTGCTATCCCAAGATCACTCAACCTACGCATGCGAGATGGGAAGAAGTTCCCCCGTCCGAATCTGACGTTCCAGAGGCGGTACGCCGGAATTATCTCGTCATCGATACATACTTGCAAACGCCTCCTTTCTCGGGATTGGGAATCCCTGGACCCGATGGAGACTTTTACGACGTGGGACCCAATGGCCTACCCGATGTCTCAGAGGAAGATATAGCCAAAATGAGCGAGGAAACGCGTCAAGCGTTCCTGAAAGCCAAGCAGGCGGAACAAGAGTGGAAGAACCAATGGCAGTCGGAAGCTGTGGACGGCGCACGAGCGAAGATCAAGATCAACTACACCGGCGTTCCTGTTTAGTAGATGATCTCCGATGGACCTTTGTACGATAGGTTATTGTGCTTCATGGTTTGCAGGGTTTGATTGCGATACCAAGGCAGGGATTCACAGGCCTCTTCACTTTAAAACGTCTGACGGCTCTGGACTTGGGCCCAGTGAATAGCGGAAAGAGGTTCATTTCTCATCTTATTGTTTCAATTGGTTTGTCCTGTGCGATATGTGAGTCTCAACTTGAGCTATGATGGGAACGCGGATAGGTTCCTTTGTTTCACTACGGGTTAGTGGTCGATTCCGTAACACCCAAAGACCAACTCCACCTCTAGGAGGTTTACGCCAAAGCCACATCTTACAACGTCAAAGAAACGGTGATCGCCTAGTCGAAACTGGCGCCCGTGAGGGCATCCCGAATGACAACTACGATGGCACCGGAAGGATAAAGACCGAATGGACACTAAATACCCGCAGTCACCGATTAGGGTACTGGCAAGTTTAATCATGCACATGGCTAACGGTTAGAGTTCACGCACAGTTCGTATTTGGAGCAGTATCAGAATGCCGCTGGGCAAGTTTCTCAATGCAAGTGTACCATCTTGCACTCCCCCTCTGCTCGACCAGTCTTTATTCGGATCTAGGCATGGGTGTGAGTACGTTTGTTTGAGTAAGTCAGTACTGGATCTAACGAGCCACAGATCAAGAGGGACGATATTGTGGCCTTGGATGATTTGACAATGGCACGACTTGTTGCTTTCCATGTCCTATTCAGGATTGGCTCTACCCTCCAGGTGAGCCCCTTGACTTCCTCATGAAGATCCCAAATAACGTTTTATATGTATAGAATGGAAACAGCAACTTCGGGTCCCAAACTACCTAAGCATTCTTTCCGTCGCGCTTTGCTGCTTCCTACTCCTCTCTTTCGCCGTTCTACCCCCTGGTCAAACGCACCGCCATTACCTTAGCGTAGGACTCCTGTTTCCGGTCCTCTTCATCTCACTCTCCTTTGTTATTCCGGTTGCTATCGACCCGCCACTCTGCCACGACGCCATAACTCCCAACGATATGCATACGAGTTTCTCATGCGCAATTGCAGGAGCTCTCGTCACTCTTGGAGGAATAGGCTGCGTCATCTGGGTCTTTCTCCGCAGTCTCTGGCTTCACATCCGCATTCTGTGGGATCGTGATCCAGGCCCAAAGTTTCAATGGGGTTCCATCGCTGCCGGGACATTACTTCCTCTCGTCTTCCTTATCGCCTTGCTCACCTCGACTGGCTTCAGCTACCGCATGGGTCAGACATGTCTTCCAAACCACGAAAACGCCATTGTGACCTTCTGGGTGTGGCTGGTCATCTTCGCCACTGCTGGATTCATTCTCCAAGCAGTGACAACTGGATATTGCATTTTCGTCTACCTCCGGACTCGGCGTCGCGAGCGAAACTCGTTGGGTTCAGCTCAGCGCGGTCAAGCGATGCAAAAGCAAGAGACGTGGAGGAATGTCAAGAAGTTGATTCTTTTACAGTGGCGCAATATCGCCGTTAGTATTCTGACAATCGTCGGTTCCGTTGCGTTCTTCATCGTCTTCTGGACCTAGGATGAGAAGCTGGGCCGCGTGTTCAACGACCCGAACAACATCATTCCCGTCAAGACGTGGATTATATGCTAGACGCTATCTAGAGGCGACAAAGAAGAATGCAGGAAATACGTCAGCAATTTTACTGTTCCTCGCGGTTCGGTATTGGCGAGTTTGATTCTTGCCTCCGTAAGTCCTCCCCTTTTTTCAATTCATATCCTTCATCCACTACACATGTACTAACCAACACCCCCAGCTCGTCGGCATAGAAATCTTCATCCTCTTTTTCCGACGTTCCATGCTTCTCGGCTGGCGCAACCTCCTCGCCCACCTCTTCCACCTCGCTCGCACCGGCCGCCCGCCAACTCCCGCACTCACCTCCCTCGAGAACCCAGACCAATACATCCCCACACTGAAGCCCGTACTCACGACCTCGGCTGCCAGCGCAGACACTCCATCTTCCACAAGCTACCGCAACGATACCACAGAACTCGACAACATCTCCGAGACCTTGGGCACCGCGGGGACATATCATCATCGTCCGGGGCACGAGCGCACGACGTCCGACACGGGATTACTAGCGCCGCAAACACAGCAATTTCGCTCTGTCTGGGAGAACTCGTCGGCGGAGACTTCGAGGGCGAATACACCAGGACCGCCTTTCGTGCCGCAGCGCAATGCCCCGTCACCGCCGACACGGACGTATTCCCCGGCCTCGGCGATGAAGATTCAGGGTTCATCGTTTCTGGCACGGACGCGGAGTAGACCGTTATCTGGATCTCTGGGCTTGAGGAGTGAGAGGCAGATAGGTGGAGATGTGAAGCGCCGAGGGACGGGGTCGTCGGATGTTAGGGGTACGATATCGACGCCGGTGCCGGGGTCGTTTGTACATGTTGATGGGGCTCCGGTTTTTCGGACCCAGCCGTGGAGTGCGACGCATGCTGTTATGAGGGAAGGGAGAGAGGCAGACGAGGAGTGGCTGGATGAGGATAGTTGGGATGGGGGCAAGGAGGTGTGAGGCTGTGAGATGATGGAACTAGGGAGAGAAATGGGGTCTGGTTTGATGTTCGGTGTCTATAGACTTTTGGACGGCGAGGTACGCACGTGCTTTTGTTTGCAGCTGTATATGCTTGATTCTTGTCAATAAGTTGGGATAGATGCACTCTTGATTTGGACTTGGACAAGAGATGTGGACAGAACAAAATATAAATGAGACCCTGGGCCTGGCTATTCTCGTAATCAAAGCTGCTTCTACAGAGCGGGTATTTCCAAAAAAATGAAACAAGCTGAATCCTCGAGCTTTCCAGCGGCAACAATCACTGATACGGAATTTGGTGAGTACGGCTTTATCCCATTAGACAACATGATCAACCCCAAATGATCAGCTTCTGGACAGGATTCTGCGCCATCCAGTCTGTGATCTCCAGGTGCTGTGATAATTTCCAATTCCAATTCGCTCGATAGTGAATCCCGTCGATCTCCTCAAGGAGCAGCAATGCCACGCTCTTACCCCCTTCCTTTACTCCAATCACAACGAATTCCAGATACTCAGGTTGATTCGCGCGCCACGCAGGGTCGATGCAGCAGCTAAAAAGTCGCTCTCCATCATGGCCAAGAACGTCAAAATCAAGTGCAGAGCCTTGTTCGGCCTTCTGATTGGATGTAAACGGAACCTTCAAAGAGACAACGCTTGTGTAAAAAGCTAAGAGGTGGCCTGGATACGCGTGTTGTCCTAGCAGACTTTTGCAGTCGACCTGTTGGTAATCCTCTGGTGCTTCCAGTTGAGCCATCAATCTGGCTATACATTCCTTCTCTTGCTCTTCGTCCTCTTTCGTTGGCTGTGTCTGCCCCAGTGCCTGTTTCTTCATCATTTTACCCAGAAGTTTCATGGTGAGCTCCTCGGGGGGTAGATCAGGATGTGCCTGCACCTGTTGATTGGCCATCATCATCCAATCCATGAGCGCGTTGGTCTTCTGCCTTGTTTCGGGAACCTCCTCTGCCACTTCTGGTCCCTCATGGAAGAACAGTTCGAGCTTTCCGTCATCATCGAAAACGAAAAACTTCATCGGCACTGATTCCTTGGGCATGTTGTATCCATATGCCCCGACTGTGCTTTTTTCCGAGTCGAAAAACTCGAATTTCCACTTCCATCCGGCCCACGACCAGCTTGGGAAGCACTTGCGTCTCTCGAAGATTCCATTGTGCGCATCATTCCAGAGTAATGAGCGACCGAAGAATTTCATGGGGAGGCCGTGGTGGAACGGACCCAGTCTCTTCGACAGCACCTTGAGGACGCCCGAGAAGGCGGGAAGAGAGTCTGTGTCGAACTTCATGTTGCGGCGGAGATAGAAGGCCAATAGGCCATCATAGTATTGCTTCCACACCTCCTTCAGATCCATATCTTCTGGTATGTCGTTTGCGGTCACCGAGATCCAGTCATCGCTCCGCTGAGCTGGCACCGGTGTTGGTTCCCCCGTGGCGGAAAGCAATTCCCCATCTCGGAATAGGGCCTTTGCGCATCTGAAGAAGACATACGTCTCGGTGAAAACCAGAAGCCTTTTACCAAGGATATACTCCTGGTATGTCCAAGCTCGAGTGTTCCAATGGGATCGTTTGGCTGAGTTCGTCGTCGAGGCTAGAGAGGTCATTAGTATTTTACCATCCACGGCCTCTTCACAAGTGTATAAAGCTCTGGTTTTCTGTCCCATCCCGGGTATTCCGTGCTCGGCACCGTCTCCAGCAGCGACGATCAGGACTGCTAACGCATGTCCATATATCTCGTCCATCAACCCGATTTGGTCGCCTTTGTCTTGCTCGTCATCCTGGACGATACAAAGTGCGTCAACCCAGAGGTAGCGCACTCCAACGTTTCGGCAGACTTGCATTGCATCTCTTATGCTCTGGGGAATCTTGGTGCCAATGGAGCTCAAGAAGCCTTCCTTTGTTGAGTCCTTGACTACGTCTTTGGTCAGCATGAACTGCGCAGCCATACCCCAGACATAACTCAATGTGAAGTACTCTTCGACATTTGCACCATCGACAAGGCAATTCCTCTCCACATCAATCAGTCTCTTGGCGGGCGACTTCTCCGTCCCTGACCTGCTACATGCGGCGCCATGTTCGTGCTTGCATAGGTTGATCCATTTCTTCACCAGGTCAAAGTCAATTTCATCGTTCCGGAGTATCTTGCTCTGGCGCCACTCCTGCACACTCGCCTTTCCCGCAACCGAGTACTCGCCCATCGCCATTTGCGTAACCATGAAATGCGGGATACGCTCGTCCTCGTATATAAACTTTGACCATCAGTGGTTTGCCAGCGGCCCTCAAATCTGAACTGTACTTACGACCTGTCCACTACCACGCTGATCTTGATTATCCAAGGTATTCTTGAACACCATGGCAATCAATTCAACCCACCTAGCGCCACCAGGCTCGTCACTCCTATTCAACCCCATCACCGCATTCGGGGGAAAATCACTTAATAATTTCCGGAAATAGGGTCGAATGGTCCGCCATACGAGTCTACACATAGAGCACCTGTGGTTTCTTTCCAAGATGGAAGTTGGCCACAGATATGTTCGGCCTGTTTCAGGTGCATCTTCGATTGTTCCATCGCCCATCGCAAGCGGATCGATGTTCTTGACATTACCGCGCGTTTCGCAGATGCTGCACAGAGTGTCTTGCAGAAGGTCGTCGTGCGGGTTTGGAACGCCTGCTGGGTATGGGATCAGGAACCGTGTTTGGACTTTGATTACTTCTGAGGTTCGGTAGAGGGAGCCGTAGCCTCGTCGGTCTGGGGGTAAGGGGTTTGCCATTTCCTGGTTGGTGGGCGAGATTGGGTTGTGGTTGGTGATGACGGAGCGAGGCTGGAATATATAAACTGCACAGCAGATACCCTTAGCTTAAGGGATGGAATTCGGGGCTGGAGAAGGGTGGAAGGAAGGTTTATATCCATTGCCTTCATAGAGTGCACATACAGCGGCTGAAACCGTCACCGGTAGGCTGCATCTAAGCCACAGGCGAATACGGAATCAAGCTGGCCGTCCCAAGCACAACGCGTGAGCAGCTGAAGCGGTTGGAATACTGTCGGGGTAGGCACCCAAGGGAGGCGGTAACCTTACGCCCTAGTAAAGTCGAGCCGTCCGCATTATTGAGAAGCAAAAACATGACAATGGCGAGTCTTTGAGATTCCAGGAATTGATTCATCCCAAAGTACAGGCAGGAGTCCTGGGAGACCCTCGAAGTTCTGTAAGTGGCGTGGTTTTTAGGCTTCCATATCAACTCCTTTCTATGCGCAGAAGAGACACATGGGATTTGAGGACAATGTAAAAATTTAGATTACAAGCTTAGAGCGCGCAAGAGCGAACCTTAGCCTACAACCCTTTACCTTCATCGGGAGCAATTGGCAGCCCTCAGGAGGCGACGCTATCCCATAACGTGTTCGATCACTCATCCGCCAGGATCACTCATCCGCCAGCCCCACCAAAATCACGACGCATCTTCTGCCAATAGCTCCACAACCACGTAATAAAATATATAGAAATTTGATCTATTAGATGTGCACTATCTAGTAGTACACTGAGTCCTCTTGTGGCCTTGCTCGTGGCACTTGCTGCAGGTTGGTGGTGCTCGAGGCCTACTTGGCTGCCCCGCCTGCTCTACCTGCTGGAGCACCCTTTCAGCCTCTATAGCAAGCAATTGACCTTCCTCTGCCCGTAGAGCTCCTCCACGGGCTATATACTGTCGGCGCTGTTGCTCCTTACGCTGCCATCGCTGAGGAGCCTGTCGAAGCTTCCTATTCTCCTCTGCAAAGATAGTTATTGAATTCATCGCAAGTTGACAGCCTTTGACAAGCTGGCGGATAGCCTGGGTAATAGAGCTCTGGGATTGGCGATCAAGATGGGCCCTAATAAGTCGAGCCTGCTGCTCTAGCTGAGCAATAGTATGTGGCGTCTCTGCTATCTGTACGACCTCAGCGTTGGCCACCATCCTAGGTGGAGATGGCATCCTGACTACTGTTAGCGATGACAGGACACGTTCTTGACAGGCTGGGACTAGCTCTATCACCCGAAAGCTAGCCAGTATATTCTGCTCTGAGATAACTGTCTCTCTAATACCTAGGTATATCTGTAGAAAGTCTTGCTTGTCGATATAGAAGATGCCTTGCCGCGTAAGCTCAGCTACCTGATTTCCATATACGCACTTGAGAGGTGAGAAGCAGCCAATGTCGAGTGGCTGTAGAAGGTGCGATGTATGTGACGGTATACAGAGCATGATAATCTTGTTCTCTTTGCAGAACTGGTCAAACTCAGGTATAGTGTGGCTGCTATGGCCATCAAGGATAAGTAGTCAGTAGGCTCCTGCTGTACGAGACTCTGTATGTTGGTGGAAGTGCTTTACCCACTCAAGGCCAAGCTCATCAGTCATCCAGCCATTGTCGCTAATGGCAATAACCCAATTGAGTGGGAGGCCTTAATACCAGCTTGCTTGGTGCAGCTTTCCGAGCAGGATTACGAAGGATGGGATAGACCAGCCAGAGGTGTTGATCCCCTCAATCGTCGTTACCCACTCACGGTCACCCGGCTGTATAGTTACTGCCCGGCCGACTACCTCAGAGCTCGTGATGACTTTTGATATTGTAGCGATCTCCATCATAAAGCCAGTCTCATCAAAGTTGTAGATATCTGTGTCGAGGATGCTGTACAACTGACATATCTCCTCTACAAGCTCGAACTATATACGGATCGTGACTGGATCCTCAGATCTCATACGCTGTGAGTGGAACTTGTGATTTCACTTTGTCTAGAGCTCTGCCTGGTGGTTGATGAAACAGGACACCCATTTCTCGCCGACTGGCTGAGGAGAAGGTTTTTGGCCACACGCGGCGAGTAGATTGTCTGCCATTGGTCGTACATCGATAATTGGGGATGGAAATCTGCATCGGTCGAGGTCTAGGATCCAATCTACTAGGGCCTGCTCCTCTGTAGGGTATAGCTTTCATTTTTGTGCATTAGCAGTAGCTTGTGGTAGGCTACCTGCAAGACGACTGTGAAGCATTGAACAAGGAATATTATATAGAAAAGAGGCTCTATTAACGCGTAATTTTTTATCCCTTTGAAGAGCAGCAGTAGCTAGAGCTAGTCTACCTTCGTCTAGGGCTTGCTGAGTATGTTGTGGAGGTGGCATCGTGAGTGTTGTGAGAAGACGCGTCGTGATTTTGGTGGGGCTGGCGGATGAGTGATCGAACACGTTACGGGAGTTCCGCTTACATAATCGCCAGCATCTCGGCAAAACCTCTTCCCCCGGCCCAAAGAATACTATCTATCCATCATAACCGCTCCAACAGCACCAGCAACATAGCGCGCCTTCTTCTCATTCCAACCACTCAAATTCCCTGAGTGAGTACGTCCGTCTCCCTCTCCCTCACCCATCCAATTCCCGAAACACCGCTGACCCCAACTGCCTTCCAGCTCAAGCGCAACACCCAATCTCAAGCCTCACATTTCCATCCATCCACCGCGCACCATGCCTCCCAAGAACATCCGCTCCTCGCGCCAGCCCGCTCCTGCGCCGAGCGTGCTATCGACGTTTACGAGCCAGGAGAACAGGCCGATCGTCACGGCCGTGGGGTTATTCGCTGTAAGTCTCCCATTAGATTTTCGAAACCGCGATTGCGGCCAATTGGGTTTGGTCTTCGATAATGAGGATGGGAGATCGGGAGAGGGAGAGGAAGGGAGGAAGAGGAGGATTTATGTGGAGGTGATGGAGTTGGGAGATGTATCTCTGGGAGTTCAGTTGAAGAGGGGGGATCAGGATCTGTGCAATCTGAGAGTGGAAACTAGAAACTGGAAACTGACGATGTGTGTACTACAGATCGGCGTTGCGTTCCTGCACAGCAGTTGGGCGGAGATTCTTCTTCCCGCGTAAACCATTCCATGCTCTACCCGAATATCCAAGCCGCGACCGGGCAAAGATAAACGGGAGATGTACTTGGCAAACGAACGAGCGAGCTTATGTATGATATCGAAGACAGGGGAATCGGATTTCCAGGCTAGACACTTGAGACAAAATGAAGACGGGAGTGCTGGGTGCCGGATGTGATGGCGCAAATAACATGGCGTTCTGGGCTGGTTTTGATATCTTAGGGTATTGAGGCTGGGGGAAGAGTGGGAAGAAGAGTGTATGATATGGTGTATAGATATCTCATCGCTGTTGTCCTGCTTGTAATGAGCAGGGCTTATTTTCCTTGTCGCTACGGCGGCTCTGTGAGATCTCCAATTCCCAGTGCTCAAGCAATTGCATCCCTCAGGATGCCCCATCGTTTGGCTTCGATATAAGATGAAGGAATGATTACACCGGCACCTTTTGTGCCTCTGCTAATAGGAACTGCTTATCTGCGCACTTCCTGGGATTAGGTCGCATTCGGCAATCCCCAAACCACATCATATGCCTTGACTCGTTCAGAAACGCAACACCGGAAAAAGGATATATGCTACAGAGGAACCATACACAACCTAATCTCGCATGTACCTCCAAAAAGCCCAATGTCTAATAATACACCTGGTATCGCACAACGCCCCCCACCCAGCCTCGCCCAAATCTCATTTCCCCCTTCTCCATCTTCATGACGACCCACCTTCCACCTTCGCCTTCCCCAACGTCTCCCTCACCTCCTTCATCCCCCCAATCCCAGTCCCCACCCCGACCCCCATCTCCTGGCCCCCACCGACCCTCACTTTAAGAATATTCTCCCGATACGGATTCCCCTCGCCCTCAAACGTCTTCAACCTCTCCAACCTTCCCTTCCTCAACCGATTCTTCGGCAACATGCCACTCACCGCCTTCCTCAGCACCTCCCCACCCCCCCACTTCGCCATCAACCGATCCATGTTGATCTCCTTCAAGCTGCCCGGTCGCGTGTTGTGCGTGTAGTACTTCTTCTGGAAGCGTTTCTTGCCCGTCGTGTGCAGCTGCGCGCAGTTGGTGGCGACGACGTAGTCGCCGCAGTCGGTCGAGGGGTCGAAGATGGGTTTGTGCTTGCCCATGAGGATTTGCGCTATCGAGGAGGCGAGGCGGCCTAGGGGTCGCGGGTCGGTCGAGACGTTGATGTGGTGCCAGGAGCGGGCATAGGCGAGGCGGGTCTGAAAAGAAAGTATATTAGTGGGATTGAAGGGTAAGGCGAGGAGAGGGAGGAAGGGAAGCGGAGGTCCGTAATGATCGGGATTGTGATTACCTTGCCGATGGTTTGGGACATGGTGGGCGGACGAAGGCAGTGGCCGGGCTGTCAATTGAGGGCTCTGTCTCCGGACCGGCAAGGTGGAATTGCCCTCGGGGAAGTGGGCGATCGAATGGGCCCTAGCTGTACGCCGGGCAGCTTGATGGTGGTATGTCGTCGTGAAGTTGCGGAGATGCGATGATGCTTGGCATTGGTACAATTTGAAGCGCAGGGTTGGCGGTCATCGTCGCGGGAGATCACGTGGCTCGGCGCGCCAGCTGCATGCCGCGGCCAGGCGTCGCCCCAGCCCCACCTCGAGCTCATTCGATTTCAAAGCGAAGAGGGATCTTACGGGATAAGATGTCTCCCAGGCGTGCGATTCCTCAATTCCATATTCCGCTGCTCTTATTCTACTACGATCCAAAGACACCATGACGATTCCGACTTTTGAGACCATCTTCGCGGTGCCGATGACGTGTGAGGATTGCATTAGGGATATCTCCGGATCGTTGTATAAGCTAGATGGTGGGGTAGCACCCGGTGCTGTGACGGCTATCAGATGATGTGATGACTGACGGTACATGTAGGAATCAAGAATGTCAATGCGAATTTGAAAGAGCAGCTCGTGTCTATAGAAGGGAATGCTTCGCCTTCGGCGATTGTTGAGGCGATCCAAGCTACGGGGAGGGATGCGATACTGCGAGGAAGCGGGAAACCGAATAGTAAGTGCAGTCATGTTCCCGAAGCTTTATCGGAGAGGTTACCATTCTTCACTTGCCGAGATTCAAACAATCTGCATATGCGTTGTCGCTGCAGACCTGCAAGTCTGATGGTTAATGTCAATTCCAGGCGCTGCCGTCTGCATCCTCGAGTCGCATGCTCCCCAAGTTGAGAACAAGGTGCGCGGGCTGGTGCGCATGGTCCAGGTAGCGCCCAACCTGACGATACTGGACCTGAGTATCAGAGGACTGTCTCCTGGAACCTACCACGCTACGATACGAGAGTCAGGAGACATATCCCAGGGCCCCGAGTCTACGGGCGGCATCTGGGAGGCAGTCAAGGCCAAAAAGGAGGGCTCCCCATGTCGAGGCGTACTCGGTACGATCCAGGTCAGCAAAGGAGGCGTCGGTTCCGTGTTCCTGGACAAGCCCATCCAGATCTGGGAGATGATCGGTCGGAGCATTGTGGTAGCGAGGGAGCTGGATGGGAAGCTGGACAAGAACGACGCTGACACACTGGTCGGCGTGATTGCAAGGAGCGCGGGGGCGTGGGAGAACGACAAGACGGTGTGCAGCTGTTCCGGCAAGACGGTGTGGGAAGAGCGGGAGGAACAGAAGGGTAAAGGCATGCTATGACGGTGTGGCATAAAGTTCAAAACAAAGATGCAGTCAGCCTCAGACGTGGTATGCCGGTACTCACCTCGCCTCACGCTGGCATGCAATTTCTTTGCGGTTTCCTTTTGTGAAAGAATGCCTTGCTTTTGACTGCTTTCCCATGGCTCCCAGCTCAGAGGCGTGCACGTCGATCGAGGTTGAAACGACGTGTGCGTGAGTCGGACTGCAGCAGAAGTAATGGCAGTGGCTTCGCGAAGGTATAACTTTATGCGTTTATGGCCCAAACGGGCTCTTTGGGAACGGTGAGAAATCACGTGGCTGTCTCAAAGAGCTGAAGATTCAAGGTCACAGCCGTCATGTAACAGACCTCAAACATGGCGGCCCTCGATCGGAGGAGCCAAGATAGGGGGGCTGGATTGTTGCTGTCTGTCGCTGGCGATGGGTTGTGTAGAAGGAAGATGTTGGTGGAAGAGGCTTAGAGAAGGCAACTCTGTTGGAAAAGTGTCGGATGTCGGTGGTGCCATGATCATTCATGGTGTTGGAGGAGGGTTGGATGGTTGTAGAGGTGTCTAGCCTCGGCGGCTACGAGAGGCAACCTTACCGCCGTGGATGTTCAGAGCGCGCACCGACCGCCAATCAGCATCGCCAGCACCTCCAGCCAAGCCCCTCTGCGTGCATGTTGCGACGCGTGTGGACTCAGATTTGGCTGCCCCCCAGCTCCCATCGCTTTCTCTCGCACTCTCCCCTCCTGCAATTGCCTCCCTCTCTTCGCCCTACTCTTCTCGAATTCTCCTCTTCCTCATTGTGGTCGCCTTCACCCCTCCACTGCTACCCTCACTCGCTGTCCCTCCTTTTATGCCCTGTACTACCCACCACGACACTTTTATAATATACTCCTAATTGCTTAACCGAGTCTGCTCCACGGCCGTCTCGATATCCGAAATCGAATCCCGCCCATACGCTACCCGCCGTCGACTGGATCGCAACCGGGGAAGAAAATATATATCTTTGGGGCAGTTGGGAGAGAAGCAAGCTTCTGGCCATACTTGGGACGACGGAGAGGACCCCTCTTTGCCCCACTGAGGTGGCAGGATAGCTACTGAGATTCGAGGCTTGACGACACCATACTGCCGGGTATCTCATAGGAAACCTTCGTCATGTCTCTAAAGCAGGTATGCACTGCATGGCTTCTCTGTCTTCGCCTGGGATCAAGTCAATGCCAACTGACTGCGGGGTAGGAAATCGAGACGTGGGTGGCAGCCCTCGCCCACTACGACAACAACGAGTACGACAAGGCATTGGAGAAGTTTGCCAACATTGCCGATACATCCAAGATCCTCTTCAACTGCGGTGTCATCCATGCGACCCTCACCGAGCACGAGAAGGCGGTATGCGCTAGCACTACAACGTGGGGTTTCGGCGCCGCGCTAACAGCGACAGGTCGAATACTACCAGCGCGCCGTGCAATTGGACCAGTACCTGGCTGTAGCTTATTTCCAGCAAGGTGTATCCAACTTTCTCATGGGCGACTTCGAGGAGGCCCTGGCCAATTTCAATGACACCCTCCTCTACCTGCGCGGAAACAACAATATCGACTATGAGCAGCTCGGCCTGAAGTTCAAGCTCTACTCCTGCGAAGTTCTGTTCAATCGCGGACTGTGCTATATCTATCTGCAGCAGAAGGAGGCCGGGATGCAGGACTTGAATTTTGCTGCAAAGGAGAAGGTCGTGCCGGATCACGATGTTATTGATGAGGCAATTCGCGAGGAAGCCCAAGTACGTGCGCTGGATATCCAGTCACTCATGCACACACTGACATATCCCTAGGACTATACTGTCTTCTCTATCCCCATTGGAATCGTCTATCGTCCCAACGAAGCCAAGGTCAAGAACCTGAAAACAAAGGACTACCTCGGAAAAGCACGACTTGTGGCGGCATCCGACAGAGCGAATGCCTTCACCGGATTTGCCGGCGCCGAGGCATTGAAGATCAGCAGCTCCTCCAAGGACGACCGGCCAGAAGAAAAGACGTCGTATGCAGCCACGAACCTGGTCAAGCCGAACCTGCAGAGTAGATCACGACAGCAATCCGAGCCACCCATGAACCGCAACATGTTCCCTCCAACACCGCCCCCTGAGACCGACAAGCGTAACTCGGGAGGACAGAGAGGTCAGGAAGGAGGACAGATGACCCGTGCTCAATCGGTTCGTGGTGGTGGACCGAAGCCACGACCGCTTGATCTCGGTCGTGCCGCATTCGATCAAAGTGGAGCGGATGTACCTCGTCGTATTGGCACACAGCGATCAGCATCAGAGAGACCGCCACCATCTCGTCAGGAATCCATGCGCACCCGCGAGAGAGAACGACCTCGTCGGCGCGGCTCTGATGACGACCTCGAAGACTACGCCGATGAAGTGTATGATATGTACCAACCACGCTCAAGTCGTCCGTCGTACACCCGGTCTCGCCAGGGAAAGTCATCGCGGCCCATGTACATTGACGAAGAAGACGAAGACGACTACGACGACAGCGGTCTCGATGACGCCGACTTCGAAATGGTCTCCCGCTCCAAGAGCCGCAGGCGTTCGCCGGTGCGCTCCAACACCGCTCGTCGCGCCCCTGAGCGCGACCTCGGCAGCAAGATCCGCGTCAAGGTGCATGCAAGCGACACGCGCTACGTCTTCATCGACCAGAACAAGACGATACGGGAATTCGTGCAGCAAATCCGCGATAAGTTTGGCATCCGGTCGACGTTCAAGATCGAGATCCGGGACGATGGCGACATGATTACCATGGCGGATCAAGACGATTTGGACATGGCGATCCAGACGGCCAAGAGCATGGCGCGGAAGGAGAATGCGGAGATGGCGAAGATGGAGGTATGGTTGAATTTTGTTGCGTCTTCTACTTTTGCTGCTCCTACTTCTTCTTCGTCGTCGTTCTCTTCCGGTCTCAGTTCATCATCTTCCTCTTCTTCCAAGGCGAGGATCCCTCCTCCGCCCTTTAGGCCGAGTGTCGAGGTCTCGGGGTTTTTCTGATTGTTTGTTGTTTGCACGTATGGTTGTAGGAGAGGAGAAAAGAGGCTAATATATCGATGCATCTAGGTTTGGATAAAGGAAGTTTAGATTTTTTTTAGATACCCCCCAGGAAAGCGACGTTCCCCACTCTTTCTCCCAGATTTCTCAGGTTTATTGCATCGATACGCCCAAGCAAGCAGGCGCGTTCTCTCTCTCGAGGTGGCGTCTATGCCGGCCACGGGTTTGGGAATGAATGCTTGGATGATATTTGGTTGATTTGACCTAATGCCGATTTATGTTGTCGTTGTTGTTGTCCCTGGCGTTGCCGCGTAGCATGAAACATGAAGCATGAGCGGAAGCATGGCTTATGTCGTTTAGGCGTTGATGTCGCTGTTGTTGCTTCTTACCTCTTACATATACTCTTCACAGCCGGACTGTTGATTAGTCCGTCTTTTGTCTTCTTCCCCTTCTGCTCGTCGGCGTTTTCTTCTCCGGGTTTTATCACGCTAGACGATTTGCGCCCCGCTTCCGCTGTTTTCGTTTGCATATATTGTATGATTGGATGGATGGATGGGTGGAGAGGTGTGACGTGGGGAATATATATAATTGAGTTGTTGATTTGTCGATTCTGCCCTCTTCTTTAAAGTCTTGTAGTTGTTGTCTATCTGGTACGGCGCTTTCCGAATGTAGCCGTTTGTCTGTCCTACACTGTTGGGATGACGGTCTAGGACTTTTGAGGAGTTTGAGTTTTGGTGATTCCTTTTCCGAGCCGTACCCGGGTTCTTTTGACGTGTGCGCCTGGGCGTTTTTATTATGTATGTATGTATGTCTGTATGTATGTATGTATGTATGTATGTATGTATGTATGTATGCATGTATGTATGTGTGCGTCGAAGTATCTGCCCGCCGGCACCGAGCATCCCGCGTTGGTATTAACATTTTCAGCATTCCAACAGTCAGTCGGTTATGAGTGAATGGTGCCAAAGCGATATGGATGCATATAGGTATGTATCCAATGCCGGGAATATGATCATCCCCATTCGCCATCCCATATACTAGGATGGTAAGATGAGATGAGATGGGACGACCGTATGAGAATTACATAGGTACCTTTGGGAAGGGATTTCCCGCGGGCAGGGAGCGCGCCGGATTGGACTTCAGAACGCCCTGATAGTCAGACGAGGAGCGTTGGAGATGAGAGGAAGAGATGATGGAAGTGTTTGTATCGTATCGTATCGTATCGTAGCGTGAGCGGTTCATGGATGAAATGTGGGTGAGGGAAGAGGATAGACACAGCGAAGAAGGGGAAGGAGGAGAGGAGAATGGGAGAATGGACGAGAGGAGTAGAGCAGAGAAGAGTATAGCAGAGAAGAGTAGAGCAGAGAAGAGTAGAGCAGAGAAGAGTAGAGCAGAGAAGAGTAGAGCAGAGAAGAGTATATGATGTTGTTACGCGCGTCCATTTTCAAGGAAAGAAAAGACTGACGCTGATGGCCTGCTGAGATGACAGGTGGAGTAAGAAGGGTTGTCATGCGATAGTGTAGGAGGGCGATGCAGAGGCGTCGACGAAGTATGTGTTTTGTGGTAATAGTAGGTGATGAATTTGGAGTCGTAGTCGTGATGGGAGGGTACATTGATACAGAGGCAGAAAGAAGTTTAAATGAGAAACAGCCAAAGACTCCCAGCGCTCTGAAGCGAAGAAAATGGTTCATCATATTATACGAATATGGACTCTATGCGAAATTCCAGTTAAATAAAACCCCTCCGTAGTTCCACAACGCCATCTATGAGTGACAACAAAAAAGCCCAATTAGCACCAAAAACTCCCTCCCTCACCCCGCAACAGAGCAAAACCCAACCCCCCTACACCCACAAATCACCCACACTCCCCATCCCTACAACTCCCTCCCTCACCACGCAACAAAGCGCAACCAAGTCCAACGCCCCTACAAAATACCACACTCACCCCTCTCCCCCCTATACCCACGAATCATCCATACTCCTCATCCACCACACAAAACGCCGCATCCACCTACCCATCCCCCTTTATCCTCCCCAGCAAACCCACCACATACCCATACGCCATCTTCAGCCTCTCCCTCTCACTCAACGTCACGAGCATCTCATACCGCAGCTCGCTCGGCATGCCGCACGCCATGGCAGCCCAATACGGATTGCCGAGACACTCGCCGTAGAGTCTCCGCGTGCGCTCGCTCTTGGCGTCGTTGATGGTGGAGAGGAGTTGGTTTACTAGCGCGAGGACGCGGTCGTGGACCTCGAACATGTTGAGGGAGTTCAGTTCTGGAGGATAAGGCCATGTCGATCTCGACGGTTGTCGTGGTAGTGGTAAGGGTTCGTCGGCGTTGTCAGGCACGCGAGACCGAAGATGTCTGGCAATTGCCATTTCCCTCCGCTCCGCCCTAATTTCCTCGTCCAAGGAAAGGTCGTCCACTCTCACAACATCGGCGACCCTGTATCCGTCGTGTACGCCGTGTTGCACGATGCGGAAACGGTGCAGGCCGCGGGCTTGAATGAGGGAGCGGCCGTCGGGTTTGTACTCCCATGCGACGATTTGCATCATGGTGCCGTACTCCATGAAGTCCGTGATTCCGAGAGGGCCTTGCGGGGCTTTGTCCATGTTGCGCATGACCACGCCGAAGGTTCGGTCGCCGTGTTGGATACATCTGCGGATCATGAGGCGGTACTGTTCCTCGAAGACTTGGAAGGTGCAGCGGAGGCCGGGGAAGAGGGCGGCGCAGATGAATAAGGGCATGGGCATGTGGGTAGTGCCCGGTTGCTCGTCTTCGCGGACGGTGCATCCCCACTCGAAGATTTCCTCGGAGTAGAGGCTGTCGACGAGAGAGACCAGCCACTCGTTCGTCGGGAGGCCCTTGTACTTGTTCACGAAGCGGATCGGCTCGCGGCAGACGGGACATCTGCAGGAACCCGTGTTGTCGGACGCGCGGAAGATGCAGTGTCTGCAGAAGGTATGGCCGCATGATAGTGTTGTCGGCTTGAGAAGGATGGACTGACAGATGGGGCAGTCGAGCTCCGGGCGCAATGCCAGACGCAGTTGGCCAAGGAGGGCAGCGTCTAGACGATCATTGTCGGCACGAGGATGGTCCTCGTAGATGACGGTGGCAGGATATCGGAGCAGGCCTTTATCGGCCATGGCAAAGGTTGCTAATAATCTACCGCCGTGAGGATACGTGAAGCGATCCGAGGCTATCGCAGGGGGTCCTCCGTCCATGGCTTCTTCCTTCAAGGCGATAGGTGTCTGTGGACTCTGCCGTATGGCTGCAGCGAGTACATCTCTTACGAGATACATGATCTTCGTGAAGCTAACATCCGGTCGTATAAGACACAAGGGGGTCCTGCGTCCGCACAAGGGACAAGGCACCTCCGCAGTATCCTGCGGAGACTCGTTCTCCAGCGGAGTACCATCTTCTTCCAGCTCGAGGCAATTCCGACAGAAAGGGTGGCCGCACCCCAACGTCACCGGCGACCGGAACAATCTCGAGCATTTGCAGCACTGGAAGAAACGGACGACCTCTCTCAGGCCGTGATCCTGGTCGTTCTCGCCGGGGGCATGGGAGAGGAGGTTGGCTGGCTCCACGGCCTTAGGAGGAAAGGATCCGAAGACGAAGTCGGGTGGTGGTGGTGGCTTGGGAGCTCCCGCTACGATACCGTCTTCTCCTGAGATGGTGTTTACGCCAGGAGCAGAATCCATGAAGAGATTTGATAGACTCGGTGTCTTATCTCAGTTTCGCACCTTCATCAAGCCACCTCTTCCAACTGCCGGAAGGAGGTGGACGCTGGTCGTCAGGTGTGGGAGGATGAGCGGAGGAGTGCAGGTAGCTCGGAAACCGGGAATAAGTGTAGGTGTCAGTCCGGCAGACTAAGCATACGCACTCTGCAAGAAGATGGTTAGAAAGAAGCAAGAAGCCATGGCGGTGAGTTGCGAAGGTGTTCTTTAGTCTATATTCAAAAGCGCAATGACACCTACATTATAGTCGTTAGCATATAACGCCGCAAAGAGTAATGATGATGGTGGATGTTGGACCGAGCATGGTTATGGCACAATGTAGACATGGCCGAGTCAAAAGCAGGGCGCCAGCAGCTACTCTGTAAAGGTCACGGCCTTTGACGACAGCTGGAGTTCGATTGACGACGCCTATTAAACCGCTTTTGGGTTGTAGGACGTAGGAGATCGGGAGAGACGGTAGTCATGGTACGGAGGTGCTCCAAGAAAGTAACCTTGGAAGGGCCGGTGCCAAGTGGCGCTAAACCCGAGGAACATCAAAACTTCAATCTCTCCTGTATTTTACCCAGCTCTAGGGTAACGCTACAACGTCCGCTTTTCTAAAAAAATTACATATTTTAGAAGCTTAACCTGCAAAGAGTATTATTACAACAATTACATCTGCTAGTTACGTTATTGTTGTTGTAAGGCTGTTTGCGTGCTAAAGCTAGCGTTTCTTGGCACTTATTATGTGAGCGGACTACTCGCACCACATGCCAACCGGAGGTTGCGGGTCCGAAGACCACTGTATTCGGGTAACGGTGGGGTTCGTAAAATCCCCTAGGATACAACCCCTTGGTCTCGATATACTGGTCTATTAGAAGTCCATCGCGGTTTCAAGCCTTACTTTACTTACCATATGCATGTGCTTTACCCATTACTCACCGCTTGCGTGCAATGAAATGGAACGAATCGAAGAAATGATCGCAGGCCCAACCGCTATTGCCCACCGCAAACCATGGCATGGAAGCGTCATTGATGCAGCGCCTAGCCTTTGCGGCCGACATGTGATTGGAATCTCCAGGTGGCTCAAACACATGTGGTCCGCCATTCACAGCGTCTGGCAAATAGAGTCAGTACCTATTATGATTCGAGTGATACCGTTTTAACCTCAAATAATATAAGTCTGGTTCTGGCTGGAAGCATTTAATGCAGACCGCGAATTTGAACCTTGAAAGTTCCAGGGGCGCGGACGAGACTTCGACTTCCAAGTCCGAACGGAGTCTTCAACCGAATCAGTGCATCGAGCACTACATATTATTTGTGCAAATGAACCTTTCCTTTCCGCAGAACAAGCTGGAAGGGGCTCAAGGCTGGTTTTGTCGTGGAAACCTACACAGAGTAGTACCCAGGCAGTGAGAATAAAAGTGAACGTCGGTATCCCATTGGGTATTCCAGTGCACCAGTTGTAGAATAATGCAGTACAAACCAAAACCGCCCGTCCCCGACTCAACTCCCTTTCCGACCGCCCCTCCGAGTGCTACCCAAACGCCCATATCGGCAGGAAACAAAACGATGCAAAAGATTCCACATAGCCATGAACAGAACCCCTTTCCCGCCACTACGCCGAATAGTCGAGACGATGCCAATCAAGCTGCAGAGGCGAGCGAGCGACAGGAAGATGCAGGGTCACCTAGTCCTCGCCATTGGTGCTGGCGCGTCGAACACCCCGTTGGGATTCGGAGTCATCGCTCTCTTCGCTATCATCTTCCTCGCTGCTAGTCTCCTCTTCCTCCCCCTCCCCTTCTTCCTCCCCTTCTTCCTCACCTTCATCTTCCTCTTCTTCTTCCAGCACAATCTGGCGCAGCACACCTCTGTCAAACAGATCCAGCACGAACCGGCATGCTGGGAGGCGGAAATGATGCGCATCCAGAATCTGCATGACCTTGTGGAACATGGCCGGTTTAGTGAACCCTGGTGCTTTCCTGGTTTTGATACTGTTGCATGTCAGCGAAGAAACTTCGGTGCTGCGCGTGCAAACTCCACGTACGCTTGAAGATCGCTCGCTGCCTTCTTGGTCAGCACTGTGTTGCCCAGGTCCGTGACAAGCCTCAGGATGCGGGCGTTGAGCGGGTCAGGATCCGTAACTGCTACCTTGGCTTCTGAGGGCACCTTGCCCCTCATATCTTCAGGCTTAGCAGCCCATGGCGTAATCTGCAGTAGGTCAGAGGAGGAAACAAACTAGGGAGCTATCCACATACTGAGAAAAGCCTCTTGAAGTCCGTCGGTAGACAGAAGCCCAACGACTCGCCATAATCGTTCACCACGCCGTCCCAGCCATACTCAAGCAAGATCTCCTGGCCATGCAGACTTCGCGAGATCAACCCCAGCACGTAGCACGCTGTTCCCCGCAGCGACATGACTTCAGAGGTCTCCGCAATCTTGACAATCCACTTGACGATGTCCGATTTCTCGAGAAAAGGAGCACCGAGCTCCATCGACCCGACGTTCCCCACTGCCCACAAGCAACCCTTGACTTTCAGGATTGTTTCCGCGTCGTCATCCTCCAGGGCAAAGTCGCGAATTGTCGCAGCAAACTCGTCAAAGTGGCCTTTCTGTTCAAGGAGCTTGCAACCTTCCTTGGTCCTGGTGAGTTCACGGTAGAAGTGAGGCGGTACAATACCGTACTCAACATGTTCGGGGACGTCTTCGTGCGGCTGCGGCTGCTGCGGCTTCTCGGTAAGCTCGGCAAAGGCTCGAGCTAATGAAGCTTCAATGAGGGTGACGTAGGTATCATTTCGTCCCAGGAACCAGTCGTCCATTTCTCGTGTAATGTAATCCAACTCATTCAAATAGTGATAGCCAACAGACGTCGACAAGAAGCGGAGAAGCAGCGGAGCACCAATCTCGCCGAGATGATCCAACGCTGGTCGGCATTTGACGACGTATTCCAGTGACTCTGTCTGATTGCAGGCCTCCTCAAGGATCTTGATGGCCACCTCGCAAACCTCGACTTCAGGGTCGTATATCTGAGTGACGAGTAGCTTGATCGCCCATTCAGCAACGCCGCCAGTGGATTCCGATCCCTGCATTGGTCGCGTTGCATACTTCCGCAGCAGCCGTGTCGAGAAGATACGGATCTCTTTGGAGCCCGCAGTCATAGCCTTCGAAAGAATAATACGTGGGTGTCCATCCAGCGTGTAGTCCATGTAGCTGAGGACTAGCCGTATCAAATCGTCCCGGTCGGTGAGATCAACAATATGATAATACATGTTAAGGACCCGCCATCGTTCCAGAATGGGAATCCCTCTGGGATCTTTTGTGAGTTCACCCAGTAGTGCAAAATAGCCGCCAGACAATGTGTCGTTCAAACGGTCCACCGAGAATATCGGGGACTCGGACGTAAGGCCGCTCATCCTGTCAAAATGGGAGAGGCATTCCGCAACTTGGCGGATGAACTTGCTTTCGCTGAGATAGCGGACACCTTCCGGGTTTTGGAGAAGGCTGTGTATGAGAGCCTTTCCGGCCCGCACATAACGCTGGTTCGGTTTGGTATTCTTGGTGGCCGAAAAGCGCCATTTGAACGGCCTGTAGAATCCTAGCAAACGATGGACGAACTTTGTGACCTTTATTGCTTCGTCCAGCCGTTTGGCATTCAGCAGGGGGCCCTCGATAATGTTCTGAATGAGGTCCCACCTCCACTTGGTGAAGTTGACAGTGTTCAAAACCTGGGTCTCGAGCATCAGATTGCGGAACTGTCCTTCGTCCATTTGCATGGCTGCCTGAGTCTTGTTGTCTGGTTGCCGAGCCGCGTTGTTACTATCGTCTGTTATACCAGCTTTTCCGGTGTGAATCGAGGTGGGTCCAGATCTGTAAAGTGTTCTGTTCACACTGTCCACTTGATATATTGTCCCGATGGCGTTGAAGCGATCTTCGCTTCCCCAGTTGGCTGCCGACTGCAATAGCTCAGGCAGTACCTGTAGTGACGCACTCCATGAAGAAGGCAAAAGCTCACTGGCCATCTTCAATACTTCTCCAAGTAGCAATGTCGTCTTTCTCTTCAATGCAAGCGTAAGAGGTTCTTGCTCGGCGAGCAGCAATGCAGGCACTAAACCAGCGTGGAGGAATACAGCCAATACAATGGCTACGTAATGCTCCAAGAGGTTCCACTTGTTTGTTTCAGTTTGGCCTCCAGCATCGGATTCCCCTTTATTCGGCTGGTCCTTAAGATTTGTAACGCGCCCATAAGTAGTCAGTCGGCGACCGGCCAGGAATGAAGACGACCAAGAGGGGGCTTTGATCATGAGGATATCAGACAAAAGCTCCAGCACGATGGTGCGCACATGCGCAGCCGGAACCTGCAGCGACAGAATCAGGGATCGAATCGCTAAGAAATCATTCATACAGAGGGTCAAAAGGCCGGGCCAGCTTCTCAGCAAACTTGCAATCGCTTCCGCGCTTTGCTTGAGTCTCTTCTCCTCATGGGAATGTCCATGGCCTGCTCCCACATCGGTAAAGGTGGCAAAAGGTGCTTCCAGTTCGTGACCTGACTTCAAGTACGTTCTCCTCCGAGGTGTATCGAGTAAGTAAAGGAATGATCCGCTAATGCTCTTTGCTGCCAAGTAATGCCCTTCACCAAGAGCATCTGTTAAAGGCCCCATACCTCCGGCGGAAACGATCAATGCCGGTTTCCGAGCAAGGATCTCGGCCAAGGTGAGCAGCGCAATGTTTCGCAAACGATCATCCGTGTGCTCGGCCACTGCAACAATGATGCGAACGACGCTTCTGGAGATCTCCTCAACACCGTTCTTGACATCTAAGAACGCTCTAACGAACTTCAGTGCCTGCTCTCGCTCGACACTGGCTTTCGTCTCCTTGACAAGGGAAAGAATGACCAGGTAGTCCGTATGGAGGCCACGAATAATTTGCAATGACCTGCGGTCCGTAATAGCGTGCCTCATGACGCGGTATGCAGCGGCGACGACCTCTCGGTTGTCACTGAGCAGCAGAGTCTGCATCCTAAGGCCAAAGATGGACCACGCAAGATCGTACTTCAATGTCGGATGGCGTTTGAACAAGTCCACGAGCAAATTGGCCTTGCTAACGTAATATTCAGGTTGGAGCCCGTTGAGTTCCAGCGCCTGCAATATCTCGGCCAGAAGGAACGTGGGCGACTCGGTCTCCTCCTCTTGCTCATTCAGTTTCTGAGCCACGTGCCGGGAAGGCGACCGTGACAGGTTTCGGCGAAAGAGAAAGGAGAGCCTGCTCTGCGGATCGGCCGGTGGAGACGTGATTTCCTTCGCCTTCTGGATCTCAGCCGCTAAGACAGATTTCAACTGCGCAAGCTTGTGGTTGGAGATATTCAGCTGACGCTCTACTTCCATCCGTTGATCCTTCTTCGCATTCTTCACGTTGAGTGCCTCGAGCAGATTCTCCGAGCCCACTTTTATCTTGGTCTCCTTGTCTATCTGGTCCTGCAGCTCTGCCTGCCTCTGCTCAGAAGTGGTGGTGCTGTCATTGCCAACGATGATGGCATGTGTATCGAAGTCGGGTCGAAGGCGGCCATCGTGCGTATGGGTCGTCTTTAGCTGGGAGTTGAAGCTGCCGGGGGCTCCGGTCATCGCGGTGGCGTACGAGGCAATGTTACGGGAGCCGGCCATGGTACTGGTGGCCGCCGAAGGCAGAGAGCGGCCATCTCTACCGCGCGAGGGTGCAAGCAGTGAGGGTTGGTCTGAAGATGGCGCCTCGCCTGGGGGGTTCGCTGAGCGCACAGGTGGCGTCATGGATCTGCCTTAACATAGGTCCTCCAACTGCATCGCATTCTCTGTGTCACTCTGTGGGCCTCCTCTTTCTCATTCCTCATGTATGTTCGGCAACAGAACGTCCGAGTATGGCTGATACGAGGCGCAGTTGTGCGGGCGGGGCTAGGATGTAGTCGCTGTTGAGTGCAGCAGGAGTCTTTGGTCTGTAGTGCTACGTTAAGGCTAGTGAGTGTGTAGGAGCCCGTCGACCACAACGAATGTGCAGCGACGGCGATGGTCAATGATCCATCCGTCGATGCGGACTGGAAGCAGTGGACGTCTCCCTGTCGTCGCGAGTTGCGGATCTGCCAAGCCGTCCATGCCTCGCTCCGCGGCGGGCGGGGAGCTGTGTGCAGGTGGAGCGGTGCAGCAGTACGTCAGCGGCATCGATCTTGCAGAAGGGCTTCAATTTCGTGCCTTCACAAAAAAGCAACAGTTGAAAAGCGTGCCTCGAGGAACAGGGCATGTTGTCGCCGCATCCAGCAGCGTGACGCCGATAACCTCAGTCAGAGGTAGACCGTCTATCGTTTTAGTCCTCGAGCATTCAGGAACGCGCTCCCGACCCACGACGACTGTCGGAATCCGCCGACGACCAACTCCACCAGGGCCTGGACAGCTTCTTGCACCATCGCAACACGCCTCGAGGACTTGTCCCAGTGGACCAATTGTGTTAGTGGAAAGATCGTACCACGTCGGCCGTCTCCGACTCCGATTAGACCTCTGACTAGACTCTGTGCCCTCACTGAAGCAATATTAGAGAACCTGCATTTCTTGCTTTTATCCTTCAGATCCTTCTGACATATTGTTGATTCGCCTCTAACACCCGTTCTCTCACAATGTCTCAGCTAAGCTACGCACGCTACGGCAAGGACAACGTCCGCCTCTACAAGGTCGACAAGAACGAGCAAACCGGCGTCCACACAGTAGTCGAGCAAACTGTTCAAGTCCTCCTGGAAGGCGACATCGAGACCTCGTACGCCCCCTCTTTTAACATCGACGAATGTCTAGATTCTGACTTCCGCGCAGCTACACCCAAGCCGACAACTCCGTCGTCGTCGCAACCGACACCCAGAAGCAAACCGTCTACATCCTCGCAAAGCAGCACCCCATCAGCCCGCCCGAGAAGTTCGCCGCCGTCCTCGGAACGCACTTCATCACTCAGTACCCGCACATCCACGCCGCGCACGTCAAGATCGTGCAGCATCGATGGACCCGCATGACCGTCGACGGCAAGCCTCACCCACACTCTTTCCTCCGCGACGGCGCCGAAGTCCGCGTCGTCGAGTCCGTGACGAGGGAAAACGAGGGGATATCTCTCCGCTCCAAGATCGAGAAGCTGCTTGTGCTGAAGAGCACGGGGTCGGCGTTCCATGGCTTCCATCGCGACGAGTATACCCGGCTGGCGGAGACTTGGGACAGGATTCTCAGCACGGAGATCGAGGCGGGCTGGAAGTGGAAGCTGTTCAAGTCGCTCGCGGAGGTGGAGCAGGTGGATTTCGACGCCGCGTGGCAGGCCGCGAGGGATATTACGCTGAAGGTGTTCGCTGAGGACAATAGCGCCAGCGTGCAGGCGACCATGTACAAGATGTGCGACCGGATTTTGGCTGCTGTGCCGCTGGTGGAAGCCGTGGATTACTCGCTGCCGAACAAGCATTATTTTGAAGTTGGTATGTGTTTTTACGCTATTCCTACTTTTCGATGGCTATGCTTGCTAACCAATTTTTAGATCTGAGCTGGCACAAAGGCCTCAAGAACACCGGCAAGGACGCCACTGTCTTCGCACCGCAGACCGATCCCAACGGTCTGATCCAATGCACAGTCACCCGCAAGAGCTCCAAGGCCAAGTTGTAACCTGTGTTGGGAAGTGATGATATTTCCCTTCTGTTTCCGGTCTGGGATGGGCTACGATTGGATCCACATGTACATAGAGTAAGCTAAGCGTGCGGTCTTGCGGTAGTGAAACTTGTACGTATTTTCAGAGACATGTAATGGAAATGTAAACGTATATTTTGATGAATATTCTCTATGTCGAATGAAAAAAGAGGCATATCAACCATGGAACACCGTTGGTCTGATGTATGTTTGTGAAGTTCTACTGCAGCGGGCTGCGCAGTTGATTTTTGATATATAATAGGGATTTCAGTTGACCATTGTTCGAAATGTAAAACTTTTGCATAGTAAATCCTCTCTGCACATATGAATGTGTTAGGAAAACGATTGCCTCCACACCTCCACGCCCACCAAATAAAGATAAAAAACAAAACGACAATTAGATCAAGAAAGAACAGGACACCCCGCCGATCTTCTACTTCTCCTTCCTCGTCATCTCTGTGTCGTGGGTCAAAACGATTCATGAGTATTCAACGCCGCTTTGAGAAGCGAAAGAAAAGCAAAAAAGAGAAGATTGTAGGAATTGAACCTAAGCCGATTCGAACGGCTAACCTTCTGGAGATTCCGAATAAGACTGGAATCAGACGCGCTACCGTTGCGCCATAGGTCCTGTTGATGTAATATTTTGCAGTTTTGAAGTTTATAAGATAAGTGTGCTTTGGCAAACAAGGATACCTTGGAGGAAAGGATTTCAATGTTAGGATGGGTAGAAAAGCGCGGCGGGGCCCTTACCGGGGTGCGGGGTGGTGCAGGATGTAATATATCGTCTCTCGTGGGGCTTTGCAATCCCGTTTGCTAGCTTTTAGTAGAGATAACATCCGTCTTTGTCCCTGGTATCGCTTCCAGGTTTACGAAAAACCACAGTTCGTGTCCCAGGAAAATCGATGTTCGGTGTGATCCATACCTGAGCTAGATATCCGTGCGTTATCCTGGTTAGTTGTTGTTGAATCTATCGCTGGACGAGTGTCAAGGTAACCACCCAGCAAGCTAAGCAAGTAAGTGCAGGCGCACTCCGGGATAGGTATATAATCGTCCTCGCGGAGATAGCATTTCTATATCTTCTCTCATTATCAGGCCCAAGGACATAGAGATCACTGCCAGTGCAAATATCTCTCATCGTCAAGACCCATTCCCATGCTGACTCCGATGCATATGGCCATTTATTTACACTGCAAAGCCACTATGACGAACACGTCTTCCCATTCACACCCCAGTGATCCCTCACCCACTCCGTCATCAGCTCCGTGAAGCTCTTGCCAGGGAAATAATACTCCGTATCTTCCACATCGTACCTCTCCCCCAAATACTCTAGCGCCATGAGAATCCATTTCTCAATGAATTCATTGTAGATGAGGTCGACCGTTTCAGGGAGTTCCAGCTTCTCTCCCGCTTCAGCATGCTCATGTGTGGAGAATCCAACAGGAGCTTGGATACAATTCGGCACCTCGTAGAACTGAATAGGCGAATGCACTGTATCATCTCCATCTGTGCCAGCATCATCATACGTGGTGTACCCTGGAAAGATACTCTCATTGTCACCGGCAGACGAAAGTCGCGACTGCCCCTTCGCATCGACCCCCTGGAATCCGATCGAGCCGCGGGATGAAGAGAAGAATCCCGGCCGCAACCTCGCAGCCGCCATCTCCGGCGGATCCAGAAACACTTTCCCCTCCCTCAACGCCTCCAGAATCGGTCCCTCGCTATTCAGCAGGCGCAATACACGGCTCGCAGCCACATAAGGCACGTCCTTGATATATCTCAAGCCGCTGGTAAACGGCGAGACGAGGAATGTGGTATCTTTCGTGAATGCGCCTTTGAAGATGTCGAAACGGATACTTCCCGTATTGGTGATCACGAGAGCCTTCTTGCCAAGTTTGACGAAGCGTTCAGAAGTGCTGATGGTGTCTGGTAGCATTTCTTTCTCAAGCCAGGAAAATATGCTTTCTTCGTGCGGATAAGGGCGCCGGTTCACCCAGAAATCATGCGGAGCGCAGCCGTAGAGGCGGTTCAGGCTCAGCGCGTGGCGGGCCCGGTTGATTTGGGCGGATACGTTGAGTCCGTGAACAGTGGGGAAGCTGGATTCGTCTTTGCCGCTGTGATGGTGCATGGAGAAGAGATTGTTGTCGATGTACATGCGGGAGAATGTGAGTGTGGACTTCTGCGGTGTGGCAGGGACTCGCTTGGTGCCGCCCGTGGAGAGCCCAGAAATGGACATGAATCCAAGAGTCTCCATGTAGCGGCCGCTTTCCAAGGCCACGGATTTGTCGTCGAAGATCTTGTAGTCTCGGATGTGTGAGTGACCGCCGAAAAGCTGGATCGGAGTGTCCCAGTAAGCTTTGCGGAGGGTGGCGTACAGAGTGGCATACTCGTCCGAGCGTATGTCCACATGGCCGAAAACGATTATGAGATCCACGTCTCTATCACGTATGGCTTCTTTGAACCAGGGTTCTTCTACCGTGTCGCGGACTCTGTGAATGACGGTGTTTTTTGCATTGCGTGTGAAGTCAAAGATGAAGCCGAAGGCTAAGATCCGAATACCTTGATTCTTCGTCTTGAATTTCTTGAACCGAGGGGCCAGAGGCTGCAGCTCTCCCGTCTCGGGGCTGTAGATGTCCAGGTTGGAGGCGATGTAGTGGCCTTTGAAATCGGGAACTGTGTGGTAGTACTCTCCCTCCGAGGAGTTCTGCTTGTATAACTCATGATTGCCGGAACATATGAGATCGATATGCTGCTCCTTGGCTATCTCGTAGGTGAACTTCCCGCGAGGTTTCGAACTGTCATAAATAGCATTTCCTTCTATCCGATCGCCGGTGTCGATGAGCAATAAGTCCGAGCCTTCAGCATCGGCTTTGTCATGAAGATGTTCAGCGAACGAGATATAGTCGCCCCAATCGGCAGAGTACGAAGGCCTAGGAAATATTACGACGGTTGGCTTCTCGATGGTGTGGATTCTAGCACTTACTCCTGAAGATGCCCTCCCCACCAGCCGTGTATATCCGTTGTGTGCAAGAAGTTCAGCTGTCCCCAAGAAAGCTCACGCAGGGGCGCTGCAACCGGGGACGGGGCTGACGGTTGCGCACATAAGGCTAGCTGCAGGAGAAACGATGCAGCTATTATTAAGACGGTCATTTTGCTGACATTGATGATTCTACACAGGATCGCGATGTGGATCTTTGTCGTGTAGATCTACGGTGTTGAGTTGCTGGGTGCCTGCTGCCGCTTTTCATCCCAACTCATTCAGGTCGAGACCTTCTTCACCACGCGCTGATACGGAACTTCGATACCTGGACCTTTTGGAGCTGAGCGCACTTTCATCTGCTGATATCAACGTACCGAGGCAGGCCTGTGTTGCATTCCAAGTTGGGAGCGGCTGGGTGACGGTGCTGACTCAGCTATAAACAGCTCCAACCCCTGTTCGGTTCTCAACCCTGGTTCGCATTTCTTTGAAAAACATCACAGACAACGCACCAACTTCTTCTCATCAACCCAACCCGCCTCGCGCAAGCAGCTTTTCGTTAGTTGCACTTTGGAAATGCCTCCACGTCGATCTGCGCGTGAACCTCCCGCGAAACCCATCGATAAGGAAGTCAATGGGACTGTTACTGTCGCCAAGAAAACAACCGTCGCGAAAACTAAAGGCAAGAAGAGGGAGTCGCGTTTCGAGGATATTTCTAACAAGGGTCCAGTCACCGCCTCAAGAAAAAAGGCTGAGCCAAAGACAAATGGCGATACGACGACTTCTCTGAAGGGTAAATAAATCCCTTGCCTTCCAACTTGACATTCCGTGCTGACTTCCCATGTAGTCACGAAACGCGGTCGATCAAAGAGCACCGCAACCCCAACCCCTGCTCCGGAGGATATTGACGACAAGAAGGCCGCCGCAAAGCGCAAGAAGGACGAAATCGAAGATGAGGCAGAGCCTAAGCCGGCGCCCAAGAGGGTGCGAAAGAAGTCCGTAGAAGCCAGAGAGGTGACAAAACCGAAGCCGAAGGGCCCGCTGCGGCGCGGCAAGAAGGTCGAGATCAATCAGTTGCGCTACACCGAGCCGCTGAAGGTCTTCGTGTTTGGTGAAGGAAGCTCTGGCGAACTGGGCTTCGGCGCGACCAAGAAGGCCATCGACGTCAAGCGACCGCGTTTCAATGAAATGCTGACGAACCACAACGTGGTTCGCATTGCTACCGGTGGCATGCATGTTGTTGCGCTCACGAAGGACAATAAGATTCTGACTTGGGGCGTCAACGATAATGGTGCGCTGGGACGCGACACGTCCAACGCCGTAGTCAAGATGAAGGACATTGATGGTGCAGGATCCGACTCCGATTCAGAGGATGATCCCACCGGTGGCCTCAACGACCTTGAGGCTACTCCTACTGCGTTATCATCGGACCATTTCCCTGAAGATACCGTCTTCGTTGACGTTGCTGCCGGCGACAGCTGTTCCTTTGCTCTTACGACCGAGGGTGCTGTGTACGGATGGGGCACCTTCCGCAAGAACGAAGGTGTTCTAGGCTTCACTAAGACCATCAATACCGCACGAACGCCAGTCTACATCGACAGCCTCAAGAAGATTACTCAGATCGCCTGCGGCACAAACCACGTTCTTGCAGTTGACAAAGATGGTCATGTCTGGGCTTGGGGTAACGGTCAGCAGAACCAGCTTGGACGGCGCGTGATTGAACGCAGTCTTATAGAATCTCTGCTTCCCAATCGTGTGGGATTCCATGACTCTTCAGTAAAGCGGGCCAGCCAGAAGATTGCTCAGATCGCCTGCGGCGACTACCACAGCATGGCAATTGGTACCGATGGCCATGTATGGGCCTGGGGAGCGAATAATTACGCCGAAACTGGTTATCCTGACAACGCTGGAGAAGACACCGCGACCGTCCCGACACCCAAGATTATCCAAAGCCTTGAGGACAAGGATGTCATTGCTCTGGCGGGTGGCTCTCACCACAACGCCGCAGTGACCAAATCTGGTGAACTGCTGGTATGGGGACGTTGTGACAGCGCTCAGACTGGGCTTTCCGCCGAGAAGCTGAACGCCATCGAAGGTGACGAGAAACTGCTCAAGGGCGAGAACGGCAAGCCCAAGATTCTTATTGAGCCGACGCCTATCCCTGGCCTAAAGGACATCGTCATGGCAACCTGCGGTCCCGATCATACCATCGCGATCGACAGCGCGGGCAGAGCTTATTCGTGGGGTTTCTCCGCTAACTACCAGACCGGCCAGGGCACCGATGATGATATCACGGTCCCCACTCGCATCGAGAATACCGCGGTGAGGGATATCAAGCTTGTCTGGGCGGGTGCTGGTGGTCAGTACTCCATCGTCGCCAGCCAGAAGGAGAGTTCTTAACGGCGTGTTATGTGATGAGAGGGTGGCAGACCCTTGTAATCTTTCTCTTTTGGATTGATTTAATGGTGGCCTTTTCATGACATGGCGTTCCGGTGGGCTGTACTTTCAAGGTTTTCAGAGCAGGGGCGGGCAGCTGCATAGCGCGGGGTTCTGCTTCTCTGGGGTTGGATTGCCTATGTAAGGAATGTGTGTACCTACACTGTCCGTTTATGGACGATTTCTTATGAGGACGACGGAAAACCATGGGTCCTTTTCAAGATTGTGAGGAATACAGGTTGCTTTGCCCTCCAAGACATGCGAAAGGGACTCATCTTCTTATTATCTGGTGATGATTAGCAAGGAATTTGCTCGCGAGAAACGCATAGCTGCACCAGGCCACACCAAATCTTGCAGAGTTGCAGAGCATATCGAAGGCACCAAATAATCTTTCCATTGCGACAGGCCCTCAGACACCTAGCCGCACCAGATATTCCCGCCACCATCATTCCGTAAACCAGACCATAAACGCCGCGCAAATGCTATAGGAGTGCCCCGGTGGGCTTCGCCATCCTTCAATCACTCCTCCATTCTCAATGCTTGTTTCAAATCATCTCTGCCTTTGAATAGCCCGCTGTTGCTCGCGCTCTGCGGCGTTGTATTTGAGGAGCTTCTCGATGAGGTCGACGTGGGTGAGGACCATACGACGGCAGCAGTAGCGGCGTAGGTTGAGAGCGTCTATGGCATCGCTGGAAAGGACATTAGCTTCAGTTTTCTGTCACGAGATCGTACTTTGTATGGAAGGCGGCATGGTGTCGGGAGCGTGTCTACGGAGAAGGTGAAGGGCGGATGGTTGGATAGTATAGAAGGGAGTGATTTACCCGTCAGGCATGCCCTCGTCGATCATCTGAAGGTAGCGTTCCCAGAGGTCGCCGATGACCTTTATAGACGTTAGTAGATGTTCTTGTTTGATGGCGCCTTGACAGACTTGCGCACCTTTCCGCAGGAGAAGCAGCGCACAGGAATGATCATCTTGAATGATGTATCCGTTCGGTAATAAAGTCGTATTCGTTGCTCCCGTATATGCGCCGGCGCGAGTATTCGCGAAACAACAGTTGTGAGGCGTTGGTTCTCTATCTGCGCGCATCTATCAAAGAAATTGTGGTCAGGAAACCACCCGCGCGCCAAGCTCGGCGTTCGGTTCTTCCGCCGGTCGAGCAGGAGCTCGGACCGCTTCGTCTCAAAAATATTTCGAACTCTTGGCTTCGCGAGTATCCCGTAGTTCGCGGTTTCGCTCTTTTAACATCGCCATATACCCACGCGCTCGGTTTGCACAATCTTGTCATTGCCATTCAAATATGGCGCCTGCAACTGAGTCGCCGGCTTTGAAGCGGAAAATGGAAGGGGCGGAGTCGGCGAGGAAGAAGGTTAAGATGACGAGGAAAGATACTGTGAAGACCGAAGACGTTGCGACGCCGAGAACGCCGGAGAAGGAGGAGACGAATGGAGTTCATGTAGGGGATCAGAGACCTTCTACTTCTCGGAAGCATAAGAGGAAAGGGAAGAAGGAGGAGACAAGCACGGATGCTGCCGCCGTTCCTGCCGCTACGCCCGCCACTAAGAGTGGAGAGAAGATGGTGAATGGAACACCGCAGACAAGTACCACGGCATCGCTCTCGAAAAAGGAGAGGAAACGGCAAGCTAAAGCAGCAGCGACCTCAGCCGCCGCAGGCAAGACGCCAAACGGTACCCCGCACGAGACCCCGAAAGTGAAGGAACATCAACAGACGCCGTCAGTCAGGAATAGAAAATCAGATGTACAGCAGGGGATTGCGCACAAGAGCGAGGCGTCAGTGACGAAAACAAGGGAAGAGGAAGGTCTCGCCTCACAGCAGCACTCAACTCTTGCGAAACCGAAAAGCAAGAACAAGAAAAAATCGACGTCTCTTTATTCGATGATCTCCATGGGACCGCGTTTTCTACGTCAAGATCCTGTTTTCACGGCCGATGAGAAACATGTTATCTTGTCTGATGATAAATCGCTTAAGGTGTATGAGGTCGAAACTTCAACCCTCGCCCAGTCAATATCAAAGCCCTCACCGTTTATATCCGCCTACGCTCTGTCCGCCTCAAATACGAATCAAGTCTATACCGCAAGCGCTAGCGGCTTGATAAGTCTCTGGGACTGGACGCTGGGTAAGATCATCGGACGCTGGGACGTAGGGGCACATGTTCGGAGTATCAGCGTTGTCAAAGACCCAGCGACCAACATGGATCTAGTCTTCACCCATGAAACATCCTCCCGGCACAACGTGATCAACGTTCACGCTCTCCGGACGCGTGAGCAGGGTGCACCTACAGAGCTCAAGGAAATCTATAAACGAAAGAGGTCCAATATCAGTGGGTTCCAAGTTCTACTAAGCGGCAAGATCGTAGTCGTCTCCGTCGATAAGTCGATCTTGGTTGGGACGCGCTCTGAATCTCACAAGTCTGCTCTGCAGGAGTACGTCTATGTGTGGCGCGAGTTTCAGACTTCGATGCGTGTCACTGCGTTTGATGCCTATGTACGCACACCGTCGAACCCGGAAGGCAAAGCATCGGCGACGAAGTCCAGAGATCATCTTGATCTCGTAGTGGGCGATCAAGAGGGTGCTATACTGTGGTTCGAAGATATCCTAGCGTCGTTTGCGAGATTGGAGAAGAGCCGCAAGGAAGGCGCAAGGTCCAACACAGACCTTGATATGCTCAGACCCAAACGTCTTCACTGGCACAGAGAGGCCGTGGCTTCCGTCAAGTGGTCTCGCGATGGTAATTCCTTCTGTTTTGACCAACGTATCCTTTCCGCTAATGTATCCAAGGCAACTACTTGATCTCTGGAGGCACAGAGACTGTTCTTGTTTTGTGGCAGCTGTCCACAGGCAAGCAGCAACACCTACCTCACTTGACTGCCGAGATAGAAAACATTGTCACCTCACCTTCGGGTGCATTATACTTGGTGAAACTGGCAAACACCTCCGTCATCGCGTTGTCGACAACGGAATTGAAGCCCAAGATGAACATAGTCGGAATACAGGCCCAGCGTGTCGAGACCGGCAAAATTTCCCCACAGCGAGATCCCGAGCATGACCGGACTACATTAGCAAAGAAAGTGCCGATGGTGGTTGATCCGAAGGATCACAATCAGGTGCTTTTTACGGTACCATCCTCTCAACCGTCAAACGAACAGGGAGGCGACCTCCATGAGCCATATTTGCAAACGTTCGGCATTGCGAGACAACAGCCCCTCTCCTCTCAGGCCCTCACCCGCAACAACGCCACCGATCCAAATATGGCCCCAGATGGGAAACGGATAAAGGAACCGGATGTCCAGTTTATGCAGATCAGCAATGACGGGAGATGGCTCGCCACGGTGGAGGAGTGGATGCCCCCTCGCGCTGATACCGACTACCTAGATGAAGGATTGCCGGATTCCTACGAAAAAGAGCTCCTTGCCCGCAGGGAGATCTATATCAAGTTCTGGCGGTGGGATGAGAAGAACTCGCAATGGGTTTTGGAGTCTCGCATTGACTTTCCACAGACCCACAAAAACACCGCCGAGTATTTGAAAACTCCTGTCCAAGATCTCATTGCGGACCTCTCCTCCCCCGGATTTGCTACCGTTGGCCAAGATCATACGGTGCGGATATGGAGACCTAAAAAGACGAAAGACAGGTCCGTTACTTGGTTTTTGAAACGCTCGATTGAGGTGCCCTGCAATGTAGGCCGGCCTCGCTTCAAATGGGAGGTCCAGTGGAACTGCCGTCTCGCTATGTCTTCGGATGGGTCCCTCATGGCGGTGGGCGTGTCCGACGGAGAATTCGGCGTCATCCACCTCATAAATGCTTTTACAGGAGAAATCATACATCATGTCACGACACTCAACCTGGCCCAGATATCTTATCTCGGCATAATACATCGCCACCTGATCGTCGCCAAACCAGACGGTGTCAGTCTCTACGATGTCGGTAAATACGAGAACACACCCGTCGAGCGGTCCGGGACTATCGGCGAACTTGATGCCTCGCTTGTTCGTTTCGCCATCAATCATGAGACCAGGACCTTTGCCATAGCATACCCGAAGTGGAGTAGCGACAACCGGATAGTTGGATCGACGATCTCCATCTTTGACCATTCGAACCCGAAGCCGCGCTGGGAATCGACTCACCCACACTTTATTCGAGCCCTTTGCTCCACGAATGGCTACGAGGGCTATGTGGCGTTGGACTCCACTGGCACTCTCATAGTCATCAGGCGTGAAGCCAGCGATCTACAGATTACTGCAAGCTATCCCGATTTGCGACGACGACAAATGGTTGACTCTTCCTCTTCAGAGCCTGTGTCCTCTTCAGAGGAGATTGAAGAGGCGGGTGAGGAGCACACTGGGACAGAGGCAATTGACACCCTCGCAACTGGTGATGGGCTGTTGCCGGAGAACGACAAGCCCGTTGTCACGGCGGAGCAGTTGGCGGAAGCGGTTGGTGCTGGGTTACCGTCACATGCTTTGCCGCCCGTCCAGGACATGTTTGATGCGGTTTTCCGATTATATTCCCGTAAGCCTAGGGTATCACAGCAGGGCTCCTGAGGGTTGTTGATGAAGAGGCCGTATATAGCCTTGTAGAATCAGATGTTCTATGCTGTAATCACGATCATTCTACGCCGGCGATGATCACGTTCGACAAAAGCCCTACCCTGTGCTTCCTCTGTAGGCTAGGTTGACCACTCAGTGCAACTCACCTGGCTATGACTTGATTTAGCCATCAGGGGTAGTCCGCTGTGAGGCTTGTTATAGCTAGATAGCGGTGCTGTGAAGCTATTCGTAAGGTTCTTTATATGCCTGCACCTCCAAGGTGCTTTATTGGATGTATAAACCTGTAGTACCCAACTGAACACCCCTCAGCACTTCCTCCGGAGGTTGAAACGACTATTGAGCGCAAGCTGATTGGCAACAACCCGTTTAGCCCACTCAGGAACTAGTATGTAAGCCGTTAATACCTGGAAATGGAGCTGATTGCATAGGCTTTCGTATCCGTGCGACTCCTAGCTGTTCAATCGGGCATAGAAAACGGCAGTACTGAGTAGACAGACTGTAGGACAGTATATTGTATCTACCCATACTCCGTCATCCAGCGACAATTTCACCCCATTTTCTAGATGGTCAAAGTGCCGTTTCTCTTCTTCAGCCGTCATGCGGTGCAGCGACAGTTGAGCTTTCACCAGATGCCGAAGCTTGGTTTTTCCAAACAATAGGGGGAGTCTCCGAGCACGAGCAGGGAAATAGCAGCAGCTTTTCCTTGGATTCCAGTAGGACCATTAATGAGGATAGCGGCACATATGTTCTTGAATACATGTGCCCAGATTGGCAATGACTGCTCTTAGTTGGAGTAGGCGGCGTGCAAATCTGCCTCTCTCGCCATTTCGGCGTAGACAGAGAAGAAGGGGAAAACGCAGGAAATCGTACCTCTCCGCCAGATAGGTTGTAATATAATACGACCAGGTATATGCTAGGAATTCCCAAGTCAGCATAATAAGGACTCTCAGGTTGCTCAAGTGTGAGTTCAAGAAGCACCAGGGAAGCCGCCTGAGTGCATTAAAGACATAGGCATACACAGATACGTATAGTAGGAAGTCTAGTGATGTTTTTACTTATAGCAGTATTACGTAGTACTCAATTGAGTGCCTACATTAGGAAATCTAATTTATAGAGGGAGTGCAGGGGGATGAGCATTCAGACGTGAAAAGTGGCAGTAGACAGCGGAAAGTGGGATTGCGCATCATTACCAGAGGAAACTACTAGTAGATTTTGATAGTCTGTGAGACAACGGCGGCAAATGATCGATAATATCTTGCAATATCTGTTGAAACATCTGGGTGCCAATCGATCAGAAAGGTCCTAGCGCCGCGCGGCAACTCTGACACCTTCCCCCTTCACTTTGTCCACAACTCCCCCTCTTCACCTGTCATTCGTTATCACCAAGCGAATAATAGTGGGACACTTCAAAGTGCTCCTTATCTATTTTCGCTCGACGACAAAGTCTCAGCTGGAGGCGACTCCCGCCCTTTCCATTCTTACCCCGTCTAGCCAAGTCTGCCGAGAGTTTTCCATAGGCGACGTGCTGGCAGCAAGGAAGTGAGGACCTTCTTTCCATCTCAGTGTAGTCAAATGTCTGGAGCCAAACTAACGGTGACATTGCAGCTACATGAATATACCAGTGTAACCTACTCTTTTAAGCAATTCAGTCACATGCGATGCATATACCCATGCTGTAGTACGCATGCCACGACACCTGCCCAGCTGAGCCGGATATCAGGATGAATCCTCCACTCAGACACCTCTGGAGGATCCACGTTCAGTCCTGGCCTTGAAACAAAACCCCCAGCGCCGTAGGGTAGCCGCCTTATGAGGCAGGTCCTGGGACACTGTGACCAATCAATCGACACATCAACCCTTGATGTTTGCTTTGCTTGAGGCGCATCCTAGCTGGGGTCCGTGCCGCAACCGCCAGTATGCGCTTGAGTAGCGATTTGGGCCTCTGTCCGACGACATATATTGGAAGTTTCCTTCAAGATGGATGGCCTCAAGTTTTGCATTCTTGGGTTTTGCTGCTTGATGCAGCTGAACATTCCCCCTTCTATTTCGGCCATCCAGAGTCACACAATAGCACGACCATCATGGGCTACGGTATTACCCCCGCAATACAGTGCGTTTACAGTAACTGATAATTTCACAGGGGGATCATTGACGCTTTTGAATGGGTCCCCTCACGACTGGGTACTAAGTGGCCAGCATTCGTATCAGATGGACACCTGGAGTTGGCCCACGATCAATGCAGGGAAGGCAACCAAGGTTTACATAGAGTTTGGCCTGAAAGGGCATACTGGTGATGATGCTGGGGAAGCATATTACAACATCGCCGGGACACCAAACAAATTCCAAGTACTTGCACGAAAACCGTCGGACTTCAAGCTGACGATACACCTGGACGGGTTGGCGACGAAGACGAGCCCCCAAGGTTCCAACATCGATCTCGGCTTCCGGCATGATGCAGCTGTCAATTGGATCCTATCTCAAGACGAAGCCGGGAACTGGTGGTCAAACAGCGGCACACAGACGGATTGGATGCAGCAGAGTATGGGGTCGCTGGCCAATCGAACTCTCCGACACATCGCCATGCCAGGCTCGCATGATGCCGGAATGTCCACCTTCAGGCCTGGCACTGTAGGAGCACATTTTGCGAATACACAGACGCAGTATCTGGACTTTTACCAACAACTCATGCATGGGTCGCGGTACTTCGATTTACGTCCCGTCATCTCTAACGGCCAATGGGTGGCAGGACACTACTCTGAGGTCGGTGATATCTGGCTCGGAGGAAATGGCCAGTCGATCGCGGACATTATCACACAGATCAATGACTTCACCCGCAACTACAAAGAACTCATCATCATCAACCTCAGCCACACCCTAGACACCGACCACGACTACCGAGACCTCACCCAAGACCAGTGGAACGACCTCTTCAACACCCTTAAATCCATAAACAACCGCTTTACAGTTCCCAATCCCGGAAGAACAGACTTCACGCAGAGCGTGCTCGGCGACTTCATCACCGACCGCGCCTCCGTCTTCATCTTCGCACAGCTCCCCCGCGGTATCTCCCTCGGCGACTTTGCAAATCAAGGCTTCTACACTCAAGACAACTTCCCCGTCTACGACTCCTATTCTAACTCCAACGACGCCGGCACCATGCAGCGCGATCAGCTCTCCAAACTCAAAGCCGAGCGCAACATCGTCGCGGATGCCTCGCAACGGAAAGACCGCTTTCACATCTTCTCGTGGATACTGACCCAACAGCCCGAAGACGTGCTCAACTTCGACCGCGCAATCATGAACCTGGCGGCGGGGGTCGCAGATCCGCTGGTTAGCGAGGCGTTCAATGCGTTTACGCCAGAGAGCTTTCCGAATGTGCTGTATGTGGATGCAATCGGGGTGAGGGATAAGCCTGTGGTGTTCCCGTTCGATAAGCCGAGGAGTGTGGCGACGAATACGGATATCGTGGCGCTTGCGATTGCGGTGAATAATGCGATGGCGGGGAGGAATCCGTATGTTACGAAGGGAAGATGAAGGTGTGGGTGGGTTAAAGGGGCCATGTGTTGGAATTGGATTGTTCATGACATGATGATACCCAGCGAGTCTGCGGGCATAACTCGCATATATGTTAAGGTGCCAGGTACTGGTCAGAGGGTGCGTGGTAGGAAGAAGCTACGGTAGAACGAGAAGGAAAGTGTTACGAGGATATCAGCTTATTACAGCAAGCGCGAAGAAGCCTGTTTATGTTCGCTTTGGTACACCGACCCTCACTCTTCTGACAACAATCTTTCTATCTTTACAGGTCCATCTCGGCTTCTCGCTTTGACAAGAAACATTCACTCCATCTTTAGCGTGGGAACATATTCAGTAAATAACTGTCGAACCCATCCCGTCACCGCGTTCTCGTCCCCAGGGGAAGATTCCAGGGTATGTGAACACGCTGAACACAAGAACCATTACATTCTCACAAGGCACTGACGTTCACACGACACGCAGCAGCTCTGACCGACCCAAGTCTCCAGTCCAACCCGAATCTCTATTGAGTCTACTGCAATCACCTCACCGATTGGTTCAACGCTATTTCCTTCCCAGCGTATCGCACAACTTTGTCCGTCCTCGGACCCAGAGAACTGCAGAAGCACCAGGAGCAACGGGGACTCCCGCAATAGCCTCACATTACAACTTTCGGCCTGCCGATCCGCACTCGGTCTTTTTGCTCTGCAGCGACCAACTTCGCCCTAACCCTTCGGTCTACTATCCCGCCAACAGTTCATGGATCTCCGCTTCCCATGGCCCTCCCAAGTCGGAATCCAAATCCATCTCAGATCCGTCGCTCTGCGCACGCGCCTGGAGAATCTGCAAAGAACAGTCGACGGCTATCGCTCCACCATCTCGACCCTAAACTTCCTCCTCCACCGGGCAAAACAGGAACCATCGTTCCGCAGCCGCTATCCTTCCTTCGTCGCGGACGCGGAAGGGCAAATCGTCTTCTGGACGAAACTCCGGGAAGCCATTTCCGACAGCCTTGAACGTCTTCTTTATGGAGTCGACCACGAGGGATATTTGGCATATTTGATTGAGCTCGAGCACCGGACCGACTTCGCCGAAGTTTCGACCGCTGGACTCGTGGAGAACGGTAGGAAGTACGCAACCTTGATTGAGGAGAATATGCCCAGGGTAGTGTGGGAGGGACATGTGGCGGGGTCGTCCAGAGATGCGTGGGGGTTCGCAAATGCTTTGGTGAGGCATGGCGTGGGCTTGGTAGTAGAAAGGGAGAAGGATAAGGATGAGGTTGGGGATGAGTGGGGAGGGGTCGGACAGGAAAAGGATAAGAAGGATGGAGCGAATCGATGATGGGGACGTGGAGGGGAAGCCTTGATGAGGGAATGGAAAAGAAGGAGGACGATATAGGTTGATAAGCGGGAGAGGTTTGGTATAGGGGCAGATAGGCGATGTGTAAGTGGTGGGATTGGAGTGGGCGGGTTGGAATGACACATGCTTGGGATAGAGAAAAGCGAGCTCCGGGTGAACGCGTCGGTATATGCAGCGCGAACTGCGGCCTTGCTGCCGGATAGAGTACGCGTATGTCGTCAGAAGACATCCTTATATCACTGATCGCAGTAACGTTCATGCTATCGGTGCAGAAAGGCAATGAATGTTATAAGAATAAGAAGCTCGGTAACAGTGCTCCATTTGGTATCACCCCTTTGGTGTCAGAAACCACTGTCCTAGCTAAGCGTCCATTAAAGCAGGATATAGTCAACGTTGCAGAGTGCGGACTGGTACGGGACAGAGACGGAATACTAACATCGATGATGTATTACCTCCTAGTACAGAGCCCGCAGCCTGCCTGCTTTTTACATTGCCATAAAGGCCATAATACACCAGATAGCATATGATTTTTCCGCTCACGTATCCCGCAGGGCAGACCCGACATTCGCCTCCTTTTGCCTTTTCCTTCCGTCGAGCCAGAGCCACCCTCTACTCTTGACGAAAGTCCGCCATCGCAGGAAATCCGTCGACATCCCAGTGTCATGCCCACACCGTCAATCCCATTCCCTTCATGCAAGCCACTATGCGAAGGCCACCATGCACACGTCCATCCTCAAACACCTTCGCACATCCCCGAACACCTCTCTCCTCCATACTCAGTCTCACCCACAACCACTTCCGAACCCCACCCACAAACACCACCACAGCCAGCCAAAGGCAGCCAAAGCAGCAAAGCAGCTTAAGAATCTAAAGCATCTAAAGCAGCTTAACAGCGACATCACCATCCCCCAACGCGACGGCCCTCTCTTCCAACGCCCTCAACCCCTTCCTCAACAACTCCAACCCTTTCTCCCCTTCAACCTTGCACACGTCGGCCAACGTGACGGCGAGCACCTCCAAGGCACCTACTTTCTCCCTCTTCCTCTTCCCCTCATTGCTTCTTGCACCATTACCATTCCCGACAGCCCTGCCACTCTCGGCATTACGTTCGCCAGTCTCCACAGCAGTCTCGACACCACTCTCCACATCAATCTCCCACGAACACCACGCCAACCGCGCCATCCGCACCGCATTCACCTGCAGGAACCTGCGCTCATCGCTAACCACCTCGCCTTCCTCGATGCTCTTCTCCAACGCCCACATTTCGCGCCGCATGCGCAGCCACATTTTCACCACCGCGTCGCGCGTCGCGTAGCTGAATGGGCTAGTGGTTCCGGCGGCGGCGGCGGAGGAGGTGCTGGAGGAGTAATAAGCGATGCGATCGGGGGAGTGCCATTCTTGGTCGAGGAGGGAGAGGAGCATGGGTTCCATGTCCATTGGGTCGAGCACGTTCGGCGGTGTCGTTGGGGAGGCGGGGAGGGAGGACGGGGTGTTTGGTGTTGGCGGGAGGGGGGAAGGGGTGATGGCGGCGAGAGGAGGGGAGGCGATGTCGTAGAGGAGTTTGATGAGGAGGTCTGCGATGAGGAAGCGCCGGTGGGTCGAGGTTAGGGTAGATGTCGGTGTAGTTGCTGCAGATACTGACGTCGGAGGAACAATCGGAGATAGGGTTAAAGGTGGAGCAGATGCGAGGCGCGTCTGCGTCTGCTGCTGGATGGGAGCGGCGGCGGTATTGATATTCGCGAGCACCGGCGGGCCATTCGCCTTCTTAGCTGTCGTCTTCGCTGCATTTCGCTTCTCCTTCTCCTTCTCCGTCACCTTCCCATCACTCCTCTTCTTCTTATTCCCCTCCTTCCCATTAACAAGCCCCGGAGACGCAGCACGTTTCCTACTACCCATCTTGCCAGTCCCGCTCTTGCCTGCACCTTCTACCGCTCCTCCACCATCCAGTTTCGCTTTCTCCCCCGGCTCCGCATTCCTCCACATGTCGCGTTCGCGCTGGCGGCGCTCGGCGATGGCGACGTCCTCGTCCCTTTCGGCCTGGGCGCGCTGCTTGGCGTGCTGGTTGCGCCGCGTGTTGAAGGCCTTCATGAAGATGGCTTGGTGGAGGTGGAGGCGGATCCTGTGACAGAACAGAGACGTAGGTTAGCATAATCCATGTATCAAAAACCAGAACGGTGAAGGAAGCTTCAAACATGCAAATAACCCAAACGAACAAGAAAAATGAAAGACTTACAACTCCCCATCCCCCTCCCTCCCAACAACCAACCTCCTCGTCAAGTTCCTCCCTCCAGGCCCCTTCCCCCAAACCCGCTCCCCAAACCACTCCATCAAAAACCTCACCTCTTCCCGAATCGACTCCCGATCCGCCGCCATACCAACCAACTCGTCCTGCGTCAAGGGCAACTTCATCGCCACGGCTTTAATCTCCTCGTGCAGCTTCGTCACGGTGAGCGAGTCCCGGTGGACCTTGGGGTCGATGTCCAGGGCGTCGAAGACGGAGGATAGGGGCACGGGGCTGTTGTTCCAGAAGCGCGACCATTCGGCGGCGTTCCAGTGGCGGGTGAGTGGGAGGGTGGTGGGAGGGCGGGATGAGAGTGCGGGTGCGGGTGCTGCGGAGAGGGTGGATGGCGCGCGGGGAGTTGGAGGAGTGTGGGAGACGACGGATTGGGTAGGCGGTGCAGCTCGGTGGTGCTGGATGGTAGCGCCCTGATGATTGGACCGTGGTGGAGCAGCAGGCGTCTGCAGCGTTGTCTTCGTCCTCGTAAGTACCGGGCCTGCATCAGGGCAAGCATTCCGGGCGTGAGAAGCAGGACCCTTTGCAGACTGCTGAATCGTAAGAGTCGCATCGCTTTTACTCAGGTCCGTCGACGCCCTCCTAGCCCCGGGAGAAGTCGTACGTTCCCGGCTTGCACCCTCCAAAGATTGCTCACGCAAGCAAGTCTGATCGTAATGATTCCACACATCCTCCAACTGCTCATGACAACGTTTGCAGTAATAACCGTCGAGGCCACCTTCCCAAATCGCGTCCGACGAGTCCAGGGTGTCGTCGCAGTCGCAGCAAGAAACTGTAGCTGGCAATGTCTTCGTCTTCTTCGTTTGGGCGGCCTGTCCTTCGGCGGCGGAGGAGGAGGTGGTGGTGGAGGAAGCGGGATCATGCTGAGCTTGACTTCCATCATTTCCATCCACATCCATACCCTCTTCCTCTCTATCTCCATCCTCATCGCCAACCTCCTCTCGTCCTTCAGAAACCTCCTCGTCCCACGGATTCGGACTAGCAGAAGCATCTCGTTCATCTCCCTCTCCCTCTCCATCTTCATCTCCGCTTTCATCTCCATCTTCATCGCCATCGTCGTGCTGCTCCATCGCCATACCAGCGTCACGGTGCTGCTCTCGCAAATATCCTCCAAACTCCTCATGCCCAGCACCACCTTCCCCAGCAGCAGGAGCAGCACTCTCCCGCCTCTCACCACGCGCCGACGCGTCAACCCCATCACTCATCTCTTCCATCCTTTTGTCTGGCGGACCGGAGTTGTACGCGGAGGCTTCCCGAGGAGTAGGAGGAGGAGGCATCAAAGTATCCAGCCGATTATAAGTACTTCCAATCTGTCGAGACCGTGGTTATATCGTAGTAGCAGAGGTTGTTGCGGAAGGTTGAACTTCTATCGACTCAGCCAGAAGAGGGGAGAACGTCGTGCTCAAGTACCCGCGCCGCAATGACCAGAAAAATTTTCACCCTGCTCCTTGGCTCATTAGAAAACCGACGCGTTGAGGTACGCGTAGGTAGGGTCGGTGAAAGGGTCAGTCGCGTCGAAGGAGAAACTCGGTATGGCTAACGGAGGTGGCTATGATGGGGCAGTGGTGAAGTGAAGTGGTGAAAGGCGCACCAAGTCCACAAGCCCAAGTCACTGTCCCTAGTCTGGATAGCTGGAGCGGCGGTATGACAGGTAGTCGAATATGGTGAAAGATTCATCTCTATCATGATCCGGCAACACAAGAATAGACTCTAAAGAAAAAAAGAAAAAAGAAAAAAGGAAAAGGAGACGAAAACCGACGACCATAGGAAGCCAGGCAGGGTATATGAGAGACGTATGTGACCAGATGTGAAGAACCTAGCTGCGAACGCCCGACTGAAAACAAAACCAGAAAGACAATAAACCTTTTCTACGTTTCGCTAAATGGTGTCATGACCGTCTTTTCTCCCTTTTTCCTTTACCTTTTCTTCCCAGACTACTAATGCTCAGGCTCAAACCCTTTCGGTGGGACGTTCTTCGTATTGGGCTTCGTCTCCTTCGCCTCCTTCGCCGTGTTGCCCGTCGCCGACACCTCTTCCGTCACTACCGGTACCTCCTTGGCCTCATTCCCATTACTCCCCTTCTCTTCCGGTCCATTCCTTTCCGTACCCTTAACTTCTTGCCCCTCCCTCCTCTCCTTCCCCAGAACCGGTTGCTCCGCCACCACACCTTTTGCCTTCGCCTTCGCCTTTCCCTTCATCTCAATGCCACTCGCCCGCTCCTCCTCCAACCTCCACGCAATCCGATCCGCCGCCCGAAGCAACATGCGCCCCTCGTCCAGATTCCTCTTCGTCATCTCCCTCACCTCGGCACTCCCCGCGTTGCCCCTCACCTGCTCCTCAAACATCCTGATCTCGCCGACAAGTTGCTCGCGCAGCTGATTGGCCTGCGCCAGCGCCCTCTTCGGCTCTACCCTCCCGACGCTCTGCCGCGCGTGATACTCCGGCACCCAGGCCTGCACATCCTGCTTCTTGGAATCCAACGCCTCTCGGTGCTGCAGATACACACTCGTGTAGTAGAGGCGGCGATTGACGTCCTCGAGCGCGCTCATGAGGCGCGCGAAGATCATGAGCCGGAGATGCGCCTCGGCGGAGCGGAGTTGGCGTTCATCCTTGTCCGGGAACTCGTTGAAGGCTAGGTCTCGTCGATCGCGAGCGAGTTGGTGGGCTAGGAGATTCAATTCGGCCTTGAGGGATGTGCGCGACTCCTCGAGGTTGGCGAGTTCTTGTGACATGGCAGGGACGTCAATCGCGCGGAGGGAGTCGGCGTAGTCTGTGACGGGGAGGTAGTATGGCTTGACCTGTTGCGGCGCTGTCTGTGCTTCTGTTGGGGTTTCCGACTCAGGCGCCGATGCAGTAGTGCTGTCTGTGGGAGGGGAAAGGTAAACAACCAGTCCGTATTTCTCCGGCGTATCCACCGCCTCCTCCGGCAAACTCGCGGCGCGGAAAATCCCATTGAGGACGACGTATGCCTGCACCGGCACGGACAGCCGCGTCAGAAGCAACTTATCCCAGTAGATGTGGTGGAACTCCAGACTCCGTCGTCGCCGCCATTGCTGCATGACCGCCACAGCCTTCTGTCTCTCGCCCGTATACTGAAAGTATGCATTCGATCCCGCGATCCCTACAAAAGCCCCCATATTGGCCATGCCCATGCAGCGAGTCCACCAACGGAGCGGACTCCTTTTCAAGAATAACGACGAGACGAGGCCGATTCCCAGGCCCATCCCCGCGCCGGCCAGAAACCCGTCATCGACGGTATACTTCTCCGTCCTCTCCCAGAGCTTCCATTCCACGGGGACATTCAGTACAGCGCCAATGGGCTTGGTGAATTCGTGGTGGTGGTAAAAGTTGACCGCCGCTCCTATCGCCGCACACCAGATCCCTGCCTTTGCGGAGGCCCTGATGAACAGCGCGGGGACGGGTAGCGTATTCGGTATCCCGACTCGCCGTGCGTAGCCTGAGGCATAGCTCGTGTATCCGGCGGCGAGGACGGTGGAAGCGACGACGGAGTTTGTGATGGTGGCATTAGCGGCGAGGGGCTCGGGACGTTTGGGGGTAATCCATAATTTATTCTCGCCTTCAGGGGCCGTTAGTAGGTGAGAGAGTCTGGGGGCGGCGGACGTACCGGGCTGAACGAAGAGCCTCACGACCATTTCGGAGGGGATGCACTACCGCCCAGGAAGTGTGGGAAATGAAGGTTGAGATAGGGAGTGGATGCCGGTGCTATACATGCCAGCAAGCAGAGCGTCGTAGTAGCCTTGTCGGCGTGGATTGTCAAGGATGCCGGGAGGATGAACGATGAGAAGAAAGGTCTAGAGTTCCAGTGTAATCGGTGGCTCGAGTTACACACAGTGTGGCTCGGCCAGGGCTGGGCAGTGAGGGCCAGGCGTGCGCAACTGCAAAGGACCAGGAGACGGCCCCACCCGCCGCGTCGATCATGGACCCGGAGTGAAGCGGATGACGAGGGGTTGATTGCAAAGATTCGCTCTCCCTCACCGGAATCGATGCCATGCAAACGCTCTTTTTATTGGAAGATTGAGTGCTGGTGCGTGCGATGGATGCTCCTGCTTGTAAACAATATCCGCATCGGCAATACTCCGGTCGACTGCCTACTTTCCAAGGTTGGTTAGTACAAATAGGTCATCACGTGCATAGGCCCAGGTAGGTATATACTATGTACAGATCCTAGAGACCGCCCGCGTGTTACTGTACAAGCACCTCCTGGAAACACCGATGCATATACCTCAATATACGAATTACAATGTCTACCTGCAGTCTACATTCAACAGCTATGAAAAACATGCTAGCCGGAAAGCAACTGGCCGCTGCTGGTATATGAAGGGAAACCAAACCAAAAAAGCCGGAACCCAGAACACCGCTTTTGAGGATATCTCGCACAGACAAAAGGAAAGATGATGGCATGGCAGCCAGCCACAGGTGAAATCCAAGCCCAATCCGATCCATATCCAATCCAATCCAAGCCAAGCCCAGTCCATCCCATCCCAGCCCATCCTAGATTCCCAAGTCAATGATACAACTCTCTCAACGCTCACCACCACCTTCACCACCTCCCCCCTCCGATACAAGCAGTCCTACCGCTTACTCATCGAAATCTTCATATCCTCGGACCGCAAAAACTCAAACACACTCTCATTCAACTTCTCCAACCCCTCCTTGAACAGATTCTCCGTCCCCTCCGTCTTGGTCATGGTCGCGAACGTCCTGCAGAGCAGATCCTCGGGCGACAGGACCACATTGCCCACGTCCTGCGTCTTCATGGCCTTCCACTTGAGCCGCATGACGCGCAGGTCGTTCATGGCGAGGAGGCGGTCGACCATTTCCGACGGGCGCACCCCGGGCTTGGATTCCATGGCGTACTGGAGTTGGATGATTTTCCAGCGCTCCTGGATCCAGGCGTCGAGCACGCGGCCTTGGAGGTCGAAGAGCGGGCCCATTTGTCGCCGGAAGTTGTGCTCGTTTTGCTCCCAGATGTACTGCAGGTTCTGGAGCAGGACGCTCTCGTCAAAGGGCGTCGAGTCGCGCGGGAAGAAGAAGTGCATGAGGTAGCCGAGGAGCTCGCACTGGCGGAGCGTCATCTCGGATTGGGTCACTGGTCGGGGGCTGGGACGGTGGTGTGCATGGTGGCCATTTGTAGGGGCTTTGCTGGGCACATTAGAGGGAACTATGTAGGGTGCGGGAAGGCCATTCGGCGCGTGTTGAATAGCGTTCGCGTGGAACTTGGGCTGGAAATTGGAAACACCAGAGACGGGCGGTATACTGTGAGAATGAAAAGCTTGAGGGTGTTGAGAAGGCGGGGTGGCCTTCGGCGTGATGACTCTGTGAGCCGGGTGGTTATGCTCGGATACAAAGGAGATATCGGTCCTGTGCTGGGGCTGAGGGTGCACGGCGGAAGGTCGTGGGGGGCTAGGTTCACGTTGAGGTGGAGGCTGGTGGGATACCGCCTCATGATGCCCGTTGGATGGGACGCGGATATCTTGCATGAGGTGATCTGCCGTCCCATTATAAGGACTGGAGTAGCCGTGCGGTTGCTGGGCAAGTGGGGGTTTAGGCGAGTTGTTCGACTTGATCACCGCGAAACTCCCAGAGTTGACGGGCGCAATAGTCGAACTAGGCTCTCCTGAGCTTGCAGCAGGTGCCGGTGCACTGCGCGGTGCCAACACAGGGCCAGAGATTGTGTGGATGGCAGGCAGCGTGGGGCCAGCAGACGAACTCAATGTACCGGGAGCACTGGCTCCGGCGTCTGCTGAGCCGCTTGGTCGGCGGTTGATAGCAGCAAAAGTGTGAGGAGGGGTATGATTTGGTCTTGCATTGCCATTGAAAGCGGCACTTTGGATGGGCGGAAGAGTCCTGTCAGCATCAGGACCTGGTGTCATGCTACCATGACGAGTCAACAGATAGGAGTCTGGCCCTGGACTACGTCTCAGGCCATCTGCACCGGGTTTGGCGGCCAGCGACCTTCGGGGGCTCTTCCTCTGAATCGGCAAGGCGGTGCTCTGATGCGAGCGCTTGCGAGAACCCGAGGATGGAGCGGGAGAGCCCTCTTCATCGGATACTGACATGAAGGCGGAGCTCTTGCGCTTCTGTAGGGCTCTTGGCTGCTGCGCGCCTCCTTCGGTGGCGGGCGTGGCAGTGCCTTCATTCGCAGGAGTAGTCACAGACTGCGGAGTAGATAGAGGAGACTGTGAAGGACTTAGACTGGCTCGTCGCGATGAATTCGGGCGGTTCACCACTAGTTCCTGCTTCTGGACGGGAGAGTCGACGTCCATTTCCGTGACGTTTTCATTGTCCTCTCCGACAGGATGCTTCTTGAGCTTCCTGTTGCGGATCCAGTAGCAGGCCTTGATGACGACCCAGCGTTGGAGGTGTGTTTTGATACTCGAGTTGGATTAGCTTCTTGGCGAGAAACATGGGTTGGGGGGAAGAGCGCTGGCCAGAAGGGGAGCACAGGGTTGCTGGGGGACGCGCGGCTATGAGAGGAGAAAGAATAAAAGAATAAAGGCTGGTGCATCATGGCTGGCACTTACATCTCTCTGTCCTCGGGATCTTCGTAGTAGAGGTCCTTGTAGTAAGTCTTCCTCATGGGATCCGGGGTAATCAGGCGGCTCCGATCCGCATCCCTCCCCCATATCTGGGGACCCAGATGCTCGAGGAGGTCGTCCAGCTCCTTCTCGAGGCAATTGGGGTTGGCGGCAAAGTCGAGCAAGGCATCGCGCTCCTGGGGCAGTTCCTTGCTGAGCTGCTGGACCCAATTCGACAGCTTCTTGAACTCGGGCGCGTCAAACTTTGGGATTCCGCGATTGGTGGTCGAGGCGGTCGGGGAGAGGCCCAGTCCCAGGCATTCCGTGACTTCGCGGATGGTCGGACTGTGGCTGCTGAAGACGGTGATCCATCTGCTCCGGTCCCAGCGTCCAGGCGGTGGAAGGAGGTCGGTTGGCATTCTTTTTTCCAGGAGGGAGTCTTTCTCTAAGCGTTGTGTTGTTTTCCTCGGTCGGCCGAAGCGGCGGGACTCGCCACGGTAGCGAACAGGTAGCGAACCACGTAAGGGATGTTTGCGATGGCCTCTGGGGTTCCCGTCAGGGGCTATGCATCGAAACAATGTGGGCTGGAGAGGGAGGGTATGGATGGATAGCAGAGGTGCAATTGGGAAGAATAATGGTGAAGAAGGAGGAGTAAGAGAATGCGAAGGCTGCAAGTGGGACCGGGCGAGATTGGAGTTGACGAGTGTCCAGGCTGGGGGGGGGATGAAAGGGCCTTACTGTAACGCGGGCTCGTTTAGGGGAGGCTAGCGCAAGCGCCAGACTACTCTAGGGGCGCCGGAAGACAAGTTGGAACTGGGCTGACCACTGAGCAGTCACCAGTGCCGCGAAAACGGTAGCCCGCTATATTGTATTGATGGTACGGCTGGTACCGCGCAAGAAGGAATTATATCTCTCAGCTGTGCCTTTGTCTATGCCGTGCGTCTGTGCTTGTCCCAATAATGTGCTTTATGGGTATTGTGTCAATGCGTGTGCGCGACGAGTGCAAGAGAAGTGCAAAAGAGAGAGAGAGTGTGTGTGGATGACACGTAGGCGGGAAATGATAGGATGATGATTAGTCGTGTGGCCTGCCTTGGGAAAATGCTGCCGGGGCGCAGGAATCATAAGAATTATGGCTCAGGAATGGCGGACAAGTTGGGCATGGGCATGACGCGCCCCAAATCTAGGAATATGAGGATGAGTCGCGCAGGCCGAGTGAAAGTTACGCGGCAGCCACAATTGGCCAGCCGCCATCCCTTAATCAGGGTGTACCACGCAGAGACTATGGGATTATGGGGTTTTAATCAACCACGCCCTATAGAGGGTACAAGGGCTCCAAGGCCCTCCAAGGCCCTCCAAGTGCGCGCATATCGCACCATGTTCTTATTAGTAGGATCATGGCTTGTCAGGCGCTGCTAATTCGGGTATCATGCGCCGCGCTTATCAATCATTGTCGAATATGTATCCACTCCGTACTCCGCAAGTACCTGCTCCGTACCGACCGTACAGTGCCTTTCTCTTCCCGGTGACCTGTCGTTTCCGTTGCCGCTCTTACCTGCTGCTTATTACCGTCTATCCCCGCCACCAACATCCTCCACGTCTCTTCTTGTAGCTTCGTCACCATCAACTGGACTACCTAGTAGTCGATAGCTCGCCTCCAGCTTGCTCTGTTGATGATGACAATAATGGTGATGATGATGATGATTATGCGCCGTCCTCTTGTTTACGTTATCGGTGGGCATGCGCTGCCTGGCTGGGCTGGATTGCGACCCTAAAAGTTTAATGATTCCCTATTGAGGCACAGCTGGCTGGCTTGCTGCGCCGTACGCCAAAGTACACATCTTCGCTCTTCCACCACTGATGCAGAGTGTCCCCACCAGCCAGTCGCGGATGAATCGCCTTCGCAGCCCTCGCATCCGCCCTCGTATCACTTCCCTCGCGCAAGCCCACCTGCAGGCTACTGGCCATCTCTCGCCTAAAATCCCGATCCGTACGAAGTATGCGCCCAGCAGGTGCCAGAAGCGTCTCACCGTTGACCGGGCGGGGGGCCTACTACCTACGCAGTATAGTATCGTACATATGCACCCCTACAGTAAGTCCATGCAAATCGTGCTCCGTCGTAGCCGGTTGGATCATCGATCCCAATTATTCGCGAACCGGGGTCCGGATTATTCCCTTTCCACCCAACAATCTTGCAAGTCGCAACCAGAGAGTGCCAATACCCCATACCCAGTAGTGCCCAATAGTACGCGATCCGATGATTGTTATTCGATATCGCGCATATCGTCGTCCGTGCATACCCAGCCAGCACTTTCTTTTCGCTGTCGAGAGCGAATACCGTACTGTAGAGACTCCCTGCCACCTACTTGTCTTGTATAGGCTATGTGCGCACGTACAGCAGGCCCTCGTCGCCTTGTCCCTCGTCGTCCGCAGATTGCTCCAGCTGCTGCCGGAGCCATTCCACCGTGTCGCCCACCGAGCTCGCCGCGAGCGTGCTGTCTCCCGCCAGCGTCTGGAAGGCCTGCTGCAGCACGTCATCCGCAGACACCCTCTCGCCGGGCCAGTCGGCTGCGAACCGCCGGTTCAGGTCGTCCCACGTCCTCACCACGTCGCGGCTAGCTGCCCGCAAGTTCCTGTGCTCGTTATCCCGAGCGATGCGCGCCGCTTCGTCGTCTTGCATCGCTTGTGGATCCTGCTGATCATCTTCGGCCTCCCAGCCTGCAAGGATTATCGTTAGCGAAAAGTAATATGCGCGCCTCGGCAACCATCCATCATAATCATCGATCCTGGCTGTAACCGGTGCACACGAAGCAAACGGCTCCAACGGCGGAAAACGGGAAAAGCGAAGAGGGATAAAAAAGGGAAACGGAGAAAAGGGAAAAAGGAAAGGGATAACGCGTACGCTTTCCGGCCTCGATCAAGTCGGCAATGTGTCGTTTGAGCTCAATCCACGTAAGGAAGGCTCCGTCCTGCGCAGCGAATAGTGCTGCGTTTGCTCCCTCAGGTCCCTTCTGTCTCGCACGAATCTTGTCTCGCCATGCCCTCTCTAGGCGCCGAAGTAGCACTGCTTGGTCCCATCCGGGCCCGACTTCGTGCGTCGTAATGTAGACGCGGAACGCCTGTAGTGTCTCTGCATCCAATGCCTGCCCCTGCCCGTCGCTCCTTTGCTGTGCCTCTCCATCCCGACTGGCCAGCGCTGCATCCTGTCCTGCTCTGGGATTATTGTCGTCTTCCAAGAAATTCGATACAAGTGATCCTATCTCGGCGCGAAGTTGGTGTAATGACGGTGGCCTGGAGATGGGTGGCGTGCTTCTATGCGGTCGCACGGTAGTTTCATGCCCAAGGTGATGTGCCAAGGGCGGAGATAAAGTCCTTCCTTGCCGGGGCGGCCCATTCACATCTCTCGCAGGAAATGTGTAAAAACTGTCGCTGCCGACCCCATAGCCGGCTACGACGGGACTGTCATTGGAGTGCAACGGGGTTCCGCTCATGGGCGACGCTGGGTTGCTGTAAGTCGTGTCCAGTCGGAGCGCCTGCGCATGTCGCGCGGACGCTGTGTAGGATAGAGGCACCGTCTCGGAGCGACCGGCAGGTGCAATAAGCACTCCACCGGACGACACTATGGGAAATACTGCACTGAGCTCCCGTGCAGTCCCATCCTCATCGCGTAATCGTAGTCGTTCTTGCTTCTTCTTTCTGTCTCGACCCGTCCGCTCGCGAGCCAATAGACGGTTGCATGCTTTTATACCTGTCCACCAATGCAGCAAGGCGCGTATTCTTGATACCGGTTAAGTCGCTTTCATCCATCGTATATCGGGTTTCACTTACTGCTCCCTGTCCCGTTCATCCTCGTAATACAAATCTTTCGGATACATGTCATGAACAGTGGGGTCGCTGGCGTGGACAAGATGGTCTCGGTTGACATCCCGTCCCCATATCGCCGGACCATGCTTCTCAACGAGGGCATCTACTTCGTCGCTCAAGCTGTTCGGTTTTGCCAGATAGGCAAGGAGCTCATCGGCGTCTTGCGGGAGAGCGTCTGTCACGCGTCCCATATCGGTGATGAGACTCTTGACCGCATTGCTGTCGAACTGCGTCTTGCCACGTTTGTTCGAGCTCCATTTCGCCCGTAGTCCCAGTTTCTCGATCAATTCGTGCATCTTGTATCGAGACCGATTTTTCATGACATCTTGCCAGTCCCGCGGCTCGGCGAATGAAACCGGAGGAGGGGTACTGCTCTCCATAGTGACTTAGATCGATGCTGTTGTAAGAGCTTTGCTGTCGCTTGATACGCGCAGAAGTCTGCTAGTCGTAGCGACAATCCACGGCTCTTTCCGGCTGCAAGTATGCGAACGACTTTCTAGTGCGCTGCAAATTGATCTCCAGGCAGATTTTCGTCGAATGGCAGATGGAGACGAGAATGAGGGGTGGGGTAGAGGGTGGGTTTTCGGTAAAACGTGTACAAAATCGAAAGTCACACGAAAAAACCTGGACGGCAGGATCCCTGCTTTACCCACAACTGTAAATGGGGGTAATGGTAGCTAAGCGGAGCAGCCGCTGCGCTGTAGAAACACATTCAGCTTGATCAGCTCGCTGCAAAGAGCAGAAATCTTATAGGCGCATGCATGCAACAGCAGCTTGTGCAAAGTAAGTACCGAGGAGAGAGTGGTGGCGCGGCTGGCGGTGTAAAAGGGGGCGATTGCGTTGGATGATGGCTGGAGCAAATGGGGATGCGACGAGGTTTGTAGAAAGAAAGGAATGGGGCAGGGGGCGCTTGCAATTCCTTAAAACGAGGCCCACGCTAGCATCAGCCACACCGTGGGCCAGCCACTCACATCTTCGGGGTTACATTAATACACATGGAACTCATCCTTACAAATTTTGCCAATTCTTTGTCCGTTCGTAGAGCACAGATGTCTTTGGTTAATGATAGAAATTGTACGTCCAAAAGTTCCCTTACGCTACTCAAGATCGAGATCGCTCAGGTAAGCGGGAGAATAAAGCTAGCGAAAACATGTCGTGATTACAAAAAATTATGATACCAGCAAATATGTTTACTAACCAGTCTGCTTGGAGTTCGTCCTCCCCTAGCATCGAAAGGGATGTCGTAAGGTGAAAGGGTTCCCCCAATCCTAGTATCATAGGGTCTTCGGCGTAGGCTGCTCGTCCATTTCCAGAATCCTTCTCAAATCTTCGTCCACTTCGAACACAGCTTCCCTCGGCGCTAGGCCTTTCTGAATTAGGTCCTCCAGCGTCAATCTCCCATCGACATCCTCATCAAGCAACGACTTCAGCTCTCTGACTCTCTGGGTGACGTCTTCGATCTCTACAATCCCATCCATGAGCTCTTTCACATGGGCGGCAGGAACTCCAATCTGAATACTTCGATATGACAACTTCTCCAGCCTCAGTGTCCTCTCAGGATCCCATTGCACCCTCACTGTTCCTGTTCTTCCTTCTCCCTTGCTCTTTGCTTCCTTCACACTGGAGTGGTGCGATAGGACAGCGTTTCGTAAAAGACCAAGAAAGGTCGATTGCTTCATTCTCAGAGCGAGAATGTGCGCTTGACCCTGGTCTTTGTAAGAGTAACCGGACCGGTACAGCATCCACGCCCAGGAAGGCTTTATCCAGGTCATTCTTGTTACGCTGAAGTTTGGTGATGCATCCAGTTTCTGGTTTGCGACTGCTGGGATGGCAATGGTTGAGGGATAGGCCTGGTAGACGGTGATTGTGTCGGAGTCGAATCTAGCTCGTATCTGGCGATACGGGGTGGACGGAGAGGGTAGCGCCATGGAGGAGTTTCCTAGGGACTTTGACGCCGTAGAAGTCACGGCAAGTGAAGCGCTGGGAATAGCAGACTATGCAAATGTTGGAAGGATGCTGGCGATATCGGATTTGTGTTCTCAATACTCCTCGAGGGACCTTTATTCATAAATCAGCTTGGACAAGGCCACAGGACAGCAAATTTGCTTCAAGATCAGTCGCCCTCCGCCCTTTCCAGTAACTGGCGCTGGTATACGGAGTAGTCCGCTCAGGCTGAGTTTTTTTCAGCTGTACAACATTTGAAAGGGCTGTGTTGGACACCCGAGCTTGCCCACGTCAAGCAGCTCTTGACTGCAGCCGTGACGCTTCATCTTCTTGCCCAGTATGGAGAAACCCATGCTGTTAGTCAATGGACAAAGATGATGAATCTCTCGTCCTCACCCTTTGAGTAGGGTATGTAATCAATGTTGGAGGTGAGACGGAAGTTCCCATCCAATCCCCTGCGGCTAAGTGCAGTGTGGGGAAGTCCGATCCCTTCTTGGGAAGCTTCTCTGGACCTCACCTCACCTCACCTCTAGCTGGGGAAACCTCAGTCTCCCCTTTCGTAAGGTACATCTCAACACCAATGCCTGAGAGAACAGTGTTGGTCCTCAGCGCTCTCTGCATCACCTCCAAGCGGAAAACGTCGTGCCACACGGCCATGTGCCACGCCTTCTCTCCGCCAATCGAACCGAGATGTGCGGCTGTGCCATGTCGTATTTTTAGCGCGCCGCCCACCACCTTGATGCAACACTGGATCAGGCTGGATCTTGCGAGACGGCTTGAGGGCCTGGCCTTGCGCGCCGCTTCGTCGCTTCGACATTCACTGTTGTTCATCCTCACGGCTGGCCGCTCTCGTCGTCTGCTGGTGCAGTTGACTTTCCAATCCAATCTTCGCTGACACCGACCATCTGGAAAACGGTTGCACGGTACCTGCCGGAGATAGATTGCATCCAGCAGCTCAGCCTGGTCCATTTCCACAACCTGCAGCTGTTAAACATTGATCTTGCTCGAAAGCATCGCAAATGGCCTTCAATCCCTAGGTGAAGGTCCCCTTCGAACATGCTCGGAACCTGACCACAAAGCCCGACGCAATCGACTATCCCCTCCTTCGTCAATTGCGCCGTCCCATCAATTTCAGCCGCTCCGTAAATAATGCGCGAGGCTGTCGAATGCTGAACCAGGCACCCGCATCTTCCGGTTCCTTAGAACACTAGACTCTGACACGACCAAGTCTGCGTGAACCACCACCTTTGGGCTCCCCTTTCAACGCTTGACCGTTTTTGATTGCTGCCGGAAAACTTAATCCACGGGCCTGAGCTGAGCGCGGCGCGAGAGCGCAGCCAGAGCGCACAGCCATGGAGAGAGTTCCGCCTTCTCTACGGACGGCATCTCCCACCACCGCTAGGAAGACCTCGGTCGATCAGATACCATCGGCTCTTCGCGTCGGGTCTCCAATTGTCGAGCAAGGGACAACCCCAATGCAACAGCGACCATCATCCCTCAGACGACAGAATACATCAGGCTCCGAAAGGCTGGTTTCGCAGCTGTTCCCCTCCCGTCCGCCGTCAACCATATCCTCTGCCAGCCCGGACTGGCCGTCTTCGAGACGAACTTCGTACCCTTCCCCGCTTGTACCTGCCGCAGATACCTCGTACCGACCACCACGTCCTCCCGCTCCCCCGTCATTCCCAGAGGACACTTCCTATGTCTCTAGTCCTGACCTTTTCGATCAACACCATGTTCCTCCTCTGTCACGAGAGAGTAGTACAAAACGTATCCTCAACCGCTTCACTTCATTCCGGTCCAGGGGTCGGGAATACAATAAGCTTAAGGATGAAGAAGGTGTCCAGGCTAGGGGGCGGTTAGGGGAGGTCGAGGAGGTGGATGAGCCGATAGGATGTGATATAAGTGGATATGATAGCCTGCCGATGCAAAAGTTCGAGCCGATGAGGCCAAAGAACACCGCCGGTTTCGCTCAACAACATGGAGACGTCAGCGAGGCTGGATATGCGGCCCAGTATGCAGCAGAATACCACAGGTTGGAAAGCCAGCTTGGAGCCGGCATGAGCTCTATCGTCGAAGTCCCCTTCACGTATAAGCCAGAAGCTTCTCAACCAATAGCAACCCACAGACGCGGACCATCGTCTGGTGCAGCTGTCGACTTTGCAACGGGTATTGCCGCTCAGAGGAAAGCGGAGAAAACCGGTGATATAGTCGCAGTTTCAGGTATCACGTCTTGCCCTATTGTCCTAAACCAAATGTCTGACTTAACCCAGAGATACCCGTCGACATATCCGAAACCTTTGGAGGCACTGATATAGAGACTCGCAGCGTGACGAGTACCAATAAGAATAGCGGCCCCGGTTCAAAGACCAGCTACTACTTTCCGCCGGATCCTGACATGCCCGCGTGGAGACCATTCTCCATGGGTTGGCCTTGGTTATCCATGCTTGTCATCATAGCGCTCTTTCTCGCCGGCCTCCAAGAGTATCTATGCCAGCTTTCCCTAAAGCGATCCAGGGAGGATCCCGAAGGAGGCCTGATTAAATTCAAGAAACCACAGGAGTTGTCCGTTGCGGAGTATTTCACCTGGAAATATGCTCCCGTACTCTTCTTCGTCATCTACGGTATCATGTGGCAAGTCACGGATTTTGAAGTCAAACGGCTGGAACCCTTTTACCAGCTATCAAAGCAGACGGGCGCGACGGCTGGAGAGTCGCTGAATATGGACTATCTTACCTTCATGTCCTGGCTCGTGCCACTTCGGGCTCTTCGTCATAAGCAATATGCCGTTATATACGTGTCGCTCTCAACTCTGGTTGCTGGTAGTCTAGTACCAGTCTTGCAATCGGCTTCAGTGAACGTCTATCCCCCAAAGAAGGAGCGCAAAACAGACGACTGGAAGTCTATCCGCATTGATCCTCCATGGTCAAGGGCGGTTACGGCATGCCTCATCTTCGTCGCGATTTGCGGTTGTGTGCTCATCTACGAGATGCGGCGCAAGAGCGGTCTCCTCTCAGATCCCAAAGGAATCGCCGGTGTCGCAGCAATGGCTACAAGAAGTCACATTCTGACAGATTTCCAAGGCCTCGACACTGCGCCATTGCACAAGATTCATAAGCAGCTCCGACATCGACGGTACATTCTTCACAAGAGTTCTTTATGGCAGGGTGAATATATTAGCAGCAAAGAGAAGATCCGCGAGCACGGCACCGACCCTAGGCCAGTAATGCTTCGGCTGCGAGCCGGCGTGCCGTACATATGCTTCATCATATGCTTCTCGGTCTCAATACCCATCTTCATCTTCGTCGAAGGCGCGAACAAAGTGACGGAAACGCTTCCTTGGTTACTTACCGCCTTGGCCATCCTCATCAAACTCTTGTGGGGAACAATGAACTGCAACATCCGTATGCTCGAACCCTTCCACATCCTCTCCCGCCGCTACGCGCCCGCCAGAACCCTGACCCTCGATTACACCGGCACAAACCCCATCTTCCTCCCCTTCAAAGCCCTCCTCAACAAACACTACCTCGTCGCCCTCGTCGGCTGGGGTTCCATCCTCGCTGAAATTCTAACCGTGTGCGTCTCGTCCTTCTCCGTCGACGGAAAGCGCTTCATCCCCGGCCACGGTGTAGACGACGAAGACGACGGCATCGACGACTCGCGCGCCAACACGGACGAAACGTTCCGCAGCTTCTGGATCTCCTTCTCCCTCGTCATGGGCATCCTCTTCGCGCTCGTCTGCATCGCCTGCCTCGTGTACGTCAAGCGGAGCCACAAGTTCATGCCCCGGCAGATCGGCACCATCGCCTCCGTGCTCGCCTTCATCCACCAGTCCAAGATGCTCGTCACGTTTGTCGATACGGAGAAGTTCAATAGTTGGCAGATGACGCGGTATTTGGAGAAGCAGGGGAAGACGTATGGTCTCGGCTGGTATTCGGGGAGGGATGGTGATAGTTATTGTGGGATTGATGAGGAGCCGATACTGGCGAGTTATAAGTATGGGGTGGATTTTAGGGATGGGAGGTTGTTGCCGAATCAGGCGGGGTCGTGGCAGTATTTGGAGGGATAGTTTGTTGGATTGAGGGTGAGGTGTGGGATGCATTTTGGTGGTCTTGGGATTTTGCTAGGGTTTCGGAGGATTTTGTGTTGGTATGTTTATGCATTTGTGATACCTACAATGATTTTTAGCGGGGAGCTGTCAACAATGTCTTGAAACGAAGTGTGATCAGTATTATTATGACAACAGTCCTTTATATTATATTCTTTCCTAGCGCCACCGTATATGTATCTCTGAGATCCGAAAATAAGACGCCCAAACTCCACCATGCTGGTATCGCGCGATCTAAACATCCAAACCCCAAACATCTCTCCTCTATCCGATTACGCCTCATTATTCACCGTCTGCACCAACCAATCCATGCCCTCTGTAATCCCCCGCCCATCAATCGCCGAGCACGCGACAATACTCCAATTCCGATCTTTCAGTTCGCCCAACCTTAGCGCCTCGCTGATCTCCCCGGCCCCCTTCGCGCCGGGTTGATCCTGCTTGTTTGCGAAGACGAGCAGGGCCGCGTCGCGGAGTTCCTCCTCGTTGAGCATGGCGGCGAGCTCCTCGGCGGCCGTCGACAGGCGCTCGATGTCGGTGCTGTCGATGACGAAGATGACTGCGGCCGTGTTGGCATAGTAGCAGCGCCAGTAGGGGCGGATGGAGGTTTGGCCGCCGAGGTCCTATTCAAAAGATATCCAGTTAGGGAGGTGGGTTGGGAGGGAAGAGGGGAGGGAAGAGGGGAGGGAAGAGGGGAGGGAAGAGGGGAGGGAAGAGGGGAGGGAAGAGGGGAGGGAAGAGGGGAGGGAAGAGGGGAGGGAGGAGGGGAGGGGGAAGAGGTTACCCAGACGTTGAAATTTAGGTTCTTGTACGTTACGGATTCGACGTTGAAGCCGATTGTGGGGACGGTGGTGACGACTTCGCCGATCTGGGAGAGGAGGGGGTTAGTCGTGAGTTAGTGCTCGTGAATATTTGTTGGATGAATGCGGTACCTTTAATCTGTATAATAGGGTTGTCTTGCCCGCGTTGTCCTATTCACTATTTGTCAACTCGGATTGCAGACGATTAGGGGAGGGAAGATGATGTAGCCGTACAAGCCCCAATATCAATATCCGAATCTCCTTCTTCTTCCAGAACAGCGACGAGAATGTCGACAGGTAGCCGCCCATATCTGAGAATTGTACTGCGCCGACCCGAGGTGCGCCGCTTTTGTGGGATATGCTCGCCGCTTGTTGCGATTCTGGGGTCTTGGGGAAAGAAGGGGCCGAACCGAGCGTCCAGGTAACTGAGGTCGGCGGTCTGGATAGACTCGGAAGTGGCCTCGGATCGGTCGATATGTACAGAGAGGGGTGGCGCTGTTTGTTGCGTGCAATACGGCGGCCTCCGTTGTCGTTGAACTTTGGTGACCCTGGATGAATGCAAACGCCGCAAACACCGAGGCGGTGGTTCGGTGGGGTTGTTTTTCCGGCGCCGACGTCATTGCTTTGGTGGAGATCCATCCGTAGTCCAACTACAGAGTTGAAGCCCGTCAACATCTCGAAGGTAGCTGGAGAATATTTCTGCGACATATGATATGGTAATCTGATGGGACTACGGTACTTAAAACAACGGGATTTGTACTTTTCATGTAATGTTTTCATCACCACCTTTCACTTCAGGGTCCACTCCATCCTTGTTTTCACTCATGCCCGTTCAGCTTCCTTTACAGAGTCTCTGTCTCCAGTAATTTTTTCTATGGCGCTCATCATGTTAGGTCGTCTCAAAAAGATGATGCGCTTTGCCCACAACAACGTCATCTTGCGGGAGAACTGCACCATTATTTGCCATCTACAAATAATCTATCACATGCTTGCTTCTGAAAACCTAGAGGGCGGCCGAACATCTGTTTGCCATGACCTATAGAGCAACCACCTCCTTTACCGCACCTTTCTGTCTTCCTCTATCGTTATAAACTGCGATATTCGTGCCCCGTCTCTCCCAAGTCTGCTTATATATTTCCATGTTCAATTTCTGTAACTTCGGTATATCTTAAAGTCCAATAATGCCATGTTCCTATGTGGACCTGTCGCCTTTCACCACCGCCTTTACAGGACTGGGTGGTGCACACCCCGGTCACCACACTCCAGTCACGAGGCCGCAGTGAGGCCGCAGTGATTCCGCCCTTCTTTCACAGGAAGAGGTGCAGTATGTGCCGCTCGGACCAAGTAAATCGTCGCCTTGCTAGTCTGCCTGATTCTACTTCTTGTACTTCCCTTCCCACCTTCGGTCTTTCCCCTTATGCACCGCAACCCCACACTGTTTCCAACCACTGCCGTCTCGACCCAGCGCTGCAGATTACTTTCAAGTCTCTTCTGCATATTTGCATATTCTCAGCCACCTTAGTACCTCTTCACTCGCTTTTCCCTTCTCTTATATCAACCTTGTTCACAAGTCTGACAATGGCCACCTCCACTCCCGCCAAGAGCGCTACCGTATCTATGGCCCCAGCTGTAGGTGATCCCCACAAACATGTAAACATCTTCAGCTTATACGAAGCCGTCGCCCTCGGCATCCGTGCCTTTCTCAGCGGCGACTACTGCTGCGTCCAAGCCAGTTTCCGCCCCAGTCTCTAGTGACATGTCCGCGGAGACTGGTGACAATCCATCGGCCCTCAGTGGCACAGCTACAAGTCGCTTGCCAGCGGCCGCTCCCACCCACGGCTCGTCGGCTACGGCTCGAGGTTCTCCCACGGCACTCCAACTTCCTGATGGCCGTGATTACATTCATTCCAACCTGGGTAACTGGGAAGAGTTGCCGATCCCAGCCGGTTACGACGGCGGCAGGACCACTACGAAGGTATCTGATCCTAATGTAACTTCCCACAACTACATAATATCTAAACCCTACTAACCCTTGACTGCAGCGCGCCGGCTCCATGGTCAACTCTGTCGGCAAAGACCCTCGCGCCTTTCTTGCTCCTCCCACCAATGGGTCTTGGTCGTCCAAGCGTCCATCGGCCCAGGAAGTTCAGAAGAACGGCCTGGATAACTGGCGATGGAAGGAAACGAAAGGGGAGAAAGCCGAGAGGCTTCTGTTGCAAGGCAAGGCACAGGCTCAAGAGCGGACTGCAGCACGGAAAGCCTCAGTGTCCAGGATGACGCTTGATGAAATTGTTGAGAAGTTCGCTCCACGCCCGCGTCAACCAGCAGTAGCCAGCGTACCGCAACACGCCAAAGCACAGCAGACCTCTCGCGGCCTACCCCAGCCGATGCCCTCGGATTACCGCCGCCACAAGGGGCAAGGGTTTGTGGATCGTTATAGGCCTGAAGCCAACAGTTACCGTCGCCCTGCCGCGGACTGCTATCGGCCTTCCTATGCGCGTTCCACCGCGTCATCGAGGGCTCATGAGATTTGCTCACCGGTGACAGCAGAGGCGGACACAAGGCTCTCGCGTCTAGCTTCTCGTGGACCGGAGCATGTACCAGTGAAGAAGTGAGTTATTCTGCCACCGCGATCCCATGGGCTGCCATCGCCTCCGAAGACCAAATCCCCTGAGCTTCTGGATAGCCGGCCGCCAACGCGAGAATCTTCATCCTCTGGTATCAGGTCCGCAAACTTTACGACCGGTCCATACCTTTCCCCCACATCCAGAGAAGGCTCTATCAAGTCGCCGGCCCCTGTACCAACGCCAACTCGGCCCTCTCCCGCGCAATCTGATGCCGTCAAGTCCGCCAATACTAGCGCGAAGGGAGAGGCGGACCGGATCAAACCGAAGGAGGCAGATTTGAGAACCTCCAATGCATCCACGAAGGCGTCCGCGCGTCAGACACAATTGACGGCTGCAAATTTCCTAGACAATGAGCTGACAATGCTTCCACCGTCCTTGCAGGCCAAATTGGCTAACCCGACGCTGCCGCCGCCGTCAGCTCTGCGACATAAACGCCCTCGAGCCGCGGATGAGGCTGAGGAAAATGAGTTCGCAAAGCCGACCATCTCCAAGAAGCCGAAGATTTCAGTCCCCTCGGCGGGTGCAAGGGCTGCCACGAAGAAAAAAGTTCCCACGGTGAAGAACGTTGCGACAAAGAAGGCTGTTGCCACCAGAAAGGCCGTCGCGACGAAGAAGGCTGGCGTTGAGAAACCTGCATGCCAGCGGCGACCGGACCATGCGGGTATGAAGCGCAAGCGCGCCCGTGACGGTGACGATGCGTTTGATAGCAAGAAAGTGGGCAAAAATTGCAAGCGGCAGAAGACACCGCTGGCAGATAGCTCTGGAGAGTCAGACTGTGAATCCGACGTGGACGACTTCATTGTTCACGACACACCCCAGGTAACGCGGAGGAGAAAGAAGAGTGGTGGAGCGGCCAGGAAGTTCGTCAAGGGCTAGAAGCCTCTTCCTCTCGCACAATCAGCTTCCAAACCCTGGCAATCTCGAATGTCCTGACTCACACTGACCCCCACCGTTGCACGCACTTAGCTGGACCTCGGGACGCACTTGACGTTCGCTCGTGATGTTCTTTCCTGGTACTCCTCCCTGATCGAAGTTTCGCTGGTAGGCCGAACTGGTTTCCAACAACCATTCTGTGTTTCTTTCGCATTTCTCAGCATTTCCTTTACACTTTTCGAGGGACAAGCGATTCTGGCCTTATCCATCTTATTGCAAGCGTTATTTCAGGTTCTTGTTTTCTCACGGTTCAGTGTTTGTCAATGCTTCTGACGATGCGCCATCAATCGCGCAAGGTCATCTTCAAGGGGGGGTTGCGTCATATCTGTTTTGGTCTCTAGTTTCGACGAGCTCGATACCCCATCTTTCTTGTATACTTCTCATCTGCTGGTCTGCCCTCTTTCCACAGGTTCATAGAATGGTCACATCTTCTAATCTAAAAATCGTTCTCCAAATTCATACGTGATAAATCGCCTATGTGAAGCGGCGGTTGACTACCAATGCAGAACACCGCCAGCTGGTCTGATAAGCGAGGGTCTTGTGCATTTTATGGTCCATTTTCCGTGGGTCACAGAACGACAACCTTACCGATTTGATAGAGCCGAAATCCGTGGTCCCACTCTGGCATGTTTCCATAAGCGGTGCGTGCCTTCCCTTTTTGCATCTGCTCCTGGACTTCGCGCTAATATTGTTTACCACCCTGTACAAACGCAAACCCAAAGCACACAAACCTCTCTCTACATGCTTTCCTGAGATTATTACATTACCGCCTTCTCGGCGGGGCACGTGGAGTGCGCACTGGGATTCAATCGTGGAAATTCTGGCTCAGCTGAGCCTTTCACCATCACTGCAATCCCAGCCTACCTGCAAGATTCGCCACTTCGAGAAGGTTCACTTGAGCGCGCCTTCAGCTCTTCCTCTTCACTCCGCTTGGGTCTCTTCCACTCACCTCACCTCTTCTCCTCTTTGGAGTCCACACCACCTTCCTTCTCATTTGGATCCCTCATAGTCGTGCACTCGCGATGCCGCCTTCAGATCGCTTCGATTCTGTTGCCAACACTTCAAACACTTGCCCGGAAAAGTTCAGCGACCACAATGGCCGTCTGCCTATTGATCAGGAGGGGCATCGCCCTGGATTTCGACAAGAAGAGCAGGACCTTCCGCGTCCTCCACCTCCTCCGCCGCCTCCTCCAGGCACACCCCCACCAGAGAACATGCCCCGGAGCAGAAAGCGCAGGGCCACGGACTTGGACGGCCTTGTACATCCTTCTCGCCGCATGCGTGCTCGGCAAGAGTCGTCGGATGCCAGTGATGAGGAGCAGCGGCCTAAACCAGCCCGCGGCGACAAGCCTGGAGGAGGCCCAAAATACAAAGCCACAGACGCAAACCTTATTCCGCTTGGTACTCGCCGCAAGAGGCCGGAAGATAACAGCGTTTCAGTTAGTCTGGGTGTTGCACCAGTTGGCGCAGAGAGGCCGCCTTCTCCCACCGAGAAAAAGCTTAATGGTAACCAGTCTCAACCGGTAGCGACTCCAACGCCACAAATTGGTAAGCCTGAAGCGACTGCGGCTTTCAGACCGGATAGATTGACATGCCCAGTATCCGCCGAAGGTATCGTACGCTTCGACAATGCGACAGGCACATGCGGTCAAGTCAGAGGCGATACCCGTCAAACCGCAGTCTCTGATACCCGCGAATCGATTGATACACGCGACAAAGTGAGAGATTATGGTACAAGTGAATCTGGCACTGTGGATTCATATCGACAAGCACCTCATTCAAGCAATGAGCGGATGCACGAGCGTGAGGCAGTTAACCGACATCGCACGCGCGCCTCCCGTCACATTGACGAGTTTGATCGGACTCACAGGAATGACAGGTCCGTTCGATACAGCCGTGATAGATCCCGGTCTCCGCGCGGACGCCATGAACAAGCAGCGTCCGGCTCTAGGACCCGGCGCGCTCCATCTCCTTGGCCAAGGCGTGATTATCGCAAAGATCCTCGCGCGGAAGGTGTGCTGGACCGCTCACCAGGTTTGGGTCCCGATGAGTACGATTCACTCCGTCCGTTGATCGGCAATAGTGAGGGGTCAAGCCGTTACGAATCAACTGCCCGCCGCCGTAATTATCCTTCCCATGCAGACCGAAACGAGCGAGCTTACGATGACATTGATTATCATCGCCCTGACGAGGATTATCATTCAAGATCGGGACTGTATGAGAATCGGTCTCGCGACGATGACTGGGAACATCACAGCTTCTATCGCGAGGCTTCCTATGATGAAGGTGCGCTGAATAATTCATCTGGGTATGAGAACGATCGTCGACGCTATCGGTCTCGCGAGGAACCTTCGCGGTACCGACATGAAGGTGGCAATGGATACATGCGCGATGACCAATACGGCGAGGGTTCTCTGCGACGGTACGATCGAGGTCCTCATGCCTTTCCCCCGCCATACCACGGCTACGAAGAGCTCGAACGGCACCCAGGCCGACACCACCATGAGAAAGAGCGAAATGGCCGATACGAGCAGCTTGACCGGCATCGATACGCGTATGACAGGACCAAGCGACATTACGAGCAGGGTGATATGACGAACGATACCGCGAACAGTCGTTTCGATGAGGCCGCCGCGGACACGGAATTCAAGATCAAAGGCCGTCACCGGGAGCTCACGGGGCACGCTCATCGTGACAAAGAGTTTGACAGAGAGCATGACCGTTCTGGACCTTACAGAAAGAGTCGATCTGACGCCAGAAAGAAGCATAACCTCAGAGAGAGGCCTGAGGAGACACGCGAAGGACACGACGGCCATGGATGTCAGCACCAAAAAGAGCATTACCATCAAAGGAACCTTCGCTTGTCTCCTTACGAATTCAGCGAGAAGCGCCGCTCCAACGAGAATCATCGCAAGCAACCAGACGGTGCCAAGTATGGTCAAGAGCCAAGCGGCACCTACAAGAACGATCGTCCGGCCGTAGGAGCCCCATATGATCACGTTAAAGACCGGACGGTATCTCAAAATTGCACTCGGGGTGGTACTTTGCGTGATGGGCACTTTGAACGTAACAACGAGCGGACTGAGGGGAAGCAGAATCGGAACACCGGACGCGACGAGCTTCATGAACGAGAAAGACTCGGAGTAGACCTAGCCGAACAAGGGCGACGCAAGGAGAATCTCCGCCGCCGCGAAGGTAATAGAAAGCCAAAGGATACCAACAAGGTGAAGGTACATGAGCGCGCAGTTGAACCCGATGTTTCTCCAGTCAGTGTGCATGACAGAGCTAAAGATCATATAGCCTAGCCTTGCGTCAAGGATAACACGAGACCCAAAGAGAGAGCATCTCCGACAGAAGGCAAGATGAGAACTTTAAGCCTGGGATGGGAGGCAAGTCTGGTATTGGAGGAGAAGCAGCGCGGTGTAGCAGTGCTCGGAAGTGAAGCCAGGGGAGGAATAGAGGTCGGAAACAGACTGGGAGGCAAAGACTATTTACCTTAACAGACTGCAACGGAGCACATGGCAGGCTTCAACAGCATGTCATTTGTTCTGGTGTTGCTGATTTGGGGTCTCGGGTGGAAGGTGCTGGGAGGAGGTGGAGGGATACCCATGCAACTCAACGTGGCTTCCACATCGCACCGGCCTCGTTTTCGGCGCTTTTACAAGTGGCTTGTGGTCGGCATTTTGGTCGCCCGTTGATGCATTGGGGATAGAACATCTTTCTCTACGTTTGAATGAAACATGGCAATTTGTTGACTTATAAACCTCAGTTGCAGGACTCCTATCACCATGTATAGCCATCTACGGGCATGTGGCGCAGTGGTAGCGCTTCCGCTTCGCACTGCTTTGGCGTGTGAATGCGGAAGGTTTTGGGTTCGAGTCCCAACTTGTTCATCCTGCCATATATATCTACCTCCTCCTTCTACCTACCTTGCCACATCTCCCACTTACACTACTACCTACATGCCGCATATTCTTACCTCATCACTTATCAGCCACTTTTGCCACATCTGCCACCTACCCTTTATAATGGGGAGTGAGTGGCTCGCCAAGTATACGACGCGGTGCTTGGAAGTCCGGCCTTCGGGGCCCGCTCTATCAGCCAGTTAACCTCTCCGCCATCTATAATCATTTTTGCCTCTGGAGGAAAATAGGAGTAGCGATATGTTGTATTTTCTGTTGCTGTGGGAGAGGGAGTGGAAAGGGGGGTGGTTGTGGGAGTTGGGTGTGTAGTAAGTAAGGTGTTGAGTGGTTTGGTATATATGTCGACGAAAGGTGTGGTGTAGAGGTACTTATTATATTCTTGAGAGCTAACAAGAATATATGAACAAGCCACAGAAAGGACATATACTTCCATGCTTCCAACCCTGCCACCGTGTTCTGCAACGGATATACCTGTATTTGTTGTCCTTTCCCAACAGAGCGCCTCCGTCTCAACTCGTTCAGGTAAAGCAGCTCCGCGCTAGTGGGTCCGACACAAGCACCCACTACATTGCGAGTAGCTTTACCATCGGCCAAAGCAGCGGTTTGACTTGACCTTTTGCCTCGTCATGCTCTGCCTTCCTTCTATTCAGCTTCTCTGCCATTGACCCTTCTACCCTTGTAAACGGGCGCATGCATCAATCGGCTCGCTCACTCGCACGTGCGCAGGGCATTTGGTTCATTACCAGAATTCGAGGAACTACAGGTTTGGAAATGTTCAGCTTTGAGTGCATACCTGTGCTGTTTGAAAGAGCTAGTTGACGAATGGGACTTTCGGAGGAGGTCGGTTGGAGAAATATCATAACTGTCAAAGAACAGATATGCATAGAGGCCTGTCCGTAGATACATCTTCTCTATAAGAAAACAAACGCATTGCGTCCTACTGCTTCAGTCTCGTCCCCGCCAAATCCTCCTGTGCGTCGCGTATCAGGAACCTGGATATAACAGTCAGCAAACATGTGCTCACCCCTGACTCCATCAAGACCCCAAAGAAAAAGAACAGGGAGAAAAGAGCAAAAGATCAAACATACTGATACCACCAAACCGTCGGCACCACAGTCCCCAGATGCCACAACGCATGCGCATCCAGCATGCCTCCCCAGGGCGCGAAATCGAGCAACTCCAAGCTCATCACCACGATGATCCACGCCACAATCAACCCAGGCCACATCGCCCATAACCGCCCCGATCGCTTATACCGCACATAACTGAACCCGCTCCAGAGCAGGTTCTGGACGACGCCCACGGCGACGTTGGCAGCCATGTTGTACGTGTAGTCCCACCGCCAGAGGGTAAGGTATCCGACATGCAGCGCGTAAAGAATCAAGCAAGTCGCAGTCCAGAAGCGCAGCAGGGATTGCTTCGCGGGCTTCCGCTCGTCGTCGAGGCGGAAGATGCGGATCGGAGAGAAGTACATACCATACAGCACGCTAGCGCCCGCGGCGAAATAATCCAACTTCTCGGTGACGCCGAAGTCCCTCGTGTGGAACACCATGCTGAAGACCCAGCTCGCGAGGCCAAAGTAGCCGAAGAGGACGTAGTATCTGCGGAGCGGGTAGGAGGACGGGATGGACTCGCGCAGCTGCGAGATGCCCTGCCAGTGGGCGAGGTAGTTGAGGAGGGAGAAGAGGACGCTGAAGGGTTCCTGCATGCCGAGGAAGCGGTAGAAGGGCCATTTGCCGTGGAATTGGTAGACCGGTTGCATGTACGGTGGGTCGCGCGCCAGTCGCTTCTGCGTCACGATGTGCTGGCATGTGTAGTCGCATTCGGAGGGGCAGTCCCAGAGGAGAAGGCGGCGGTGGAGGGCTGCGGTCGTCAGCTGGGGAGGTTCGAAGTTCGACGTGCGAGGAAGGTTGGTTGAGGGAGGGAGGAGGATGCGCGGGTGAATGCTGGACAAGACATACGAATGGGAGTCGGATCCTCGCCACAATTCGCTTCTTTGCAGACCTAAGCAACATAAATCATCGGCCATTGCTATGAACTGTCAACCGCCGGCATACCTCAACGCAATCCTTAAAGTCCGGCAACCTGTCACCGAGCGAGGCGTGGGTGCCAGCGCTCAGGAGACAAATCATGGCCGCCACCTGCCATGCTGACAACCGGTGTATCCTCATGCTTCCTGTCACTGTGATGGAAGAGCCAGCTCCATACGGGAGGTATATAATGAAGCGAAGGAAGTGGAAGACATGCCGCTGTATATTCCAGCAGTCGATCATCGTCGGGTAACTGCAGTAATCAAAACAGTCTTGGCGGCATTAGCGCTTTCCCCCTATTCGGTCTTATAGGCGCGTGTGCCGCGCGGCTCTACACTGTAGGACCGCGGGAGACTTCAAATACAGATGACATTAACTCAGTGAGAAAAAGTTAGTGAATCCGCAGGGTGTGTATTTCGCTTCTTAAAGGGCGAAGTAGAGTATTACATGGACATTTCTCTAAATTTTAAATATCGAGTCTACGAATTCTTCTATGAGTTATGTATGCTGTGCCGAAGAAGATTCGCCTTTGTCACGGTAACTACTTTTTGTGCTGTTATATTGTGATACGCCATGCTCTAACAGCAGACAGGAATCGTTCGCAAGTGTCAGGCCCTTATCCTTTCTCTCATCCGCTTGGCTATCGCCTTGGGACTCCATCTAGATGCCGTTACAGGTCTACCTTGTATCCCTTCTCGTAAAAGACATTGAGAGTCGCGATGATACACCGGGCATTCTATCTCTCAGATCTGATTTAGAAACTAGGACTGGAAATAGCAGGTTTTGAATGAGATCGAGACTAGGGAGAGAAGCACTAAAATGTGGGACCTTGTGAAGCTATACAAAGTAAGAAGCCTCTCGTTGAACAAACTGACATATGATTATCCATGTCGCTGGGTGGCACTGTGGATTATCCGGTGCGAAAAGCCAGGTGATGTATGATAAGTTTTGCTGCTTTCCCTGTGCCTACTTTTCGTGACTGAGCACTTGGATCACTAGCTGGCAAAGAATGGATGGGGAGCTGCAGAAACCCCGTACCTACCTGTTTGGATTCATTCATACTTGAGACGGGAAATGTAGGAAGAGAGGTGCGAGTACGGACTAGTTTGTTGAACTCTCGGGGGTTTTTAAGAGTCTCTCTAGACTTGGCGGTTGGTGAGTTCTGAGGCAGCTTGGGGTCACAAGGAAATACATGCGTTCAGAATACTTTCAGCGTTGCAAAGACTGCCTTGGATTTTCCCTAGGTCCGATTCTTGATCGAGGAACCCGATGTCACTAGCCAGAAGAACTCCCTGATCAGTCTGACATGAGATGGTATGTGGATGTCGTATGTCACATTGCAGACAGAACTATGTAATGCCTGTTCCACGAAATGCCTCCGTAAACTCGAAGTAACGCCATTGAAAGGCCCATGCCTTCGCAAGAATGCATCGTCCAGTGCCTCAGATCATCCGATTCAGGTAATCGTCTTCGATATTGTCATCATCCCCAGAAGCCCTAATCCTTCCTTGCGCTCAAAATTGACAATTTATCTCGGTCGTATTCGGTGTTCGTGCGTTTAGGATGTGGTAGGGGCGGGGTTCATCTGTGTCTCGTCAGACCCGTTCGTGGCAAAACCGGCTTCCACCATCAAGAGCTGTCTCCTTACCTTCCTCTTGCCGCCAGTCATGGTGACGTTAACGAAACGGCGAGTGTATTGGATGCGCTTGTATGCGCGGCCCTTGGGCTTCTTGGGCTTCTCCTGCGGCTCGACCTTGGGCGTTTGGCTCTTGACCTTACCTGTGGCGGGTCAGCACTTGCATACGAGGGCCGGAGGGAGGCGCAAAATCACGTACCGGCACGAGCGAGAGATCCGTGAACTTTTCCCATGATGAAATCGAGGTTTGCGAGTCGGCTTGTGGTGGTCTCGTCGGTGGATTCTTTCAGTCGTCGGCGATGATTATGGGTGGCGTTGGTAAGCCCTTTCGTGCCCTCGCTTGTCCGCGGGTCGGTAAAACCTTTCACCGCACTATGAGCCTTCGGACCTACGGCTGCGCTTACCGTGATAAGATGTACGCATAGCGCCGAAGATCAAATCTTGGACCCGCTGAACAACGTCTCTCTTCTGAGACAGGTACCCATTGCAAGAGCGACCGCTTAATAAGATGAGAGAACTCTTTCTCCTGGGGAAAGCACCCTCGAGCCCGGACTCTTAGTGGAGCATTTGTTGAGCTTTTCAACTATCGATCAGGACGGTTCCGCCGCCCGGCAGTGTACGCGCTCGGTAGCAATGGTTATACTTTATTTTCCAAGGTAGATATGATTCATCAATAGGGGCTGAACTGTCTGGCTCTATACATGCTGATAGTGGTCAGAAAGCGTTGGTACGTAGCCAACTGCGCTGATCTTCTCCGCCGGAGAGGTCCTGAATAGATCCACGGGCTCAACTTGGTGAATCTATGTCCAACTGACAGGCATATGGCACGTCTCAATATGCAGTACGCTAACTGCACTGTGCATGTGATGTGATTTGGCTTTCAAACTTCTGTCTATGCTGCCATTCTCTAATGCTTGGTTTGAACTATGATTTCAGAGTCCTTCCCGCTATCAACCTATGAACGGGTGCGACTTGTGCTTTGTCCCCTCTACCATCATCGGAACCCCTGTGGGCGCACAAATTCCCATGTCCGAAGGTACCGTGGCGTATGGTAGCTTTCCAGACGTCATTTCATTCCTCTCTGACTTGACGCCAGTATGATTGAAGACCTCCAGTAACACTCAGCCTTGGACCAGAATTGTGGCTGAAGCCCGGTACAGCACTGGACGGGTACACAACGTCGAGCGCAAAGGGTTGATAACTTATAACTCGTTTGCGTAACGCCCGTGTATTGTGTGGCGCTCGACGGGAAGTGGACGCGCATGAGCTGATAATGAGAGTTAATATTTAACCTCAGCCTTCCCTTCCCTGGCGGAATCTTGTTTGTTTGCAACTGCATCAGCCTTGGCGTTGGGTGTTACGCCCCATTGCATATGAGTTCCCTTATATGAACGTCAAGGTAACCCCGATGAACTGCCGGCTCATAGTAGAATTACCACGGTACAAATTGCAATGAACATCTGCGTCTTTACAACATCGGATATCACGCCAGAGGTATGTTCGACCGCATTTCTCCTTCAAGCACGTCGACGACACAAACTCACTGCACATCTTACTTATCCCTAGCAATGGTCCGCCTTCACCAAGGCCTCTGCCGTTCCACCTCAAAATCTGGATGAGAAGCCGATTATCCTATACGTCCTTATCCATGCTCCGTCTTAGGAAGATGTCACCTTCCTAACTCCTTCTCTCGCGAGCCCCATTACCACGTCCTTCAAGTCTATCCCATGGCTCGAAATCAAGGACCGATTTCGAATCCTTTCCGACCCCGTAGATGACAAGATCTACACGCAGTTCTTCTTGATCCTGGACGCGCAGCTATCTCAAGATCGCAAGGTGACTATTGTGCAACGAGACGTCGAGTACGTGACGCCTGAAGGCCGCGTATGCCTTGCTGGCCTGGGGACGAGGCAGGATTTGAAAAAGATGTGGGTCTGGAAAAGACACCGGGTGCCTTTCGAAGAGACGTAGGAGACGTGCTCGCTTTTAGACGTGCATGGAGGGTTGGAAGAGGGAAAGTGGGTGGAGGAGGTGGTAAAAGAGCCGGCTGAAGAGTGAGTATGGACCGTGGAGCAAAGGGGGAGAAAGGAGCTGCGAAGACGAAGATTAGGGGGGTTGAAGGTGTAACGAGCGATGCCCTCCTGACCACAGATGGATTCTGGAATATAAGCTTCTCCTAACCTGTTACTATCACATACGACTATAGCACACGGAAAACTAGTTCTCACTTCTGATCGAATAGAATTGGCGCTAAGTATCGTCTAGATATGGTGCCTTAACGATATTTACGTATTCTAGGTTTTTAGCACTGCCTTTATCCTGTTTCCCGTAAATCATCCTATTAGATAGGGACGAACGAGGGCCTTTGCTACAAAGACATTTAGCTTGGTTGTGTTAAAAACGAGCACTACACTAGTTATTTCTTCTATCTCTAGGTAAACTGCAGGAAAGCTACACGAAGAACAGAAAAACACGCGTAAGTTATATTCCTGCTCTGCGCTTAGTGCGACTAAATATGGCAGACCTAAGCTTGTTTTTTATGTAGGTAGACGGCTGTTATGCAGAAGTTCGTTCGTGAGGGATTTGGGCAGGTTGGCTTCGATTCTTAGGGCTCTGGCCGTCGTGATGATGAGATTGCCTGCTTTCTCAGCAAGACCTGTCATTTCTTCTGCACCAACAACACGAGGCTCTGTTGTAATGCCCATCTCGTCGAATATCTCCCAAAGATCCGCAAATCCCTTCTCATTATCGCAACGGATGTAAACAACCATCGCGTTGTGCTGGACACGTATCCGAGCTAGTAAGGCCTTCACTACTTGGGTTAGTGTGCCCTTCTTCTTCTCTTTGATCGTTCTGCCAAGATGATACCTTAAGAACTGGCATACGAGATGCAGCAGCCATTTGTCCCCATTATAGCAGCCCTCGCCCGTCTTCCTCAATTGTATCAGGTCGACGCCGATTTGTTGAAAGGGGCGGGTAGCAGGTTCGCGTTGAGGGCGGCGGCTAATCATCTTTGACAACTTAGAGTGGATACATTCTTCGCATTCTTTCCACTTTGGGGCCTCAGGCCCGTTAGTGAACTTGATGCCATCAACGGCCTGTTCGAGGTGTTCAATTGCGCGTTGTCCTGCGTGAACTAACATCTGATGAGCAGCTGCTGGTGATACTTCTAGAGTCTGATGCTCTGTTCGGCTTGGTTTGACTGGCTTTGCTTGTACTGCGAAAGTGTACGACTCTGACGCGTTCGGTCTAGGCGCCTTGTTCGAATCGAATAATACAATGACCACCTTGTTCGTTTAATAGACAGAACACATCTGATGGAGCAGTGTTCAGGTAAAGACAACTGCGTCCTGAATCGAATTCTAGGCCAACTGTTCGGCAGCGTGATAGTGATACAACTGATGTGAAGATGAAGAACGTAGGAATGTAGGCCACCCAGGTAATCGCCATTCGTCATTCACCAGTTGGAGTATCAAGTGTCACCTTGACATTCCCGCATTCCTGAATCTGTAAGGCCTGAGTACCAGCTAGCTAGATATCGTTAGGATCTCCGTCTCTAATCTTCTGCCAGGTATTCGGCTTGTGATTCGTAACATGGAGGTTAGATCCAGGATCAAGTATCCACTTATTAATCAACGGTGGTGGAAGCTGGCGTACAGCGGCCGTAAGGAGTGGAGTAATAACCTCTGTCTCATCTTGACTGCCTTGCCAGTGCATGATTACGCCTGTGGAGTTCTGAGCGTTCAGCGGCGTGTGTCCAGTATCACCTGGGAAGTCAATTGAGGATGATACTGTGGGTGTCACCTTGCCTGTCAATCGTATTGCAGCATTTTAGAATTTATTATTGAACTGTTGTTGAGATCCTAAGGTGCGATTTCTCCGATTTTTGGTAGTTTTTTAGGTTGCCAGATGACTGATATGGCCGGATGACTGATGGAACACGTTAGTCTAATTGTTGTAATACAGACCTTCCATAATTAGCATATACAACCATAAGGCCTTGAGAACTAATTTTGCCGTCCACTCGGCTGTTTGACTATTTTCAAAAAAAACTGAAGATAGTGATCGTATTTTGCTGATGCCTGGGGTCGTTAAACGGGTTTTGGTCGCTTTAGCGACATCGATGTTGGGGTGATCCGGGATTTCATTATGCAAACGCGCCCGTATACCCTGTTTAAGGCTAGTACTCTATCTATATGAATAGTTGAAAGCGAATTACGAGCTCTCCGTTGACTACAAACGGTTGAAAGCGAATTACGAGCTCCCTGATGACTATGCGGCCAAAAAAGATGCAGATTAATTATCATGAATAGGGACGTTATCACCGAGCTGAACCTGAAATCACGGCACTTGGCACCTCCATACATGCATAGTATATAAACCCCTAGTTTGTCCTCGTTGACAAGTCACTGCACTCTGAAGCTCTCAACACAGTCCTCCTCTAGCTCACAGCGCATCCACACATTACACCAAACCACTGTCCATTGCTTGTCAATCAAAATGAAGTCCTTCATCATCACCCCCATCATCGCCATGCTCGCCGCCGGCGCCGTCGCCGATAACTGTAAGAAGGTAAAGGGAATTTCCTTTCTGCTATACATAAGCCAGGGTTGCTAACGTAAAGTAGGGACTGAATTATTGTGGTTCCTCACTTTTGAAAAAGGGTTAGTTTGTGCCATCACATTTTTCTCGCGCTGGGCCCGTAACTAACCAGGGCTTCTTGCACTGTAGGCGACTATCAGGAACAGATTGACCAGGCTTTAGCCGTTGCGGGACACGCAAGTTGGAATGGCAACAACGTCTTGTTCCATTGTCTCGGCGGAAGAAGCGGTGCCATCGAGTTCGTCAAGGGCTGCCCAGGCGGCTGCAAGGACAATGGCAAGGACAAAAGCGATACTTGCCGATAAGCATAAGGCCAGCAGAGCTCTAGAGGTGGTCTGGGGAAACGATGTCAAATGGAGTATCCCCAATGCCTGACAGCAAGATTCTCAGTCATGGTTCTGAAGCCTGGGATAGGAGGAAGAAAAAAGAGGCGGTGATGCTTGCTCCAAGTTCTCGGCTACTTTCGCACCTGCTCGGGCGGAAACCGATTTTGCTAGCGGCTATTTTTGTTAGATGCAGAAATTCTGTCGGTTCTTCGCACGTTCGTTTACCGTGACTCACTGCCTTGCGATCGCTGAACACCAAATGTTCGACATCTTTACACGACTAACGTGTCTTAAGGTTATAAGCGAGCGCCGCACCCTACTAACTTTTCACACCTTCACAGTCGTACAATTCAACCATCTTGTAAAGTACTGTATAGATTTTAATCCCAGGAATTGCCCAGGAGTCGCCGATCCCGATTCCTCAATTGAAACGGCGCCAGTATTTCTGCCCAGGGTGGCTCATGCCATTTGCTGGAGGATCCGTCGAGCCGTTGCGTGTTGCGTTGCAACGAGCGCTCCGCGGCGAACCATGCTATGGGATAACATGTCGACATCGTTAGCAGTGAGTGTGTGAAGGTCTGGCGAACAACAGTAGAAGAGGTTAGTTGGTTCACGTGACTTCAGTGTAGAAAGTACACATAGCCCCGCTCTACAATAGATTATCAACTATTTCCCTTCCATTTCCTGCCCATTATGGAGTTCTTCAGTATCCCTCTCCACAGCCATCCGATTTCGTTCCCAACTGTTACAGTTACCTACGGGACTCTCGTCTAAATTCCCGGGGAGCATCCTGTCGATAACAACGGAGCTGGTTCGTACACTACCTATGTATACAACCAGAGCTGTTTTACTCGGACGAGGAAGAAGAGCGAGCGAGGGTATTCCTTGAAAAGCGCGGAGTGAGTTTCAGCTGATATCGCTACCACACTCCGCAAATACTAAACAAACACCCATAAGGACTAGTCATTATCGAGTCAATCCCTTCTGGGAGGATGCGAATATACCCCATTATGCTCCCTCATGGTTTACATTTCCGCTAGCCAAGCTCTGCTAGCATCAGGGCAACCGTTGTTTATTGGACTATTGAATATGTAAAGTGCCATTCGGTGTGTCAGTAGTATGTCAGTAGCATGTCAGTGGCCTGGCAGCCTTGTAGGGGTCGTTGATCAAACCTGAACTGTAGCTCTTGATATGTGCTGATTATTTGCCACTTCACCCTTCTCCAACGGCTGAAGCGAAGCTCCTTGAAGCTCAGGGATTTTGCTAGCTAGGTCCATTTCAACACGAGCTATAGGTATGTTCGATTTCGACTCCCAAGGTTCAACGGGAAGTTCGACGATAGGGTGATCGATGCTATTCGGAACATGCACCTCGGCAGGTAACTTATTCCGGTGTTTGGAGGTCGACCCATCTGATTCCAGCTTATCATGTGTTGAATGTTCAGGGGTGTTAGCTATGGCTTCCGGGGCATTGCCGTTATTTGCGTCTTGCTCATCGTATCCAAGGGCAGGCTGGTGCGCTGAGCTGCGAATTCGACTTTGTCGTCTTTTTAGAAAGAAGAGTACAGCTGTAATGAAGGAAAGAATTACAATGCCTACAGAGACACCGATACCAACGGCAGCACATTTAGAAAGACCAGAGCTTCCACTGGCATACTGGCCTTTTGCTGATGTTGCAGCACCTGTCCCACTTTCTACTAGGTTTGTACTCGTGGATGTCACTGTGGTTGGTGAAAGAGTGATTGGTGGTGTCTCGAAGGCCGGTAAGTCCGTTGCTTGCCATCGAATTTGTATTGCTTGTGCAAGGTTTGTGGGATCTGTGTCTCCGTTGGCCGCAAATCGGGTACAGTAGAAGTCAACGGCTCGGTCACAAATCAAAGAACTATGAGTTTCATTAGATCTCCCACTCTGGTAGGAATGCCGTGCAAAAAACTTATCAAATTGAGACCACGGTCTTACCTTGGACAGCAAAGCTGTGCAGTTTCAGAGGGTTCCAGAGGCGGACCGTAAAAATCCGAAGAACCTCCAATGCCAAATGATGTAGTCGGACGAGTACATGCGACTGTATATCCGCTGGGACAGATTGCGGGAGAGTAGTAGATTTTGTTGTATTGCGAATAAGTGCCACCACTGGAAGGGAGGCAACGGCCCTCCAACCAATGGTTAACCAGAGGTAGGCACGAAGCAGGAGGACTCCAGATTGTTGTTAGTGCTCCTACAGGAGGAGTACCAGCATGCAAAGTATAACTTGAAGTGGTTGCCATTGCTAGAGGAAGAGACAGAAGCGGTTAGGCTTACTACAGCCTGCATTTATCATATAAACAGCGCCTTTTGTGATTAGAAAAAGCAAAACCACGAAAGGCGTCACGCGCACACCGTGTAAAAAGTTGCAGCCCAAGGCTTTGATTCAGCGAATAAGTAGAGTTTGCGAATCCTGGTGGCCAATGGTCATCCGACTTTAGCGATATGGTGTATGTCTAGGCCCAAGGAGTCCTCAGCTAAGGCTTGCGGTTATCACGTTCATTGGGAAAGTCCTTAGCTGGAGCTTGCGGAAAGCGAACGCTTATTTGAATCCTCGGTCCAGGGACTCTTATTTCTACCGATGCCCATCTCGCTATCCTGTTGGCGCCCGCCCAGACACGGGAAGACGCGGGAAGCCTCGCAGAAACACTGATCGCCTTGTGCCGCTATGGGTAGTATACTGGCGCCGCTGGCGTTAGTATTCATCCCGGATCAAAAGAAGTCGTATGGTAGCTATTATCCCCTTTTTAAGTTTTTGTACGGTCAGCCAAAAAGGGGCTCTTGCTTGACACGAAGCTTCGACTATGCCCTAGATCAAGTGGTGGCGAGATGCTACTTCTGGAACGAATGCCACGACTGACGAACTCCTCCGATAACGAGCGATGCCCTCCTGACCACAGATGGATTTCAGCATATAAGTTTTCCCTACCACCTAATTATCACATACGACCATAGCACACGAAAACTAGGGTAGGCCTTTCCGGAGATGGACTGTTTCAGAGTTTCCGTTTTGGGCATCCTGCCGAGTTGGAGAACGGACAGCCACAGTTTTGTCTTCCTATAGACAGCTGGCAAAGCGGTCACTGAAAAGAAAGAGCTATTGGCGGCAAATTGGACCCTCGCCCGTCGCCTCAACAGCCAGCTTCTAATAGTCGACCGTGTGCGCTCGTCCTGCTACACGGACCGATTCCTACGCTAGAGGCGTTTGCTTCTGCGAAAAGTTACCGTTGAAAAGCTGGCCAGGGTCGCTTTAGGCGAGCATAGATACTTACCCTATAGGGTAGTTACCCTACCTGCTCCTGTGACGCGCGTCTGTCTGACAGTCTGAGCCCCAGTGCTAAGTACAAGGACGCGTCAATTGGCCCCAATAGTCGCCGCCGTCTAATTTCCTCAGTAGGAGTCCCCGTTCCTCGTAGTCCAAGCTTTCGCCGTCCAAGCCCCCCGGGCTGAGGGTTGTCTCCCTATATAGTTCCAAAATACCTCCACAACAATTAGATTGAGTTGAGCTGACGTGATGTGTAGGATTCAAGCGTCCTGAATAAGCTACGTAACCCTCCTGTAAGTGGTCTGGTGGGAGATGTCATGCAGAGAAAATTCGACTGTGTATACACATGTGCAGGGTGATAGTATGCACCAGGGCACTCACTGGACTGTTCACAGAAAGAGATAAACACTCTCCAAATCCTCTGGAGAATCTGAAGTCATATCGCTCGTTTATCTTTTCGCTCGTTTCTCTTTTCGCCCTCCGTCCGCTTTCCGCAGGCTGCCTTTCGCGTTGGCATCAAAGTTCGCTGCATCGCATTTCTACATACGCCATTCTCCTGGAACCAGCAATGACTTGGCGGCTTCTCCTTATAGGAGCCCTTGCGGCCCAAGCATTTTCGAGCCCCCTTTCAAAGCATAAAGGTGAAGGTGGCATCTCCTGGGCCGCTTGCGACCCCAATAAAGGGCTACCACCCAATGTTCAATGCGCACACATGACAGTGCCGGTCAATTGGGATAATCCACATGGCGACACTTTTCAACTTTCGCTCCTTAAAGTACCTCGCCCATCGAACAGCACCGTCAAGAGGATTGGGTACCTTTTCATCAACCCTGGAGGTCCAGGGGGGTCCGCGATAGGCGCCCTCGCACAAGTCGCAGCGGGTGCCGCATACATGCCTCCCGAGATTCTGAGCCGTTTCGACCTTATTGCTGTGGAACCCCGAGGGGTCGGAGACAGTGCGGGTTCCAAATGCGACCACAATATTTGGAATGAACGCGTTTCATTGTTCCCCAAAACCGAGGAAGAGTTTCATCGCCTGGTTGACAAGAACAGGAGGCTGGGGGAGAGCTGCCTCAAACTCACTGGTCCCGTCGTCAAGTACGTCGATACTATATCAGCGGTGAAGGATCACGAGGCTGTCCGTAAAGCGCTCGGAGAAAAGATGAATTTCCTGGGACTATCCTATGGCTCGCAGATTGGCGCGCAGTATGCCCAGCTCTTCCCCGATAACATTCGGGCTATGGTGTTTGATGGAGTAGTGCAGCATAGCCAGAGCGCCTCGTCCAACATTCTCATCGAAGGCACCGCTCACGACGCTGCACTTAGGTCATTCTTTACTTGGGCGAGCACCAACGATACAAGCCCTCTGAAGGGTCAAAACGTCGAACAGCTGTGGCAAAATTTGTTGAAGACTGCTGCGGATACACCAATCCCAGCGCCTCGATGTAACGAAGACACGAACTCCAACGGAACAATCTGCCGCAAGACTGTCACAGACGATGATATCCGGAGGTTCCCTCAAGAGTATCTAAACGCGGAACTTGTACCAATTATCGCAAAGGCTTTGGCAGATGCCAGCAAAGGCGACGCTTCAGATATTTCTCCCAGTTTATCCAGTGAAACTGCCCCAGCGAACTTCGCCGGCATCACGATAGGATGTCTGGACTGGCCTTCCACTGCCTCTTCATTCAAGGAGTTCCAAGCAAAAATGCGCATCGGAGAGAGGTTCGCGCCTTTGACCAAGGGAGCATCACAATCCTACGAACTGCAAGCATCCTGTATAGGCTGGCCTATGCCAGCCCGCAACCCACCAACAAAACTGAAAGTCCGAACTCGCGCTCCCATCCTTCTGGTCAACTCAGTTGGTGATTCGAGTTCAAGCTACACATGGGCTGTAGGTATGCTAGAGGAGATTGAAAACTCTGTTCTACTTACCAGGAACGGAGAAGGACACACGAGCTTTGAGCGCAACGGAGCAACAACACAGGCCATCGTCGATTTCTTAATATCTACTAAGCTCCCAGCCCCAGGAACCTTGCTGGATTCGTAGAACGATAGACTATAGGGGTCTACCATCTGTATCTATATACCTAACAAATCCTACCTTTTCCTGCATTCTGCATTGTACCATAGTGCCTCTGCTTCCCCAATACTACTATATATCTCCATGCATAGAGTTAACTAAGCACATACGGAATCCCTTCATCACGGACGACTCTTCACACCATCATCCGTGTAGATACATTCATAGAACCTACTTCTTAATTCGCATTCATCTTCCCCATGCGATCTATCCATCCCCCAGGACCTCGGAAGGGAACCTCCTTTGCATATCAGCATCCCTTTATCATGCAAACTCATCCATTGTCAAAAGGTCACATTTCCCCATATCTGTCCGTAATCACTGATTCCTTTTCTTCATTCCGATTCTTCATTCAGAAGGAAAACAGTCGAAAAAACGCCGATCCATGATGAGTGAGTGAGAGAGTTAAGCCCACACATAAGACCAACCTCACACCACTCGAAAAAAAGGAAAATGACCGCTACATACTCAAAGGCCACACTCCTCCCCCTACGCCTGGATAACCCTCCCCAACGCACCCCCCGTAAACTGCTGATTCCGTCCACCCCTTCCGCCCCGTCCGCCGGGTCCACCGCCCCGACCCCTTCCTCCGCCACCAGCGCGACCACCCCTGCCGCCTTGCCGCTCAAAGGCATTAGCTGTGCCCTGCGTCCGCTGCTCGAGCGTCTTCTCATTCGACTCAATGAGGCCGGAGGCCTTGTCGCTGAGCGAGAGGGCCAGCGTCTGCAGGCGCGACAGCTCAACACCCTTCCTAAAGATGATGGCTGAGTTGACCTGGTCGAGAGCGGCGGCCAGTTCCTCGTGCGAGATCATCTTGCTGACGACGGCGCTGACCTTGCGCTCGGGGAGGTCGAACATGTCGGACAGAGTCTTGATGGCCAGCGTGTCGTAGAAGGGCGCGTAGGTGAAGAGGTATGTCCGGAGACCCTCCTCTTGGATCTGGGCGGACAGCATCTCCTTGATCTTGGCTGAGTTGACCATCAAATCCCAAATCTTGATGGAGTTGATGAACTCTGCGCTCTTCTTCCACTCGCCTGCCGACAACGCCTTGGAAGCCTGCATGACGTGGTCCCTCGTGTTCTCCGGAGGACCGGTGAAGATCTGCCTCTCATGGTATTCTAAGAGACGGCGGTAGGTCTTGCTAATGACACGCTTCCGGATATCGGGAGACGAGCCGATCTGAGCAAGCAGAGGAATTTCGAGCAACATGGAGCAGGTGAGGTAGACGCATTCGAGGAGTTCGAGATTGATGTGCATGTGGAAGGGAAGTTGTCGCTGGCGCTCAAGACGCTCCTGTTCAGGAGAGATCTGAGAGAAACGCTGCATCTGGAGACCTTGGGCGAGCAGCTCCTTCTGCCTGTTGCTTCCGCAGATCTCCTGAAGCGATGTCTGTGCCTCGTAGACGAGACCGGCGCGGAAAGCGCAGAGGCCAACCTGGACGAGTGCGCGGTTGAAGAGGATCTGCGTGTTTACATCGAAGTTGTTGATCGTCTCCTGGAGATGCGACATGAGCATCATGTCACGCGCCTTGTAGTACTGATCGTGCAGAGCCAGGAAGTATATCTCGCACAGCATAGCCCGTGCACGGAGGATGCCTTCGCTGTACTGGAAGAGATAGGTGCAGAGAGTCTTCACGAGGGAGGTGGTGTCGTTGGAGATATCGCGGGGAGTGATTTGCGAGTCGAGGTTAGAGGGGAGGGCGTTCCAGCTGTTCTTCTCGAGGATGGTGACCACTTGAGATGGCTGCACACGTTAGCTTCAAATATAGACATCTAAGTGAGGAACGATCTACCTTGAAGTAAACATGCTCCAATCTGCGCATGATTATCCGGTTAAGCACATCCTGGCTAAGCTCGAGCTGAGGATTCCTCTTCAAGCTCTCGGCATACACCAGGGCGCGCACCAAGAGCGTGTACAGAACCGTCTCATCTGTTAGCCGCTCGACATACTCGGCAGTGTGCGGATCAATCTGCTGGAGCGATCTGGTGAGCTCGTCGTCAAGCCTCTCAACGAACGAAGCAATGCTTCCGGGGATTTTGAAGATCTCCTCGTCGCTGATAACGGGCAGTTTCTCGTCATCCTCCCAATCCTCGGCGTTCTCAATGACGACAATGTTCTTGTTCTTCTCGAGAATCTCCAGAAGTCTGCCCAGATTCTGCTCGGCACTATATTGTTGTCAGTCAAAGCTTCCACATTGAGGTCTCAAGGCCACCCACAGCTTCCACTGCTCCGGGGACATAGCATTGCCAGTACCCGAGCTGAGATCGAATCTCGTAGAAATCAGCGTCAAAAGAAGCCTGATGCGCTGATAGTCGTGGACGGCAACCTCCAGCAGCTTCTCCAGCGTCCGGATATGCTCCATGCGATCAGCACCCTTTCTTCCTCTCTGATCCACAATCGCCCGCAGATGCTTCAGGATGCTCTCAGGAGTATATTGGACCCCCCTGCCTCCCACAACGGTCGTGAAACCCTCCGTATCAGCCTCCTGCGCGAGCTGGAGATCCAGATCGAGAGCCGCCTTCGGCCTCTTGGTGACCTTCTTTGGCACCTCCTCGGGCTCTTCCTCACGCATGAACTCCTCCTCATTCGCCCTGTACGCATCGATATCCTTGGCGTACTCTTTGTTATTTTTCCGGATGCTCTGGCGAACAGCGTTGAGACCGCGCGTGTTGATGGCATTCATCTTCTTAGGCGTGACCTTCTGCTTCTCGATGGTCTCGAGCATGACCGTCTCCAGATCGGCTACAGCCTTGATATACAGCTTCGGCACCTTTCCATCGTTTTGCTTGATGAGTCCCGGAACCAAGCGGTTGAGCTTGTTATACTCTGTCACAACTCGTTAGCCCCATCGTTTCCCATATCGCCACCTTCCCGAAGTCCATAATCAACGTACCGGTATGCACAACCTGCCAATCATTAATCTTGACCGCATTCTCCATAACCTTGATCGTCGCTTCCAGCTCCTCAAACCGCTTATCCTTCGCGCTCTTGACCGCCTTGACCCGATCCTCATCCTCGCTCTCGTCGCTCTCCTCGATATCCCTCAAGAATCGATTCGCCCCCGTCTCATCCCCAGACTCCTCGCTCTCCTCCTCAGACTCCTCCTCGGATTCCTCCTCGGACCCCTCCTGAGACTCCTCCTCCTCACTGTAGAGCTCCTCCTCGGAGGACTCCTCGCTGGAGCTGTCGCTGTCGCGGCTCGTGAAGAAGCGGGACATGGTGGCCGTGTCTGCCTGCCTGGTGTGTCTGTTTTCGTGCCGGATCGGGAGCCCGTTGACTCAGGCGGCGGAAATGAGTCCTGGGTCGAGTTTACTTGGGGAGAGCGGGCTTTGGCCTTGCAAAAGGTGCTGTCCAAATGCGTTAAAGGATTTTTGGTGGGGGGGGCGTTAGTTGTGTCCTCGGCAGAATGTAGTGCCGAGTTCCGTGCCGAGTCACGTGCCTACCTCATTCACTCCAGGTGGTATGCAACCACAGGGCCTCAAATGATGCGAAACGCTCGATTCCAAAGTGAATGCATGAAGTGCTTATTTTCGATCCAACCATGCAGAAGCTGCGCCAAAGAGAACCCTCCCCTATTCACCATTCATCCCTCCTAAAAATACCCACATCTACATTCGTGCTCTCATGTACACTTACACGTGCCAGTTCCGCCTGCATATCTCCCCTAGTGCAAACCAAAAAGAGAACTCCTCCGCGGTATCAAGAAGAACTTTTGCACCTGGCAAAGCTTCTGCAAAAATGGACTCAGCAAAGCTCCCTTCCTATGTCTGTTCATGAACTATGCCCCTTAGTAATATTCCCGAGACTGGCATCAAGTAATTCTGATGCAAGTAGAGAGCTGATTGCTCGTCCTTCCATGGGCCATCATTCATTGGCATGATATTTCCGTTTCCATACACGCCGCGACCGTTCATCCAAATGCCACTGTACAAGGAGGTCGTTCTCTCTGTGTTGTGGAAAAGGCTATAGGCACGAGAGGTGGGAAGCTGATATCAGGCCGTGCCATGGTCTTGTCCGATCGTAACGACTCGCACCAGTGATCCTGTACCTTGGAAACCATGCGGCGAAATCTGAACACCAGACTCTTAAGGACTTTGATCGAGGTTCAGGCCCGCGAAACCCTCTGAGTCCGCTGTAGCCATGCGAGTCGAAATAACGTTTTTAGTCAGCACCTCGTCATTGCCAATGATTCTGACTCAAAAAGCCTTCTTCGAGCGTCCGGTCTTCCAGCGTCCTAATAAAGTCTCGGTTTCCTCGGCCATGCTGATTGGTCCCTCTCGACCCTCTCCGCCGATTTGCACTTTCTGGTGCACCCTCTGGCGGAGGTGGATAATACGCAGGCGATGGTTGTAGTCGGATCGGCGCGTTAGGGTCGAGGTGGTTCATCACTCGCTGGATGGCAGGCGCAATTCCCGACTGCTGGAGATCCATGGTGGACGCGCGTTGTCTGCCTGCCCGAGTGGTCGCTTGTGCGTAGAGGTTTTGAGACTGGTTATACGGACGTGCCTGTTGGGATTGCGCCATGTTCATTTGTTGACCATATTGTCCTTGTGCGGGGTACGGAGGAGGAGCCCCTTGATGGTTCGGGCTGTACATGTTGCTGTACATGTTCGGATTCTGTGCGTGCGGACTCTGCGCGGCATATGGGTTCATCTGCATGTTAGCGTATGCTGCACTCTGCGCTTGTGCGTGAGCCTGGGCCTGAGCTGCTTGCTGTTGGGCAGCTTGAACCTGAGCGGCCTGTGCCTGAGCACGCTGCTTGTGCATTCCCTCGTACCGTTGCTGTTCCTGCACACCAGGCGCAGGTGACCGATTCGAGCCCGATCGCAGAGTCATTGGTGGTACAAAAGGGCCGGTGAACTTCTGCTGCGTGATGAAAGGATGCAGTTTTGCCTGGTTCGGTGTCCATCGTTCCAGAGGATTGAGGTTCAACAAGCCTTGTGCAAAATCGATGAAAGCCTCGCGATTCGCCATTTCTACAAATGGTCAGAATCAAGATTGAGGAGCAATATGCGCACACTCACCTCTCTCGATCTCCGCAGGCTTCATACCCTTCCGCGGCATAGGGTAATTCTTAATGATATCTGGCAACGTGGTCGCGGTGAAGTACTTCTTGCTCGGCTGCTCTTTCGTGTTATGCTCTCTAGAATACTGCTCCATAGACTTCAGCCGATATGTCTTACGGCCATATTCGTCTTGGTATCGCTCGAAGAACTGGCTGGACTGCTTTCCCATTTCCAACATCCATGTCGGCGGCAATCCGAGCATTTCCGTTATTCTCGCAACTTGGTTATACTCTGAGGATCCGGGGAATAATGGGAGCCCCAAGAAGAGTTCGACAACGATGCATCCAAGTGACCACATGTCGATGGCCGCTGAGTACCTGCATGGCTTGTCAACTAAAGCCCTTGATACCTGGAGGATGGCTTACGGCAAACCGAGTAGAACCTCGGGCGACCGATAGAATCGTGACTGAATATAAGTATAGACAGTCTGCCGCTCATCGCAAGCAGAACCAAAATCAATGATCTTGATTATTGGACTCTCAAGACTAATGAATGTTAGCATTCATCCGTTCAAGCGCAGAACCATACGTACTTCTTGAGCAGGATATTCTCCGGCTTCAAATCACAGTGTATTAGTTTGGCCTTCCCAAGCAAAGCCAGGCCCGTCAGTAACTGCTGGGCAAACACCCGTACCAACGTTGTCGACAATCCGCGGAATTGATTTTGCTTGATCAACTCGTAAAGATTGACGCTCAACAACTCAAACACCAAGCAAAGATGCTGTCGATGGATAAAAGTATCCTTCAACCTCAACAAGTGGTGATCGTCATTCTTGTCCATCTGCTTGTTCAGCTACGCAGCGTTAGAGAAACTGAAACCAACAAACGAGGCCTGGGCACTGACCAGATCCAACACGGAAACCTCCATCATGCTCTGGTTAAAGTAGGCTGTCCGATTCTTGATGACTTTAACCGCCACCACCTCCTGCGTCTTCAGGTTTTGGCATTTCACAACCTGCCCGAATGTGCCCTGCCCAAGGACATCAAGGATCAGATAGCGGTTTTTGTGTCCCGACTCTTCCGATCCAAGGATATCGTTGACGTATAATATGTAATCGCTATCCTCGTTGTCGTAGCCATCGTTCTTCACGCCTTTGCTGGGTTTCGTGAGGACACGGCGGGGGTTCCGGGCAGACTCGTATTTGAAGTTAGGGTTACATATTCGGTAGGTAGATGGGAGATGCGTTGTCAGCGCTTGCAGCGGCTGCTCATCCGTCAGTCATGTCCATGGCTGAATCATCCTGCTACTTACGCTTATAAATCCCCCATCAGGCGCAGCACGGCGAAATGGCGGTTGAGTATTGATCTTGGGTTCAAGCTCCGCAGTATTGTTGCATCTCTTGAATCTTGGCACGGGCCCTCGTCCAAGCGGGGGAAGCTGGCGTGGGTTAGGATCCACTGAACGCGGTGAGCGCGCTTCACGATTGAATACGGCGTTGAGCTGCGCGGATGCGGATTGCGGATAATACGTATCGGGGCTCATTGCGGATTGCAGAGGAGGAAGTTGAGGCGCATGGGGCCGAGATGCTGCAGACGGAACGAGTTAGCATGCCGGCGCTAAACGAAGCTGACAATTGGGTCGGAAGTTCGACTCACTCGGAGGGGAGTAATAGCTATTCGGAGGCGATATATATGGGTTGTTTCGCGTCGGACTTTGCCTACTGCTTTGGGTTTGTGGAGAGAAGCTGGTGTATGCCTGACTGCTTCCATTGTATGGCGAAGAAGGTGATAGGTTCATCGGCGAATACCTGCGAGCTGCGGCGCTATCTTCTGACTGCAGGAATTGCTGGGACTGCCGTTGCTGGTTTGGGGCCCGCGCTGTATTGTGCTTTGGCTGTTTGAAGGGGTCTACGTCTTCCATGCGGACGTCACCATCCCCATCGTTGTACTCTGCGCCGCGATTATGCTGCACCCCTGGTGACTGAAGGGGCATTGAATTTGTTCGTGAAGGTGCCGAGGGTGGGGCGTACGCTTCTTGCTTGATCTGAGGAGGAGGGGGGTTGGATTCCCTTTGCGAATGCTGAGAGGACATGGTGTGCGGGGCATAACGCGCCTGGCGGCTCGCGGCCGCTGAATCGTTGTAAGAAGACCACTGCTGGTCCATGGCGCCTTAGAAGGGTGCAAAGGGCGTCAAAGGGAATAGGTAGTAGGGGGGAGGTGTCGGTACGCAGCCTGTACAGCTGGTGACGCAGCTTATTGCGCGCTGGGCATGCCGAATTGATGGAGTCGTGGGTGCAAGCACCGTAGACTGGCGGACGGAGAGGACGTCGGTCGCGATAAAGGAGGGAACGCGGAACGACGAAAGAGCGTGGAGCGGGGACTCGAAAAAGGGACGGCGTACGTAGAGTACGGTGTTCGAGGCGGAGCTGGAGAGGGGTGTTGGGCAAGCACGTGGCTGCACCACAGCGAAGCGGACGGGGCCCTGGGGTGAGCAGGCGGAAACGCTGCACTCCGCAGGGTGTTGAAGGTGAAGGAAGAGGAAGTGAGGCTTCGGGTGCTGCAATGTGTGCTGGATGTCGCGACGAGGAGGAGTGAAGGGACTAAGGAAATGTCACGACAAATGCTGGGCTGGGATCGTGGTTTGGGCTGATCTATGGGCGCCAAGCCATCCATTGCTACCGTTGGCAGCACTCCCACCACTTCAGCCCTCCCCGCAAGCCAGCAAGGCGAAAGTTGCATGTCCAACAGTATGTAGCTGCGTCACTGGCTGAAGAGAGAATGAGGCCAACACCGTCCCATTTACCATTTATTCACGACATCTGCTGCCACTCCTTGGGAGTGAGTATCTCAACAGGCGCTAACAACAATATCCGTAACAAGCAAGCGGGCACTCTCCGCCCCAAAGCGAATCTTCGTCAGCAGCAGCACCTCCTAACACGTTTCACCCACCAGAGACACCCTCGAAGACGGCGGGTCGAGTCTCGAGTTGCCCTCCGCTGCTGACTCCATCTTTCCCATTTGCCCTGAAACCAATCATATGCGGAGCTGTCTCTGCTTTCTCCTCGCCTGTGCTACTCTTCAGCTCCTGAGTCTGCCGTAAAGGTTGGAATGCCGGGTCGAGATAATAGATCGGAGAATTGATATATCATCTATCAGCTGTATCATAACGGCATCAAACTCCTCCAATGTGAATTTACGACGATTTCGCTCATGGACCTCATTCTGTTGTCCAACATGTGTGTTCCCAAGGGTCGCACAGCCACCACCGCCACACTTCAGATCAACGCGTCTGCTCTAGACAGTCTCCACGCTCTAATTTCTCAGGTCCTCGAACCGCAGCCGCTCAGAAGCATCCCACTTCGCTCCCTTGTCGAAGATGGACCTGACCACCTGCCCACCTCTTGTTGCCAGTACAGAAAGAAGGGTATCGCTCAACTACAGTGGCATGTCAGCAAACTGATGTACAAATACCCAAACCATCGAACGGGCAAAACTTACACCATGGGAACTCTCGCAACAACCTTGTAACCATACACCCGCATCGTCGCTAACCTTCTTGTCCTCAAAGAGCACCTTGTAGTCTCTCCGGACCTGCCATTTTGCGTCTCTCAGGTCGCCACCTGGCATCAGGTGCCGCGCATCGCGGAGTAGCGTTTCGTGGAAATCGCGCTGGTAGCCAGTAGCCACGAACACGGCGTCGACGTCGATGACCTCCTCCTGCTCCGTGGCATTTGGCACATCGGACAGGTAAAGAGGGCTCTGATCCCGTACGTGAAGTCGGATGCCGTCTTTGATGACAGGCGAGTTTGTTACGTCGACGACCTTGCGATAGGGAAGGATACGGTGAGGCCAGTTCTCTTCTGCTTGTGGAGTGTTTCCATAGCGAATGCGTTGGGTATAGAGGGTCTCGTATATGTGCTCCAGCAGGTTTATACGCACAACGCCGTAGTTTGTGCCCTTGTCTTCCTTGAGAGTGGCGGCTCGCAACTCAGGTGCTCGCCAGAAGGTGCTGTCTACTCTGGAAGGGTTAAAGATCTCATTTACGCTTGGAAAAGTCAGCACTTCCATGATTCCATGGGAGAAAAAGAGCAGCACTCACAAAGGTGAATCGTCGCTCGGCCTCAACGCTCCCCCTTTAATCAATAACCGCGTCCTCGCATTCGGATAATTCGTATGCAAGAAGTCAAAAATCTCCGCCGCACTCTGACCATTGCCCACAACAGCCACCTTATACGGATAACTCGCATCCCTCAAAATCTTCGAATACGTGTGGCAGAACTGCGACGAATGTAGCACCCGGGGATGGTTGGTGGGAAATGGCTTGGGTATGTGGGCGCGTCCGCCCGCGGCTATGACGACGTGTCGCGTCCGTCTAGACTGGATTTCTCCCGTCTGGACGTTGCGAGATTGGACGAGGAAGCTGGTTATCTGCCCGCTGCCGGAGACGGACTTCTCGGGGGTGATTTTGACGACTTCTTGGTTGTATTGGACGACTTCGTCGAACCATCCAGCGCACCAGCGCATATAGTCCTCATACTCGACTCTCTGAGGCAGGAAAGTATTCAAATTGGTGAACTCTACCAGTCTTCCCTTTTGGAAAAGATAATTGATGAAAGTGAATTCGCTGCGTGGGTTCCTCAACGTGGCCATGTCCTTCATGAAGGTAATCTGCATCTTCGCCCCTGGAAGAAGCATGCCCGAATGCCACGCAAACTTGTGCTGTCTTTCCAGAAACGCCGCCTTCGGTGCTCGCTCTTGCAGTTCTGGGATTTCGAGTGACGGGTCCGTCCCGTCTAAGGCGTCGTGAAGCGCCACTGCGATCGCCAAAGATGCGGGTCCGAAGCCGACGCAGATGACATCGTGAAGCTCATTCTCGGGAGTGTAACGTAGGTGTGAACGATTTTCGAGGTGCGGCAGAGAGCTGTCTTCTAGGGACTCTGCATTGAAGCCGGTGGACATCGCGAAGGGCTCCTGAACGGCGGGAGCGTGCCCGTTGGCCACCACGGAGACATCAGCGTGGGGCGTCATGCTGGATGGGACAAGGGAGATATCCTTGATAGCACTCTGTGAACTTGTCAGACTCGGAGTTCTGGAGCAATAAAATGGTATCCAGTACCTGTGCACTCGCACGTGTACAGATAAGGGTCCCAACGTCGCGGAATACTGTTGTACTGTGCGCTATGTACTTCTTGACTTGGTCCGATTGGTGACGTAGCTATTAACCCACTAGTGCATACAAAGCTACTTCCTCAGAATTAGCACTGCTCAAGGACGCCAGTATGTTACTTCGAAGACAAAAGACGACAGTACCAGGGAAATAGAATAAAAACCTACCAGCAGTGAACAATTGAAGGAGCACCCAGACATGCGACTGCGAGGTACCCAGCCTGCATTATGAAGCAACTTGCAGTCCCGCCCAGCTGCCGTTGCTCGTAGCTAGTGACAACACGCCATCTCCGAACCTCTCCACCAGCAGCAAGGGGCCCTCAGGAGACGATCGTTCGATGCCGGGTCGTCGCTGTACTATAGTAGAAGGCATGTAGCCGGCCGTTCCATGTAACACGGTAGAAAAAGGCAAGCCTCATGGCGTGGCAGAGGTTGGTGGGTTGGCAAGCCTGCAGAAGGCAGGGTTAACAATGGGGCAGCGAGATTATCTCTTGATCTGATTAGATGGAAGTGGGGTAGCTCATATTCAACCCCACTATCAGGAAGAAACCGGACGGCCAAGCAACCTCTTCTAAGTTCTCCTGCACCATCAGCATCCTTTCCAGTCAGACTGAAGGAAAATTTTCTCTCGAACCCCACAGCATCCCGGCTTGACCCCCAAGTTGATGCGTAAGACCCATGCCTAAGCCGGGGTCGTTCCCTTATCTGATCAATCTGATTAGATGAGATCAGCTCCGAGTTTCGGCCTCGTGCAAGGTGCGGGCAACCTTCTCACATGGGTGTAGCAGGAGGGATTTTTTGTTTGTCAGGCTTTTGCTAGGGTGGGACAGTCCGCGCGGAGTTCTTCCTCCTTGTTTGCAAGCGGTGAGTCGGGTAGAGGGTGGTGCTGGGCTCTGGTGGAAAAGGGTTCACTGTAGTTCTCCTTCTGGAGACACCATTTGAACATTCACCTGACCATGTGCGAGAAGCATCACCTAGCTCCGTAGCTTCGTTGGCATTCTTGTTCAATTTTTGGTGCTGATACCTAAGGGAATTACAAGACTAATTTCTACAGCTGCTATATCTACATGTACACAGTATATACACTGCCAATGCTCAGCCCAACTCCTGAGCACTCACCATCCCCGCATACATCCCCCCTTCTGCCACCAACTCATCATGCGTCCCCTGCTCCACAATCCTCCCAGCCTCGAAAACGAATATCCGATCCGCATGCTGCACACTCGCCAACCGATGCGCAATCATGACCGTCGTCCGCCCCTTCGCTGCCGCCATAATCGCAGCCCGAACCTCTCTCTCCGTATTCGCATCCAACTGAGACGTCGCCTCGTCCAGAAGGAGTACTTCGGGGTTTCTTATCAGCGCCCTGGCAATGGCGAGGCGTTGCTTCTGACCTCCGGACAGTTTGGAGCCGCGTGATCCGACATCAGTGTTGTATCCCTCGGGCAGACTCATGATGAACTCGTGCAATCCGCATTTCTTCGCTACATTCTCAATGTCCTCTCGCGAGGCCTTGTGCCCCGGTTTAGCGCCGAGGCCGATGTTGAAAGCGATGGAACCGGGAAACAGGTCAGGCTCCTGCTCGACGAGGCCGAGCTTGGCCCGGTGCTCCTGCACATTTTCGAGTCGAATATCTTTACCGTCCAGGAGGACGGCGCCGAGGGTTGGGTCGTAGAAGCGCTCAATCAGGTGCATTGCGCTGGATTTGCCTGCGCCGGAGCGGCCCACGAACGCAACGTACTGTCCCGCTTTGATGGAGAAGGAGACGTCGTCGAGCGCGCATGCACCTTTCCTTGTCTCGTACCTCAACGTCACGTTGCGGAACTCCAATTCACCTCGTCCGGCGGCTTCGGCTGCGTCGGCATCGTCAACCTGGCGTCCATCTGGTCTGACGATAGATGATGCGCTGGCTTGGTGCTGAGTCACAATCGATGGCTGCTCGTCATGCAGGGCAAAGACACTTTGAGCAGCTGTCTTCGCACGCGTTATCTCTGGCGCTAGACTGAACATTTGTCCGGCGGCTTGCGCAGAAAAAAGGAGGGCAGGGAGGACGATGAAGAAAGCTCTCTGGCTGTAGTGACCCTCTCGCACTTGTTTGGAGCCCCTTAATGATTGTCAGCATCCCGATCACGTACCTGGTAGAACACTGTACTTACCACCAGTATGCCAGTGCATAAACAAAGTAGGTGACCGATAGCGAAAATGCCAGAAGCATGTTACCCCAAATGCTGAACGTCAAGCTCTCCTCGTAAGGTTTCTGTATCGCTCTCTTGTACCTCCACAGAAATTCCCTTTCTCGCCCAAGCGCCGCAACGGCCTGAATGGCTGCACAAGCCTCCGAAGCAAGTGCACTCGCTGAGTTGAAGGCTGTTTGCTGGCGTTCTTCGCTTTTCGCGAGAATGCGAAGACGGAGGAATCCGGCTAGGATCATAAGCGGGACAGCAGAGAGAAGGACGATGGCGATCTTCCAGGCCACTATGTGTGCCAAGATTATTCCACCGACGACAGACGTCGTTATGGAGAAGAAGGTGCCGAGGATGATGCCGGAGAGTCCGCTGAGATGACCGCTGTCCATGTTGATCCTCGACATGAGCTCGTGATGCGAATGGCCAGGCCTCGAAAACCATGACATATCTTGATTGAGAATTGTACGGAGGGAAATGTCCCTGATACGAAGTGTCAAATTCTCAGAAACAACCCCAAAGGCGCTGCCCCCACAACTATGCGACGCAAATGCGACGAGAGCAAGAATGACGAACATCAAGGAGAAGAAAGCGACCCGAGAATCGAGTTGTGCGGAACCGGAACGATCATTGAGCAGCTCCACGAGGTTTCCGAAAATGATTGCTTCGCCCATGATGATGCTGCCGCTCAGTACGGAAGATAACAGTCCCAGGGCGATCGCAGGACTCTCTTTCCGGTTCAATCTGATACACCGCGCAATGGTTTGCGTAGTCGTCAAAGGCTCATGCACTTTTGCAAGGAAAGGTGAGCTTTCACGTTCCGCATCATCGACTTCCGCTCTGGTCGGTGTCTCCTTCCTCAGTATTCGGTTACTAGATACGATCGATGAACCTGCTGAAGATAGTTGTTTCTTTTTATCAAACTGCTGGGCGTGAATAAGACCAGCATATACGCCGTTTTGATGAATCAAGCTTTCGTGGCAACCTTCCTCTACGACGGTTCCATCTTTCATGAGGAGGATGTGATCAGCGTCTTTAACCGTGATAAGGCGATGGGCGATAATTATGGTAGTTCTCTTCGATGCCGCTGAGCTTCTCTTCAGATTTTCTAGAACAATGGCCTCGCTCGTGGCATCCATTGCACTGGTGAACTCGTCGAGCAGGAGCAGGGAAGGATTTCCGACAAGCGCCCGTGCTAGTGTAATCCGCTGCTTTTGCCCACCGGAGAGCTGTGAGTGGTGGCCTGCACCAATCATCGTATTCATCCCATCGGGGAGGTGGTCGATGAAGTCGCAGTGAGCTTCTGCCGCCGCTGCATGGCATCTCGCGAGAATTTCTTCTTCTGTAAGAAGTTCTGTCTGGCATAGGCCATGTTTGATGTTGTCCAAGATCGTTCCGGTGAACAGCACAGGGTTTTGTGTTACGAGGGCCATATGAGAACGAAGGCTTCTGATGTTGAAGGTGCGCAAATCCATACCTCCTAACGAGACAGCACCAACAGTTGGATCATACAACCGCAGTAAGAGGGCGGTCAGCGTAGACTTTCCAGAGCCAGAAGGGCCAACCACGCCTGTAATTTTACCAGGAGGAAACGAGAGGGTAACTTCGTCCAAAACACGGACAGTGGGTCTGGCTGGGTAAACGAACGACACCTGCTTTAGCTCTAGGCCACGTTTGAAATGCTGTTCATTTGCTTCGACTCCTTCGGTAGAATAGACGTCGATGTTCGGTCGCGGATGGTCCAAGATGGAATATACGGACTCACCCGCCGCTGCTGCCAAGGCTAGAGTTTGGATGAAAGGGCCAAATTGGCCAACCACGAATGAGGCATCTAGTATAAGGAACACTACTGCGTAGATGGTTCCGGCACCACCGGATTGAGACACTTGTTCTTCCTGCAGGTGATGGCCATACCAGAAGGCCAGTGCATTCGCAGAATAGGCGATGCAGTATACACTGCCAAGCATCAAAGCACCCGCCATGCTCTTTCTTATTCCAATGCGCAGAGCGGAGCGCAAAAAGTTGGCATGGTCTTGTGCGAGCTGCTCCGACACGCCGAAAGCCTGCACGACCTGGACGGATCTGATGGCGCTCTCCGCAACAGCCGCAGCTTTCTCCGTGAAAGAGTCGGCCTCTTTTGATAGCCTAGTAACCAGCTTGGTGCCGCAGACGACAGCCAAAGTCATAGCTGGAATGACTGTTACCAGAAGGACGCCCGTAAGCCTCGCATTTAGGATGAAGCCTACAGTGAACGCGGCAAGGAAGTAGCTTATCGAGGCGATGAACAAGCCAACCTTCTCTGAAGTCCCGAGCTGAATCGTCTGTGTCTTCTCCGTGAGCATGTTCGTCATATCCGGCGCAGCCACATCAAAGTAGGCCATATCCAGACCCAATGCGCGCTCAAACAAGTTTTCCCTCGTTTTCCTCGAAACTCTCTGCCCGATGACAGCCCAGCATAGTGACCAACCCCAAGTGACAATAAAATAGGCAACCGCAATTCCCATTAGCCGGTTTAGATGGGTGCTCAACTCCGCTGACGACGGAGGAAATTGATTGATGATGTTCCCAAAGACGACTCCAATCAGGGGAAGGGGCAGGCCGGCAGCGACTGAGAGTGAAACGGCGAGAAGCAATAAAAGACGAGATGAAAAGTCGGTTAAAGGACGGTACAGAGAAAAATACGAAGTTTTGAAAGGGTTGAGGCCGAGGATCTGGCGAATGAAGGTTCGGTGGGCTGTGTTGAGGACGGCGTGCCAGAAACGAGACTTGCGAGCCGTCCTCAGGGAGGCCAGGTCGCCCTGACCATCCCAGGGCAGGTTCCCATGAATATGGGTCGACGGGAAATCGGAGACGTCGAGATGAGCATCATCAATGCGGCTGTCCCCCAGCACGGAATTGGCTGGAGGAATGCCAGGGGGCACGGGGGACGGTTCCATGGTTTACATAGACGGCCAAACAGAAAGGGGAGACGACTAAGCGGAAAAAAGAGAGAAAAAGGCAACGGAGACGGAGGGACACAGGCAGGTGCAATCCATTGCAGGGTCTTGAGAGATGGTTGCAGGCGCAATGGGAGATGGAGATGGATGGAGATAGATGGATACAAATGACGTTGACAGATGATGGAGGTTCCGGGACGGGAAAGCCGTGGCGAGCTCGCCTAACGGCTTTGGCCGCGGCAGCACCGGCCACACAGAAACGGTGCAACCGGAGACGACTCGCTCATGGGCATGTTTTCTGAGCATTCTGGCAATGATGAAAGACAGACCCGCTAGCTAAAAGGTACAGTAGGAGTTCGCCTGTAGAAGGAGAATGAAAAGCAGACAAGTGTACTCTGGCGCTAGTATCGCAAGCATAATAATAAGCCGCAGGTTTCATCGAGGATGAGGAAATGGGTCGAATTCAGCAGCTTTGACGAGAAAATTAAGTTATCAGATCCGTCGCATGGTGGATCCCATTATGTTCTTGTACTGCACGTCTTATTGGGCGCGGCGTCGTGGCGTTGAAAGGGCGCCATGTTTGACCATCTGATAAAGAAGCCCACACTGCCAGACAGCTGCGTTCCTCTTTGGCGGTCCCACTCGCGATGCGAGGTATCCGAAGTCGGCCATTGCAGAGTCATAGATGCTTTGGAGATGGTCTTGGAGGTGGCCGAAAGAGTTTGTCCTTTGTTTGCTCTCGGCTTGTGGCAGTCAGGAGCTTCCACGGGACGGGGCCTTGGCCGTATTTTGCTGACATTTTCTTAGAAGTAGCCCCAGCTCGCTACCTAGGTATGAATGGGCGAACCCGGGGCGGTCACAGTTTCTTCCGTCTGTCCTTTTTCTCTGGCCATAGCTATCCCTGGGCTTCTCTCGTTTATCCCATCTTTCCCCCCCCCATCTCCCTAGCTTAACCTACCCCACCCCACCGTCCTTCCCCCCCCAATTCTCACGGCCACCATGGAAGCGCCGAGAGTCCCACGCCGGATTCCATCATGACTAATACGACTAGCGGGTTCTCTGAGCCATCTCTTCCCTGGTCGAGGTTTCAAGGTTGGCTCCATGCGCGAGTCGGCTTCGTCCTTGCAGCCCAGTGCTAGCAATGGGTGGGCGCAAACCCGGAAGAGCGCCTTGGACCTTTTTCACATACCTATCCACGCGTTCCCCTGTCGTTATTATCAAACGGCCGTGATTTTCTGAGGAGCAGGGCTTTTCCGCCTTCTGAGTTCCCCTGTTGGAGTTTCCCCGCGTCTTTGGTCGACCAAGTGCAACTCACCCCGTCTGCATGTTCGAGCCATCCGCTTCTTTCACCACTCGGCTTAGCGTACATTCTCAAGCACCTTTGGAACCCGTCACTCCAGGCTGTATCTTGGATCCAACCTGGAAGGAGCCACCCTGTCACGTGTGCTACCTCCCAGCTCCCGCGGGCGAGGTCATATCATTCCCGGTTGACTTCATCTGCATAGATATCCTTTGCCGCTCAAACGGTACTCTAGGGTAGACTTCCAGAGTCAAGCATTCATATACGTGCGTCGTCCTAGCCAATCGCTGCTCGACAGTCTCTCATCGCTCCAGTTCCCGCTCGAAGTCAACTTTGGTAAAGCCATCGACTTACAAGTGGCTCCTCAGATTCAATCACTCGAAATCCTGGAAATCTTCCTAGTACTGCATACCTTCTTGAGGCGTGTCCTGCGGCTGGTTATGCAATACTGTTCTTACTTGCAGTCCCGAAATGACACCACCCTCCAATCCGGGCCTCTCCATCCTGAACGGGCATCCCAGCTTGATCCCAGGTCCTACCCTCCTCCACGAACTTGTGCCATCCCCCACAAACGTAGAGAATCTCGCCATCGATTTTCTTGAAGATGGAATCAGGAGAGAGATTTCGTACAAATCGCTGCACTCCCTTAGCGATCTTCTTGCAAGGCGGATCGCCAGTGCCTTGGCCACCCTGACACATGCCTGTCCCGTTGTCCCCATCTTTCTACCTCAGTGTCCTGAGCTTTACATCGCAATATTAGCCGTCCTCAAAGCAGGAAAGGCTTTCTGCCCTCTCAGCCTAGACACTCCATCAGAGAGACTCGAGTTCATTCTCGGCGATCTGAACGCAGGCCTGGTTGTCACAACATTAGCGCATCGCTCAGATGTCTTTGCAAGGACAAACATAATCACTTTATACATGGATGGTGGTCCCTATGACGACGATGTTACGGCTCCGCCCAGCGTCGTGACGACCGATCTGGCATATGTGTTGTATACATCAGGTTCCACCGGTCTACCCAAAGCCGTGGGAGTTTCTCATCAAGCCGTCACTCAGAGCCTACTGGCTCATCATCGCCACATCCCAGACTTCAACCGCTTCCTTCAATTCGCTGCGCCGACCTTTGACGTTTCTATCTTCGAGATCTTCTTCACCCTCTTCCGCGGCCGAACCATCGTAGGCTGTTCTCGTTCACGCATGCTTGCCGATCTGCCCGCTACCATCAACAAACTGCACGTCGATGCTGCCGAACTAACCCCTACAGTTGTTGGCAATCTGCTTCAGGGTCGAACAAGCGTACCAAGCCTCACGTTACTGCTGACCATTGGGGAGATGCTAACAAGAAAGATTATTGAAGACTTTGGCGGCGACTCCGAGTCCCAAAGCATATTATGGGGCATGTATGGGCCAACTGAGGCAGCTATCCATTGCACCCTGCAAGCTGGATTCCAGAAAGGCTCTGTCGTTGGCAATATTGGTTATCCCCTCGATACTGTTTCAATCTTCATCGCAAAACCGACATGCGAAGGAGACTTGGCCGCCGATGTGACAATTCTTCCAATTGGAGAAGTGGGCGAATTGGTCGTAGGTGGTTATCAACTTGCAGAAGGATATTTAAACCGCCCGGAACAAACAGCAGCTGCTTTTGTACAACACCCGGTTTTCGGCCGCCTCTACAGAACTGGCGATAGAGCCCGCCTCCTGCCAGACGGCACATTAGAATGTCTTGGCCGTATCACCTCCGGACAGGTCAAATTGAAGGGTCAAAGGGTGGAGCTTGGTGAAATCGAACAGTACCTCTCGAAAATTGAAGGCTGCCTCGCGTCGATAGTCCTCGTCGTCGACGACATTTTGGTGGCTTTCTGCACAGTAGGACCAGCTTCACTTACAAGGGACCATATTATATCTGCCTGCAAACGTTGGCTACCCAGCTATATGGTACCCGCAGATATCGTCTTCGTACGTCACATGCCACAATCGACATCTGGAAAAGTTGACAGAAATGCCCTGAGGTCGTTGTACCTCCGCGGAAGAATCTCGAGGGAGCTCCCCACTCCACCTGAGTCACCTCCAAACTCCCCTATCTACCAGATCCTTCAAGACGTTTTAGGGAGGCCAATTCCGCTATCCACTCCTCTGGCATCTCTGGGACTGGACTCACTCTGCTCCATCCGAGTAGTATCTCTCCTGCGCGCAAAAGGCTATAACGTGAGCGCCGCCGATGTAATGTCCGCTTCTCACATGGAGGACCTTGCCTCAATCTGTGATTCCACAATTGGGAAGATTGAGGAACCGCCACTTTCCAAAACCTACGACGATCTTAAGGAATTGACACTCAAGCTGCCAACTGTCGCACGCTACCGCGATTTAATAGTCGAGATTATCCCCTGCACGCCTTTACAAGAAGCTATGCTTGCAGAGTCGATGCACCAACCGGGTGTTTACTGTAACTGGATTGAGCTCGAACTATCCACTTTCCATACACTCACCGAAATCAGAAGTCATATAGACCGCCTTGCCGGAGATAATGAGATATTGCGTTCTGGATTCGCACCTGTACGAACAAGTACGGGATCCTTCTCCCAAATCATCTTGGAAAGACTGGATTCTGATCAGATCAAGGTCGTGGATCGATTTTCAAGGGAATACACTCTCGAATCAGATGAAGCTCTGCTCCGACCATTTAGCGTACAGGTGGATATGAACCTGCCAAGACCTAAACTTCTATTCCAGATGCACCACGCATTGTACGACGGCTGGTCCGTTGATCTCATATTACGCGATTTGAACAACCTGTTCCAAGATAAACCAATCGATGCCCGACCGCCATACCGTCAGGTCGTGCAATATTACTCTGGAACGCAGCACGGAGACGTGGCGAAAGCCCATATCTCATACTGGAGTCGACAACTTGATGGTTATAACCCTATCAACTTGCCTAACTTCAATGGGAAGATAATAGGATCTAAATCCGTTGAAAGACACACCAGGATATCCGGAGTGGACGCACGACTGTTGCTTAGTCGTGCCCAAGAGTACTCAGTCAATCCCCAGGTATTCTACCAAGCCGCGGTCATCCGTATGATGAGCCTCTTCCTAGGTTCTACCGATGTGGCCATTGGTACTGTAACCTCTGGAAGGACAATCCCCTTGACCGACATCGAAAGGATTGTGGGACCATGCATCGCCTCACTCCCGTTACGCGTTGATCTTGCAGAATGTCGCACGGGTCTCGATGTGCTACGAAATGTCCAAAGGGCAAACAGAGAAATGATCCAACATTGCACATTACCTCTAAAAGATATCGTGAAGATCCGTGGCCTTCGTCCAGGCACCCAGATATTCGATGTTCTCTTTGTCTGGCAACAATCGCTCTTCCCCACTCATCATGATGATACCATAAAGATACTTGACAACGCGGATCAGCTTGAGTACAAATTGACCCTAGAGTTTGAACCGCACGAAGATTGCATTTTCTCTAAAGCTACCTATGATCCTCGCACTTTTCCTGAGGCCTCAATTCGCCATCTCTTCCACCAGGTCGACGATATCGTCAGGTACCTTCTGAATACTGCTCACGAGAATTTCGACAGAGTGCTGGGCTGCTTCAGTCCCGAGACTCTATCCATTGCCAATCCAATTCCGAAATCGAAACCCATCAAACATGGTCCGGCTTATGCTGTAGAGAGATGGGCGGTGGAGACACCTTGCCGGGAAGCCATTCTTTTAGCTTCTCGGAGGGATGGGGCTCTGAGAATAACATGGAGTATCTCATACCAGGATCTCAATATGCGAGCTAACCAACTGGCACATGCTCTGGCAAAACTCGGTTTACAAGAAGACGAGCTGATTGGTGTCATTATGGAGAAGTCCATTGATCTTTACGTCGCGATTCTAGCGATACTGAAGTTGGGTCATGGATATTTACCCATTGTGCCTGATACACCTGCAGAGAGGACAGCTAGAATACTGACAAATGCTCGTATCCGGATTTGTATAAGTGAACGAGCCATATCACGACGGATTCGTGGCATATCGTCGTGCCACGTCATTGACGTTGACCTCATGGATTTTTCGTTACATCGTCATTGGAACCCCGAAGTAGTCTACGAGGGATCAAATGTTGCCTACGCGGTGTACACATCCGGCAGCACTGGTACCCCAAAAGGCGTTTTGGTCACACAGGACAATCTCATGAGCAACATTGAATATCTCTACAGTGTTTATCCTACAACCCCAAACTCAAGACTGTTACAGGCCTGCTCCCAGGCTTTCGACGTCTCAGTGTTCGAGATATTCTTCGCCTGGTACGCTGGTATTTGCTTGTGTACGGCCACTAAAGACGATCTCTTCAGCGATTTGGAGAATTCGATAAGGATCCTAAGAGTCACACACCTAAGCCTCACTCCCACTGTCGCTTCACTCATCAATCCGGATCGCGTACCAAGCGTTCAATTTCTCGTAACTGCCGGGGAGGCTCTTACAGAGCATGTTAGGAGACAATGGTCAAGCAGGGGACTGTACCAAGGCTACGGTCCGTCTGAGACCACGAATATCTGTACTGTTCGCGGGCCTTTCAGAACCGAAGACCTGATCAACAATATAGGGTCTCCATTTGAGAACACGTCGGCCTTCGTCTTAGCCCCGGAGGGTGAACATATCTTACCTCGAGGCGCTGTAGGCGAGCTCTGCTTTGGCGGAACGCAGGTCTTCCGCGGCTATATGAATGACCCGGAGCTTACCGCGAGGAAAATCATAGAACATCCTCAGTACGGTCGAATCTATCGTTCCGGCGATATGGGAATACTGCTTCCGGATGATTCTATACTATTCACCGGCCGCATCGATGACCAGGTCAAAATACGTGGACAGCGAGTGGAACTCGGCGAGATCACCTCGAAGATACTTGACAACAACGACGTCGAAGACTGCGTAACACTCCTTTTCCAATTGGAAAACGATAACCAGCGATTGGTGGCATTTTGGGTTCCCAAAAATGCGAGCAGCGACGTTTTCGAACCACTCACACCAGCCGAGTTTCATCCTGCCATTGTTTCCATCTACCAGACGCTGGGCTCGAATTTACCAGAATATATGGTGCCGACGCATCTGGTGCCCATATCCAAGATTCCCCAAACCGCTCAATCCAAAGTTGACAAAAGACTCCTTTTTTCCACGTACAAAGGCATATCAAATGAGTTCCTTGAACCGGCGGCGTTCAGCGTGTTGCCGATGGGAAAATCCAACGGTTTTAATGAGAGGGAAAGATTGATTGCGGCAATTCTAGCCGACATCATCAAAGTGCCCCAAGACTCTATCTCGCCGACAGCGTCTTTCTTCAACTTAGGGTTGGACTCCCTATCCGCTGTACATTTCTCAAGAGAGCTCAGGTACGCTAGAGTTGCGGACGTCCCTGTCTCTTCCATCATGAAGCACTCCACCGTCGCCGCTTTATCCGCGAAGTACCCTCATTTCGAGGAGCCGCGAATTCCACGTCTGGCACGAGCAAAAAAAGCTCAGGACGTTTTAACTCGTAGGCTGCGACGGCGGTTAGCTTTAGATTACAGGGCCCAAATAGTGCAGGTGCAAGAGCTACTGCCCTGTACAGCTTTACAGGAGGCTATGGTTTCTAGGTCAATCGAGGGCCGCGATTTATCTTATTGCAACACCATGATTTTCAGCGTGAACGGAGACATTCATCGCTTACAAGAATGCTGGGCGGAGATGTTTAAAAGACACCAGATCCTTCGCACCGCCTTTCTACCCACCGATGAACCGGATCGTCCATTCGTTCAAGCTGTACTGCGCTATGAGCAATTCCAATGCGAGGAGATCCAGTCAGCTCGAAACTTTCAAATCGAGGTTTCCAAATCGATTTTACAGTTGCTTCAATCTGGCAAGCCACCAATCCGGCTCATGACTCGGCAGACTGATTCGTCGAACCAGTTGATTCTATGTTGCCATCATGCTCTTTATGACGGTGTAGCGATGGCAGTGCTTATGAAGGAAGTCGAGCAGGTATATCATGGAGAACAGCTGCAGCCGCCCGTTCCGTACGAACCATACCTGTACCATGTTGTCTGTCATGACTTTGCTGCCGCTGATCGATTCTGGGAGTCTGCCCTCGTCGGTATTGAGCCCACCAATTTTCCTTCTCTCACTGGCAACACGAAAGATCTGGAGCCCACCTTGGCCACCTCTGTTTCCTCGAAGGTTTTGAGTACCTCTTTGAGCGAAGCATCACGATTCAGCCACAGCATTGGAGTTTCACTCCTTTCGGTCATACAGGCCACATGGGCTAAACTTCTCTATTTCTATACAGGGGAACAAGACTTGTGCTTCGGAAACGTCGTGAGTGGGCGGACCCTACCAGAAGACGACTTGGACCGCTTGGTGGCGCCTTGCTTCAACACTGTTCCTGTTCGCGTCAATACTGGGTTCGAAAAGAGCAACATTTGCATTGTCAAGGAATTCCACGCATTTGGCATTGATAGTATGCCATATCAACTAACTCCGCTCCGCCGCATCCAAGCACACATGTGTAGAGGTCAAGGCCCTCTTTTCAACACAATTGTCCTTCTCCAGCAACCTACCACTGCTCTGGATAAAGCTATTTGGACCCTGGATGAAGATATTGGAGACATGGAACTTCCCGTCGTTTGCGAGGTACTCCAGGAAACAGCGGGAGACTTGCTAAGGCTGAATTTACACCACGACACTTCGCTCATATCAATTGATGATGCGAAGGTCGTACTGGAAACTTTCAGTCATGCTCTTCAATGTCTCCTCAAGTTTCCCGATGCTCCAGCTAGGGATACTATCGGCTTTCCTCGAGAATTGTTGGCTACCGCCAATCCGGATATCGACATACAGGAATTGGCGGACTCCCAATTCCTGCACTCCGCCTTTGAAAGAAATGTCATGGTTCGCCCCGGGCATATTGCGCTCGACTTTATACATAGCAGTGGCAGCAGAACAAGTTGGTCTTTCGAACAGCTCAATGCGTTGGCGAATCAAACTGCGCATTGCCTGATTTCGCAAGGTATTGGCCCTGAGGATATAGTGCCCATCCACATGCTCAAGGGTCCTCAGTTCTACGCTAGCGTTCTTGGGGTCTTGAAAGCGGGTGCCGCTTTTACCCCATTCAACCCCGATCTTCCAAAGGCCAGGAAAGAATTCATGCTTGCTGAACTCAGCTCGAAGGCCATACTATGCGCCGAAGGGGAAGAGCTGGATTGGTGCCCTAACATCATGCCCATAAACGTGTCAGATACACAACAATATTCGACAGAGAACCCAACGGTACCAGATCTGGCACCTACAAACTTGGCGTATTGCTTGTACACATCCGGGTCTACAGGGGTGCCGAAAGCAGTGAGCATGGAGCATCGTGCACCCATTCAAACGATCCAAAACAGCAGAGATCGAATACCATGGCATCCCGACTCAAGATTGCTACAATATGCAGCCACCACATTTGATATGTGCTATTACGATTGTTTCATAGCTTGGTCTTTTGGCTTTACTCTCTGCGCTGCAGAACAAGCCGCAATGCTTGATGACCTTCCCAGTGTGATTAGATCACTCAACGTGGACCTCCTGGACCTTACACCTTCGGTCGCTGCATCACTCAAAAGAGCAGAGGTGCCTTCAGTACGGTGGTTGTACTGCATTGGGGAGGCTATGTCTCCAGAAGTTGTAAAAGAATGGGACGGAGCATGTGTCAACTCTTATGGTCCCACAGAGGCTGCATTCTGCACAACCATCTTCCCTGTAGAACCCGGAAGGAGCGTCAATGTTTTCGGCAAGCCGTTTCTTTCGACTACTTTAACTGTTGTTCCTCTGTCAGGTGGAGATGTGTTGCCAATTTTTGGCGTAGGAGAGCTATATATTGGCGGCGCACAACTGGCTAGGGGTTACCATAACAGGCCTGATTTGACCGAAGAAAGATTTGTTTTACGGGGTGAGAAGAGATTTTATAAGAGCGGGGATATGGTTCGCATGCTGCGTGACGGCAACTTTGAGTTCATCGGCCGAGCAGACGATCAAGTCAAGATTCGCGGTCTCAGGGTCGAGCTCGGAGAGATTAACAGCGTCATTCAAGCAAGTGACGACCGCATACAGTCTGTCACGACGCAGATACTGCAAACGGATGCGAGGTCGAAACACCAATTGGTAGCCTTCATGGTTGCTGGCCCGTCAGACAAGGAGCAGCGGACCGAGATAAAGCGCAAGGCTGAACGAGCGGCGCTGAATTATCTCCCAACGTATATGGTTCCGCAATTCTACATCTTCCTGGGCAAGATACCCAAGTCTCCTGCCGGGAAGATCGCCAAGAAGGCCCTGGCGAGCATTTTCCTGAGCGACGTCAACATAAGGCCTGATCCAGAGCTTGACGACGCCAGGGCTGGGAGGGAAGATTGGACAGAAACGGAATGCCAGATTCGGGAAGTGTTTGCGAAAATATCTGGGAGTCCTCCAGAGAGGATCAATCCTGCCACCACCATATACCAGCTTGGCCTTGATAGCATCAGTGCGGTACAGGTCGCGGCTGGTCTACGGAAGAGAGGCTTCTCTGTCACTGTGAGTCATGTTCTAAAGTATATGACCTGCCGAGCACTTGGGATCTATCTCGCCGACTCGTCGCCCAAGGCAGTGGTGGACGCCACAGCTTTCGACTTCGGATCTTTTGATCAGAATGCACGACCAGATATCGTTCGGGCATTGCACATTGCGGATCAGGATATTGAGAGGATTTCCCCCTGCACGCCTGTGCAAAAGGGTATGATCTCACAATTTCTTTCGCGCCATGGATCACTTTACTTCAATCACATGCGCCTGCATCTCCATTCGAATGTCGATCTGCTCCGACTTCAAGCCGCCTGGTCAACGGCGATGAGTTCGCACCGAATGCTTCGCACTGGATACTTTCAAGTTGATGATCCAAAGCATGCTTTCGCCATGATACACTATGCCGAATCGGCTTTCAAGCTCCCATGGGAGGATAGGACTGACTCGCAAGCCGTGTCAACGGAAGAATGGCTCAACCGGGCAGCAAAGAACGCAAGTGACAACCTCCACGAGCCAGGATGGCGTATACGGCTAGTGAAGGAAAACAACGAGGTTATGCTGGACCTCGCAATATTCCATGCCTTGTACGATGCCCAAAGCCTGAGTATTCTTCTCGAAGATGTCTTAAAATCATACACGAAGCGGACGATTAGCCCACCGGTAGCCATTGAGCCCGTTATCAGCACCATTCTGAAGCTCAGCAGCGAAGACAATACTGAGTCGAGGGACTTTTGGAGAACTCTATCATCGACCGTCACTTTGAACCGATTTCCTGACTTGTCGCCTCTGAGATACCCACCTGCGCCTCCCTCGGTGCTCACACATACTTGTACAGTGCCTCTACGAGAATTTGAAAAGGGATGTCGGGAGTCGAATATCACGCTACAGGCAGCTGGCATTGCTGCTTGGATGTCGTTGCTGTTTGCTTATACGGGAGAAGCTTCCGCAACTTGTGGTGTGGTGCTGTCCGGTCGCAGTTTCGACGCTGCTCGGTCTGTTGTCTTTCCGTGTATCACGACTGTGCCTTTCGCATGTACTGTTGGCGATGACAAGAAGGGGATGCTGAAAGAGATTATGGCTCTGAATGCGGAAATTCAGCAGCACCAGTTCGTTCCCCTGAATGAGATTCAAAGACTGATGGGTCATCCGAACGAGGCGTTGTTCGATACACTGTTCACTTTTCAGAAGATTCAGGATAGCCAGGGTCACAATGATCTATGGAAAGTTGTCGATGAGAAAGCGGCGGTCGAGTATCCGGTTTCTATCGAGCTGGAACCGAAGGGCGATTTTCTCGAGCTGCGACTCACGTTCCTACCACACGTCATACCTCAACCGCAGGCTTCGCTCATGCTGAAACAACTCGAGCAATTGATAATGGATTTTGCTCTTCTGGAGACGAACACTGGGACCGAGGAGTATGATCCGTCACTGTATTCCATTACGCGCCCGAGTGAACCAATTCTGCCCTCCGACGTTGCGTTACTGCATGAACTTGTTGAGTATTCTGCAGCCCGAACACCAAGTGATATTGCACTTGAGTTCGCGACATCCGTCGATGAGGGCAATTTCAAGAGTCAATCCTGGACATATGCGCAGCTTGATTCGGAAAGCAACAAGATTGCCCACCTTCTTATCTCCCACGGAGCGCGCCCTGGTTCTCTCATAGGTATATGCTTTGACAAATGCCCAGAGGCGTATTTTGCCGTAGTGGGGATCCTGAAAGCTGGTTGTGCATTTCTAGCACTGGATCCGGGTGCCCCTGTTGCTCGCAAATCTTACATTGTGCAGGACTCTGGTGCAAGTCTCGTACTGTCGATGTCTGCGCAGTCGCGTGAATTACGTGAGAAGACGACGGCAACGGTTATCGATTTGGACTTCGTCGATTTGGGTTCTGCATCGACAGAGAAGCCTGTCTTATCTCGAGCAATCGATCCGCAGGACTGCAGTTATTGTCTTTACACGTCTGGGACTACAGGAACACCGAAAGGATGCGAAATCACGCATGAGAATGCTGTACAAGCGCTCATGGCATTCAGGCGGATCTTCAGCGGTCACTGGAATTCTGACTCACGTTGGTTGCAATTTGCCTCCTTCCACTTCGATGTGTGTGTCCTGGAGATGTTCTGGACCTGGTCTGTTGGCATCAGACTTGTTTGCGCGCCTCGCGATGTCATATTGGATGACCTGGCGGCAACAATCAATGCGCTACAGGTTACACACATCGATCTCACTCCTAGTCTCGCACGGCTTCTACATCCGGATGATGTGCCAAGCCTGTGCAGAGGCGTCTTTATCACAGGCGGGGAGAGTCTGAAGCAGGAGATTCTAGATGTCTGGGGCCCCAAGGCTGTCATCTACAACGGCTACGGTCCTACTGAGGCGACCATCGGTGTCACAATGTACCCGCGCGTTCCGGAAAACGGGAAACCGTCGAATATCGGGCCTCAGTTCGACAACGTGGGCTCTTTCGTGCTGAAGCCCAATTCCGATGTTCCAGTGCTGAGGGGTGGTGTCGGTGAACTTTGCGTGTCAGGCAAACTGGTGGGGAAAGGGTATTTGAATCGTCCAGAACTGACTAGTGAACGGTTTCCCTACCTCGCCCGCTTCGGAGAGAGAGTTTATCGCACTGGTGACCTGGCCAGGATCTTGCATGATGGCACCTTCGACTTCTTGGGTCGTGCAGACGACCAGGTCAAGTTACGCGGTCAGCGGCTTGAAATCGGGGAGATCAATTCGATCATCAAGCAGTCTGCTAGCGGTATCTCGGATGTTGCGACGTTAGTATTGAAACATCCGAAACAGCAGAAGGAGCAGCTTGTCAGTTTTATCATAAGTACTTCAAAGCGGGACGTCGAACCTCGGATTCTCTTTCAGAGTGCAAAGGATGCAGTGGCTGCCAGAGAGGCATGCCAGCAACGCTTGCCGGGTTACATGGTTCCGACGCATTTCGTCTCTTTATCGGCTATGCCGTTGTCTGCGAACAATAAGGCCGATCATAGGAGGCTTAGAGAGATGTATGAGGCTCTTTCGGTAAGCGATCTTCAGATGCTTTCCAGATCGACGGAGGAGAAAGAGGAGGTTTGGGTAGCCGATGAACGCAGAATTGCTCAGATTCTGCAAGATTTCCTGCGGATTGGGACTGATGTCAAGAGGAACACAAGTTTGTTTGAACTTGGTCTCGATTCTATCTCGGTCATTGGGTTTACACGGGCACTAAAGAACGCTGGATTTTCTGAGGCAAGCGTGTCTATTGTCTTGAAAAACGATTCCGTCTCCAGACTTGCGAAGGCTCTATCTGCGACTATGGTGTCCTCTAATCACCGTGCCGCCGTCGCCGCAGCTCAACAAGAGATTGCAGCTGTTCAGCATCGATATCGACGGGCCGCTGCGGCGATGCTGGACACCGACGTTGCGGATATTGAGGCTGTTGCGCCGTGCACGCCCCTCCAGCAGGGAATGATTGCCAGGTCCCTTAGCAGTGACAAAGGCTTATACTTCAACGCCTTTTACTTTGAGATATCCGAAGAGACTGACCAGGAGAGGCTACGGGATGCATGGGAAACCGCCTTCTCGGCTATTCAGGTCCTACGGACAGCTTTCTTGGACACCGAAGACGGGTATATGCAGGCCGTGCGTCGAAAGCCGACCCTCCCCTGGAAGTCTTGCGACCTTTCTGGTAATGGGCAGCTTTCAGATCGATTGCAGCAGTTAAAGGGGGATTGGTGGCTCTCTAACAGGTCACTATTACGGACACCATTTGAACTACACCTCGTTACGGCAGCCGAACACCGGATCCTGGCTGTCCATGTCTTCCACGCTCTCTACGATGGTATCAGCATTGATTTGCTCTTTGAAAGAGTGTGGAGGATCTATAATAAGCAGCGGCTCGATGATGTCGGTCCGTCGTTCCTCTCCGCCCTGCCATATGGACCTTTGAGAAACTGCACAGGCGCTCGGGAGTTCTGGAAAGGGCGAATCCGTCCTGAAATGAGTCGCAGGCTGACTACAGAAAATTCATCTTCTGGCAGTGCTGCCATGGTACATCGACAAATCGGCTCTCTAAAGGGATTCCAGAGAGTAAGACGCAGACTTCAGGTCACTCCCCAAGCCGTTCTGCAAGCCTGTTGGGCTACTGTACTGCACACTCATCTGAAAGGCACTCCCACTCTCGGGGTAGTCACATCAGGGCGCAGTATCGACTTCGAAGGTGCTGAGCGTATCATTGGACCAATGTTCAACACCCTGCCCTACCAGCATGAAGTTGGGCCCAAGGAAACATGGGCGTCGATCATCAAGAGGACTCACGAGTTCAATGTAGCAGCCCATCCGTACCAGCATACTCCGCTGAGAGATATCATGAAGTGGGTGAACAGGAAATCCGACCAGCCGCTTTTCGATAATTTGTTCGTATACCAGGTCTCGCAGGATGGGAAGGAATGGGCGAAGAATGACTTATGGAGATTGCAGGAGGGAGAGCCGGTGGCGGATTATCCGCTGGCTTTTGAGGTGGAGCAGATTGAGGAGACTGTTTTGAAAGTTACTGTGGTTGCGGAGCCGAGTGCTGTGGGTGAAGCTACGGCGCACATGCTGCTGGAAAATTTTGAAGAATCGTTACGGAAGGCGCTGGAGGATCCTGATGCGCAGGTCGACTTAGGCATGCCAGACACCACCGATGTGGACAACCGTGCGGACAGCGAAATTGACCATGCCGTCGACAGCAAGGCGGCGACCAAGAGCGACTTCACCTGGACAGAGCAGGCCATACAGATGCGAGAGGTCATTGCTCGTGTCGCTGGAACAGATACAGCACATATAACCGATACGACATCAATCTTCGAGCTGGGCCTGGACAGTATCGACGCCATCAAGCTCGCGTCGCGGCTGAGGAAGAACAACATCCGTCTTCGTGTTAGCGATATCATGCGTACCCGCACTATTGCGAGTATGCTAACACTAGTCTCTGGAAGCGAACCCGAGAGCGCAGTTGGGACAAGACATTCGGTCTTCGACATCCAAAAGAAACGACTGGAGGAGCTTATGCCTCAACTTGGAGTGTCGCCTGCCAACGTCGACCATATCCTACCGGTCACTCCCTTGCAAGAGGCCATGGTTGCAGAGATGTTGGCTTCCGAGTACAGGGAATACTACAACCATGACGTGCTGAAGCTTACGTCCGATGTCGATGTAGAAAAGCTTCGGCATGCTTTCGAAGTAGTAGTCACGGAATCGTCAATACTGCGGACTTCGTTCTTGATGATTGATGATCCGCGAATTGACTGCTCGTTCGCTCAGCTGGTGCATCGCGAACCGCACGACTTCTTTCATTACTGGAGGGTGGACACCGAACCAGACTTCACCAAGGTTATGGAGAGTATGCGTGAAAAGGCTATGGCTGTTGGTACGAAGACACCACTCTTCCATATCAACATCGTCGAGTCAGCAGAGCATACATATCTCGTCCTCTCAATCTCGCACGCCCTGTACGACGGCTGGTCGCTGAGTCTTCTCCACTCCGACATCAACGAAGCATATCACGGTAGCTTCAAACCTCGGCTCAGCTATGAGCCTGCTCTAAGAGATATCTTGAATGCCTCCGGACCCGAAGGTGCCGAGTTTTGGCGGGATTATCTCTCTGATGCTAAGCCCTCAATGTTCAAACGCAGGGAAAGTATGGAAAGCCCACCTTCACCGCACGTGCACAGACTTGAACAGAACAGCCAAATCCAACTGGCCGATTTGACCGCCTTCGCGAAAGGAAACAACATCACGCTCCAATCACTCGGCCAAACCGCGTACGCCCTAGTCCTCGCGTCCTATGTCCAATCTCTCGATGTCACATTCGGCTGCGTACTATCCGGCCGGGACGACGAACAAATGTCCAATATCCTCTTCCCTACAATGAATACAGTAGCCATTCGCGCCATCCTGCACGGCTCGCGGAAAGATATGCTGCAGTATATGCAGCGGAATTTGCTCAATCTTAAACCTTGGCAGCATTTTCCGCTAAGAAAGGCGCAGGCTTTGGCTGGAGCGAAGGGAAGGCTTTTTGAGAGTTTGTTCATTTACCAGAGGGGTCCAGGGGAGAATTATGGACGTGGAAGAGCGAGAAAGAAATTGTATGAGAGTGTTGGTGGGCAGAGTGATGTGGAGTATCCGGTTTGCGTGGAGATGGAGGTTGCAAGCGGACAGTTGATCTGGAGGTGTGCGGTTAAAGATGATGTTTTTGATGCAACAGGAGCGGAAGAATTCCTGAATGGATTGGATAAAGTCATGAGAGCGATGATGGAGCAGCCGGATGAGCCGACTATCGAGTTTGCACCTGCCGGTGTCTCGGTTTGCGGGCTTCCTGCGTTCCAGCAGCGGGACAATGGAGCGGTAGACTCGGAAAAGAGAGTGAAGGCAGAAGCGGAGCCAGCTGAGCCGGAAAAGAAAGAAACAACGGCTCTCAAGAACTTACGCGATGTTCTCGCCCTCGTGTCTGGAATCCCAGAAGAGGAGATAAAGAAGGATATGACCATTTTCCATCTTGGCCTCGACTCTATCAGCGCCATCAAGGTTTCTGCGCATCTTCGGAAACGGGGTATCAAAGTCACTGTGGGGGATATGCTCAAGGCCGGCAGTATTGGGAATTTGGCGAAACTCCTGCAGGGGAGGATATCCACAAAGGAGGAGAAAGCCAGAGATGATACCGCCACAGTGGTTCAGGAGGCTCTGCGGCATATTGATCGATCAGCGGTGCTGCAAAAGGCTGGTATCGAGGAGGTGAATGTGGAGCGTATTCTACCCACCACGGCGGGCCAGAGGTATATGATGTCCATGTGGCTCAAGTCACAAGGCGCGCTTTTCTATCCGGAATTCCCGTATCGGCTTGAAGGAGATGTATCCTTTGTCAAGATTCAACAATCGTGGCAAAGACTGGTGGCAGCGAATCCAATTCTGCGGACTTCCTTTATACCACTCGAGAATAACCGCATTTCATGGCTTCAGGTGGTCCTGCACAAAGTTACAGCTTCTGTCAAAGATATCACGGGGTTGGATCAGGAAGCAGTCGCCCAATTCGTTGAAGAATGCGCACTACAACAACCATATGCGCAGCTTTTTGCCGCCAAGGGCCCGACCGAATGGACCTTGAGGCTCAAGATCCACCACGGCCTGTACGACGGTGTAAGCCTACCACTTCTCATGCGCCAGTTCTGCGAACTCTGCAATGGCAGTGAACTTCCTGCAGTCCCTCAGGATATATTCGACAAATTCATTGCGACCTCTGTCCCAACATCAGCACAGGAACAACGAAGGTCGTTCTGGGCAAACTACCTCCGCGACCTCGAACCTAGCCACCTACCTCAACCCGCCTCCCCGCCAATATTGAGGACTGAGATTTTCAAGCCTGCGCTCGTACAAGGCCTAAGCGGGCTGGACGCTCTGGCACGTTCCTCGGGTCTAACAATCCAATCCTTCGTTATCGCGCCGTATGCCAAACTATACGCCTCCATGACAGCCACGCCGGCGAATCAAGACGTGCTTATTGGGATATATCTTGCGAATCGTTCGCATCCTCGTATCCCCGATCTCTCGGATGCGCCCATCCCAACAGTCAATCTCGTCCCTCTGCGAGTGAATCTGCCGCTGCAAAAAGATGTCTTGGCAGTTGCGGCACAGGTGCAGAAGGATATACAAGCCATTAGCAATGAGGTTAATGCGAGTGTTAGTCTGCAAGAGATTTGGCAGTGGACGGGAGTGAGGGTCGATACCTTTTTGAATGTCCTGAAGTTGCCTGATGTGTCAGCCATCGATAGTGCTGAGGGAAGAGAGGATGGTTTGCGGATTACGCCGGTACAGGAGTGGGATAAAGGTGTAGAGAGGGTGGTGGAGACGCCGCGTTTATTTTCGGTGGAGGAGATTGGAAGTGTGGTTGGTGTTGATGCGCAAGGGGTTGGGGAGGCATATTTGGTAAGTGACCCGGAGTCTTTGTGTACCAGTTTAAGAGGGTTGTGACTGATGATGAGTAGCATGCTGTTGATGTTGAAGTTACGGTACGGAATGGTGCGTTGGATGTGGGTGTTTTTGCGCCGGAGGAGATGCTGGGTTTGAGGAGTGCGGAGGAGTTGGTGGAGGGGTTGAGGAGGGAGATTGTGACATTGCTCGAGGAATGAATATACAATGGGAGGTGGAAGACGAGGTATATTGAGTAGTTCCTATGCTTCTTTATGTCCTCTAGTGGGGATCGACTTCGGGTGTTTTGGTGTTTGGGTTGGGTTATAATGAGCAGATAGTACAGAGACACCCGTTAACGTCTGGCGCAGATGGCGTATTTGGTGATGTAAAACGCTAGTGGCTGTGTGCAGCGCTTGCCAACCTGATTCGGTTACTTATATTTATGGACGTTAAGGTAGGAATCGAGGACAGGATATTCAAGCAACCTGCTATACCTCGCCTGATTTTCGAACCTAGAATATGGATTCAAATATCTTGGATACTATTGATGCTCGCAACAATGCGTTAGATTTAAATATAACGGGAGTGATAACATTCTATATAATATATAGTAGGATTTATAGCTCTTGCATCCACAATAGGAAATGTTTCTACCGTTCTAGAGAATTTCGAGTCAGCTCGTTAGGAAGTTGAATCAAAGGTGTCAATCACGCGGAGTAGGCTAGGCAAGCGCTGCATCGTTATGAGAGCTACCGCCTTTTTCGTCAGCGAAATGCTGGCTTTGGCTTCGGTTGCTCCAGCCCTGCTGCAGCTGCATTGCATCTTATCACAATTCTATGAAAGCTGAAGTAAGCAAATATGAGATCTAGTATGAAGTTCAGAAAAATGTGTTATCGTCATAGATTGGTTTCTCAGTCCTCTGTCTATTCGGTATCATCTCACAGCCGCCATCTTTTCTCCTACTTCCTGCCCTAACCGGTGTCCGACCCGATAATCGGCTTAGACACCTACGCAGACATAGTAGTCCAACCACAGGTTACTACAGCTTGAATCCACTGCCTTGTTCCACGAGAGGAACTGATTGAGCGTAATGCCCGCATTGGTGTATATGGACCAACAGCTGTCACCGGATTTGACCTTGTAGAACCTGTTGCAGTTTGCAACAATATTGGGCATCTGAGGCGTGGGCCCAGAGGGTGTGTTCGTGGGTTGGGGTGTCTGTTTCGTTGTGGTGGCCGCTCCGGGAACGTGGACGCAGACGTAGTAGTCGAGCCAGAGGTTACTACATTCTGGGAGAGAGGCAAATCAGTATCAGAGCACAGTTTTTGGAACAGTGGAATACATCCGAGCGTTGATGTAGGTGTTCCAGCTCATGAACTGGGCCACGCTGATACCGTGTTTGTTGGCAATGGTGCACACTGGTCTCCGGACGAGACTCTATAGAACGGTCACAGTTTCCTGCAAGACCAGGCATGGTGGGAGAGACGCTGGAGGCATTGGCAGTGGTGGTAAAAGCTTTAGTGGTAGTCGGTGCCTTTGAGATCGTCGATTTTCTGAGAGTAGTGCTGGGGGGCTGTCCCGTTGTAGGTGAGTTGTTGTTGACCGTCCCCATCACACAGTAGGGTTTGCCTGTATCCAAATCAGGGCAGTTGATATCAGTGTTGAACTCTTTGAGGCGATTGACAGATAACCCCTAGCTAGCCGCAAAACTTTGGCACGTAGCTCCGCTATCGGTAGCTATGGCAAAGTCGCAGTCCACGCCGCGGATTGAGAGACGCGCAGTAGCAGAGGCATGCCCCAAGAAGAGCCCAAGAGCGAAAATTGTTGTGGATCGCATCGCTCTGAGCTTGGCCTTTCCGCGGACGAAGAACGAATTGTGGACTGGGATAAGAGATGAGAGACTCGCTGTCCTGATTGCCCTTGACATTCACCCTCTGAGGCCCGGAGCCCTCATGTTATACTTAAGCTTCTCTCCAGATGGACTTCGTTTGTGAGTCCCTCACTGTCCCGTGGAATTCTTCATTCTGGTGCCGCTGGCTAAAATGACTGAGGTCCAGAAGATTACGATTGATGCTCGCTGCGTACTGTACTCCATCCTCGCCACATCGCAAGACTCGAATTCACAAGCGTTGGTGCACGTTGATATCCATATTACAACGCTACAACATACTGAGAGTCATCAAATTTCCTAATCGGTCTAGCCCCTTTCTAAGTTCCCAGTAGCGGTTTTTGCGGCGGAACTGCATCCATTACTTGGCATTGATAATACGCGACCTGCGCGGCCGGTGGGTATTTGGTCAGCGTAGGGAGCTCTCTGGAACTGTTTTTCGTGCTCCTACCGTGTTTTGCATCGAAATTGTCCAAGACTTCTGACAAAGCAGGGGAAGTTCCCACTACGCCTATCGAGCATCGGATTGGATACACACTGTCTTCGTTGCATATCATTTTGGTGAAAAGCATTTGGCCATATCCCTAGGTCAGTATCATAGCTATAGCTATACCTACTAGACGGGCCGATAGCCTTGGCAGGGGATGTTCGTTCATGATGGTGCAGAAGGGTCAGGTCGGTGCGCCATAGATTACCCGAGGCCTCTTGACTACAAAAAGTCTCCTCCAAGACCGTCCCTGATATGCTCCAGCGCGCAGCCTCTCGCTAACTTCTCTTATTAATTTCTTTTTCCGCATTGCTGTCTGTTTTTCGCCGTTCGTCACACGCTCTTTCTTCCTCTTTCCGCTTGGCATCAGCATGCACGTCTTCTCCTGGACAACCTGGTGGTTCCTTGCAGCGTCGATGGTGCCCGTCGGTGCTGGCGCGAGCAAAACTTCGGGCGTCGTCGAAGTAGATCTGGTCTTCCCGCGAAATGAGACGTACGCACCGACGCCACTTCTCCCCATTATTTTTGCTTTCCAGAATGCCGAGCTCGCGCCCTCGGTCGGCTTCCAGATCCGCTTCTATGCAGCTGACTGGAAGACGTGGGACCCGAGCAAAATGTGGACTATTTTCACTCACGAGTATGACATGAGATGGGCAAACTTCACAAGTCGCGAGCCCTACTTTGAATACGACCCATTCAAATCGTTCAGAGACGAGGGTACTTGGTTGCTCGTCTGGGAGGTGACCTGGGCTAGTTGCAACGACACCCAGGATCGGTACTATCGTGATCGCCCCATCCTCAACACTACCGGAGGCCAGATCATCTTTACCACCAAAATATCCGGCCCAGAGATTGACCTCATCGCCGCTACGAATGACCAGAACTGTGCTGAGAACTGGGGAGTGGCGGTCGACGTTCCAGATGTTCGAGATGCTCCGAGTGGCGTGGAGTGGTTTCCCAGCACGACATGTGCTGTGACAGCGACCACCACTCCCAAACCGGATCCGTGCAAAGTCAAAATTGACGCGGAAATTGCCTCGAGCATATCGTCTTCGATGACTTCCGCAGTATGCAACTCTGCCTCTACCGATATTCCAGTCCCCTGCCCATCGAAAAAGAGTGCCGCACATCAACTGCGCATTGGGGGCTGGGCCTGTTTGTTGGCTGCTTTCGGAGCGTTGGGTCACTCATTGACATGAACAGGAGGGTCATATCTGTAATGTTTAACCGGGATTGAGCATATCTAGTTAATGATTGGTTCTACACAAACGTCCACGATGACATCAGACACCGCCAAACATCAATGGCAGTTTTCATTGAGATGAATGGTCCAGTCCTGTTGTGACCGTGCAGCCTGGGGCTAATAGATTAAAATTTCAGAGATGAACATCCAGAGCATCCCGTCTCACGGTTTGCTCTTCAACCCCTCACCTCAGAATCTCAAACCCCAATCTGAAAAACACAACCAACACTGGCGAATACCGACAAGAAAAGCCAACAGTCAATTGAAGTATCCCGTCTCATGATTTGTTCTCCAAGCCCTTTGCTCCTCAAATCCTTACCTCAGACATCTAAATCTGCAACTTGTAAAAACTCAACCTGCACTGGCGAGTACTGACAGGAAATGCCAATGCCAACCAGCAATCAAATTATCCCTTCTGAGGATTTGCCACTCAAGCACTTGGCTCTGCTAGGCCTTACTTAAAATTCTCAATCCGCAATCTGCAAAAACACCACCAACACCGCCGAATACCTACACGCAAACGTCAGTCAACCCCCTCACTCGCAACTCAGGAAGAAAAGGAAGCACACTCACGCCGCCGCAGCCGCCAAACTCTCAAACGGCTTCGCCACCGTCGTCAAACTAATCAACACCAAAAACACCGCTACAAACCCAGTAATAATACCCAGCCTCTTGATCGTCTTATTCGGTCCCTTTGTCACTGCTAGCACCCACAACGGCGCTATCAACATCGCCATCCCCGCTGCAGTAATCAGCATAGTAATGGTCCTGTCGATTCGGCTGTCGGAGCTGAAGTGCAGCGTTTCGGATAGTGGATGCTGAGCTGTGGCGTGGTTGGCAAGATGGGACGGGGCGCGTTTGCGCCATATGCGTGCTAGGCGGAAGCGGGAGGAGTGCTCGAGAAAGTGGCGTAAAGGAGTAGTAGCTCGGGGGACAAGGGAGATGAGGTCGTGGTCGTGGGTGATGTAGGCGGTTTCGGGGGCGTGGATGCAGACGTTCTGGGTGTTTGCGTGCCAGTTACGCAGGGATTCGGTGTCCCATTTGGGGACCTTGGGACGGGATCGCAGCGTGGAGTGTTGGATTAGAAGAGCATCTGTTGGCAGGTAAGAGATCGATTTTTCTGTTCGAATTGGGTCATGGTGGCTCACTGTACTCTTTCAGCTTAGGATGCAGCTCTTCCAAGATTTTCGAGCGTTCCGGTACAGGTTCTAGTCGAAACGAGCCATTGTGGATGTCCGGTGCTGTCTTGGCCGAGTGAAGCGTATCAAGTTCCTCTAGTCTTTCTTCAAGGCGGACAATCTGGTCTTGAAGATATAGAAGTACTCGAGCATTGAGATCTCCGAAACGCCTGAACACGAGAAAATTGTCATCGGACGCGAGAAAGCTGGAATACGAGCGGTATCCGAGATATTTCCATGGTTTGCGGAGGATCTCCTCGTCAACTGGTGGTGGAGGAGAGGGCAGGCGGTGGGGGAGACGGGAGGAAGGGGAAGGACTAGGCATTGATGCACAGGATAGGCGGGGTGAGGTCCATGGATGGTCTTTTTCAGCTCTTACCGTATGCATGCTAAGCTGCAGCACCGAGGCGTGATGCCGAAAATTGTTGAATGCATCATGCATGTCTCAGCCTTGCGCGGTGTTTCTCAGATTTTATCAAAAATACCTTGCCATCATAGATCAGCACTACGACATTCATGAAGGAACTAGATTGACTAGAGAGAAATATTTTTCTAATTCGCCAAATTACAAGGGTGAGTAAGGTATACGATTCCTACGGTGAAAAAGCCCGACTTTGCCTGCGTGTGGGAACCACCCCGCATGACTACCGTACGCTTCAATGACAAAAACTTGGACCCATCCCCACGAACTGCATGCATGCCTACAGCCCCTGCATATGCAGCAGTTCAGCTGTCGACCTTCCAGCCATCAAACCCACAATCCAATCAGAACTCGTAAAGGCACCACTTCATCCCATACGGCACCCCCGTCAGCAGAGTATCCAAAACCATCTTTTACGATGTAGCCTCGCCGTGCATATATGAGATTCCTTGATTCCACCCAGTTGCAACCTTACCTATTCAATCCTTAGTACACCACTGCGACAAATATGAGCAACCACCCGCAGAGACAAGATGACGGGGAAATGCGGGCTACGGAGAGCAAAGCCTACGATTTACAAACTGCCTCTCCCTCGGACGGTTGTGGAGTGCCCGTGACAGCGTATCCTTCGCTCGACTCCTCACCTTCGGCCCCTTTGTATGTGCACTCTCCGTTCACTGATGACGTTCTCCCACATTCAGAATAATAAACCCAATTATTTCATGTCTCTCCTTCTCGATAGCCTCCAGCCTAAGAGACACACCTTCATACAAACCTTCAATTGAGCTTCTGAATCCTCAGTCATATACATCGCTTCCACAACCCTAACTGACCGTCTCTCCTCTAGCGAACGGGAAGATACTTCCGCCTACGTCCTCGACGACCACCGTCCACACCTGGCCACGGATGCACCACCGGCCCAGCAATCCCCGATGCCATCATCTAGGTCCTCATCCTTCGCTGCGCGAGCCCCGACACCCGAGACAACCCAGGCCGCCTACGTCCTTCCCATGGACCAGGACCCAGACATCACCGTATACCCGCCTCCACTCCCACAATCCACATCGTCCTCTAGCTCCTCTAGCTCAACCTCATCCCAGGCGCACCCACCCCCCATAGCAGAAGAAGCTATCGCATACGTCCTCCCCGCCGACCATGACGCAGACACCACCGCATACCTGCCTTCACTCCCACAATCCGCATTTTCCTCTCGCTCCTCCAGCTCTGGCTCAACCTCATCCGCGCGGCACCTTCCCCCGTTAGCACAAGAAGAGGCCGTCGCATACGTCCTCCCCATCGACGACCGCACACCACGCACATCCGCAGAACCAGCACCCACCGAATCCCCTCAATCTCGTCGACTAGCCCGAGCCTTGGCCTCTGGAGCCGCCGCCGCGGCATACGTCGTCCCCTCCTCGTCAAACCCCGACTCAGCCGTCACCGTCCTGCCGCCTCCCACATCCGCAACTCCTCCACCACCAGCAGTCTTGCCCTTCCCATTCACCACCTCGGCATACGTCCTCCCTACCTCGTCGAACTCCAACCCAACCGTCACCGTCCTACCCCCTCCTACATCTCCGCCCGGTTCCACATCTGTCCTCCCTTCCCCCTTCTCCTCCAACTCCAGAAACCCAGTATTATTTGCGGTGGCTCCCCCTCCCACATCATATTCCCGGCCCAAACCCTCACCCTCCTCCTCCCGATCTAGTTCCTTGTCCAGCTTCTTCGCGAAAATCGGCGGCACCCCTTCGGCTCCTCCTCCTCCTCCTCCTCGGGTCGACCCCTCGACATCAAACATGCCTTCTTCCTCCTCCTCGGATCCTGCCGCCACCACTAATATTACAACAAACAACAACGACAGCAACAACAACAACAACAACTACAACAGCATACTCAATCCTAACCCACTTCCTCTTTTCACCCCCGGACGCCCAACCAGCCCCATCCGATTCGGTTCCGCCTACGTCTCCCGCATACCAGAATCTAGTAGCGTGACCGCCGATCCACCACCTGCAGGTGGAGGAACGTGGAACGAATCACCACCTCCTCCATTCGCAAAAGGACGAGGGAAGGGGAATACTAAGAAGAGGGACAGGTCGTGTTCGCTATTCTCGTGTTTTAGTTGAATTTGTAATTTCTCCTGTTAAACCTGTAATATAATAGTCGTCGTTAAGGGGCGCAATAGGAATAGAAATTATAACTTCTGTTATCCTATCAGCTCTGGTGTGGTTTGTTTAGACTTGGTCGGAATACCTTTGCCATCATAGCCTAGCACTTAAAGAATTCATGAAGGAGCTGAATTAAGTAAAAGGAAAAATTCTTCTGATTTGCACAAAGATAAGGGCGCGGAAAGGAACTAGATTGAGTAGGAAAGGAATATTCCTCCGCCCTGCTGAATTTTAACGGCGTGTAAGCTATACTATAGATCCTTGCGGCGGAGAAGCCGACTTTGCCTGCGGAGCGCCCTGCCCGCATGTCACCACTTCACCGACAACCTTGAAACCGTGAACAGATAAACCGCATGCATAGTTTGAGGTGCAATGCCCCTGCCTATCTATGCAGCAGCACAGCTGTTGCTCAGCCCGCCATCAAACCCCTAATCCAATCAGAACTTACAAGACACCGGGGAATGCCACGTAATCCCATACGACCACACCCATCAACCACCATATCCAAAACCCATCTCTTCACTACGCAGCCTCGCTGTGCATATATGAGAGCCCTTGATTCCACCCAATTGCAACTTTCACCATTCAACCCATAACATTCAACCCATAACAATCACCCGTACCATCCAACTCTAGTACATACATAACAGCAACAAGATGAGCGACCACCCGCAGAAAAAGGACGACGCAGAAACGCAGGCCGCAGAGAACAAAACCTCCGATTCCAAAACCGAGCCTCAGCCTCCCTTGGACGGCTCTGCAGCCACCCTGCCCGCGATAGAGTGCCCGTACGTTTACCCTCCCTTCAACAGCTGCCCCCCACTGCATTCACAAGCAATCAATCAATCACTCCAAATGCCTCCCATGCCCCTCCCTCGTTCCATAATCTCCAACCCCAAGGACCACACCCTCATAGAAACCCTCAATCAAGCCTCCCCGTCCAATTCTCTAGAAATATATCGCTTCCACTCCCAACTTACTAACCCGCCCCGACCCCTCCAGCGAAGAAGAAGAAGAAGAAATCCCCAGCCTCAAAGCATCAGCATTCGTGCTCCCCCGCTCGTCGAACGCCACCCGAGCATTTACCGTCGTGCCCCCTCCAACATCTCCGCCCGTTACCGCACCAGGAGGTGCCACATCACCCGGACAGGTAAGGAAGCACTCGACATCGAGCCCCATTCCTTTCCCTTCCCTGCCTACTCCTACTCCTCCTCCTACTCCTCCTCCTACTCCTC